TCATTGATAAGTTGCAGTAAGCTCGTCACATTAAGACATTTATCAATCATACGTTCAAGTAAGCTAGTAACGCAAAGAAGGAAAATAAAAATTTAAGTTAATTCCGCACAAAAAAAATAATGTACAATAATATAAAAACAAAAATGTTCGCGTACAAATCGCTTCAAATAAATATTGCAAGAGAATTCATCTGTTAATTAAACTCAATTTTATATTAGAACTACGAAGCGTAACAAATTTGAATGATACCTACCAAATTCATCTACTAGGATGTCGAAGGAAATATTATTATATGGACTAAAATTTATTTTGACTTTGTATACAAACTTTTATCAAATTAAATGTGCTATTAAACTGACAGGAAGGGAGGAATAGTCAACGATTCCAATATTATTAATTTGTTCAAAAATGTAACATCTTTGTTCGTAGCGGTAACAGCCTGCCTCGAAATGCCGTGAATCGGACAAATAGACGTTTACTCAAGGTAAAGCTTATATCAAATCGTTAATTTAGCTCATATGAACTGAAATTATCGACTTTCAACCAGATTAAAACGCACGTAACGATTGCTTAGTTTTATCTTCTACAATTAGTATTCTGAACATTAAATTCATCACAAAGATACCATTACCCTTACTAATTCCGGTATTACGCGACTACAGTGTTAGTACGAATATACCGATACTAACAACAGAATACCAGTATACGTATATACAGTACAACAGTGCACATATATACAGTTTAACAGTATACAGTACATACAGTATACAGAAATAAACGTTTATGAATGCTGTCCCGATAAATCAAGGCTTGGGTTTGATCATTAACCGGCAGACACAGAATTACAGATAAGATTGAATGTGAGATTCAAGCCTTCACCGCCAGAGAGGATCAATACATTCATTTATTATAATGTTATTCGTACCTGAGTTGTAAGTTGATCAGGCAACATTAGGTTAAGGTCAAGCATGCAAGGAAATCTAAATGATACACTCGGAGAAAGATTAGGTCATAGTGTTCAAATGTTGACACACTTTATGCATGTAGCAATGATACGCAGTTTTGCAGGGCCAAGCTATAGGTTCGAATGACCTACTTAAGCGCAAGAAGCATATCGATATTTAATTGGACAAGTTTCTCCTGATTCTCTGAGTGTACGTGGGTATATATATTTTGTTATTTAACTTTGGTTTCTGTCAAAAAACTAATTAAAATTAACAACTAATGTGAATAAAATTTTCGCATCAATGGTACTTTACGTAGCTTTCGTATATGCATGAACACCAAGTGAGGTTTCTGTTAAAAACGCTTTAGACAATCACTAGAGTTTTCTTAATTGGTATACACTCTATTTTCCGAACAATTCGAGCTCACGTACTCTTCGCTTGTCAAATAATTGACTCAAACTTTCAGCGTATTTTCCAATACAAAAAACATACAGAAAACTATCAAATAACGTCAATAATTCTCATCAATTTCATATGAATTCGTATAACAATGATCAGAAAACCGTTCATTCTGAAATAATTTTTTAACGTTAAATAAATAATGGAGGAGAATTTCGGCGACATTAAGCCAGTCCGAAAATGGCATTTAGGTTCACATTAATGGCTGATCTCGATCGTACACTTTCATACAAGTAAGCTTTAATTAACGAGCTTCCCAGCTCGTTCTTATACGAAAGAAAACGCGAAGAGAATATAGAATGAAAATAATTTTAGGAACGATTGCAGAAAGGTCATTTGGGACAAACATTTCTTCCTTGGCAGTCTGGGTAATTTTGGAAATTCATACAAATTTCACATACTTTCTTGTTTCGCGTAAAATAGTATGTGACGAACTGCAAAAAAGAAACAAATCAATCACAATTTAATTCCCATTGATGAATGAAATTCTACACATATAAAGCAAGCGGAAAAATTTCGAATGGTTATAACTTTTGGAACTGAATGCCATCAAGAAAATCAATTGAAGAAACTGATGGCCACAAAAAAATAAGTTCTGTAACTCTCGCGAGCTCTCAAAAATGCCAATGGCGCCAACGCAACCGGTGTTTCAAAGAAGGCAGTTGCATTCAGAAAAATGAGTGCGATTTTGTCCAAATAACGATGCACTTTTTACTCTTGAGTGGGTCATAGTGACCCAGTTTGGCCTAGCAAGAAGGCGTATAAGGGCTAAAGGCAGAAAGAGTGTCAGTATTTGGACAATATAACTTAATAATCTTTCAGAGCATGCAGAGCGCAAAGCATCGAACGCTGCGCAGTTATGACGTTCAAATTTCCATAGGAATGTCGATGCGCTAGCCTACAAGCGTTCATTTAGGAGTCAGCCGTCGTAAAACATCGAAAACGCAACAACGAAAAATATTATGGGCTAGGATAGACAATAGAGCGGATATCTAGGCAGACAATTGAAAAAAATAGCCAATATTCCGAAAGTTTTAGTGCGCTACACGCTTGTTTGGCTTCGTTTGTAGCCTGGAAATGAGTTGTCGAGCAGGCAGACCTCATCACAGCTCTTGTTTCCAGCACGTAAACACTCGTCTGGGCATCTGGCTTTAACTTGACAGATGTCAATGTGTCATAAAAATCTAGGATATCTCTAAGGATATAAAATTTTGGGCGATCCCTAACTTTATTTCCATTAAAATATCCACTTAATCGTTTATAAGGGTAATTCAATTTTATATTTAATATAACTGCACTCATTTCACAATATTATTTCATTTAATTTGCTGCCATTAGCACTGCCTTTGGAATGTATTTTGCGCCAGAATTTCCTGTCTAAATTTCGAGCTCATGACTTCTGCAACAAACATCTTGCGCAGCAGGCGCGGATTTCGAAGTTATAATCTCATGCTAATCAACGGTCAACTTCATAAATTATGAATGATTAGGCAACGATTTAATAATACTTAAGATAAGATAACATTACATCAGTGATAACACGTATATAACTTAAGATAAGATACGTAACACGTAACACAAGATAAGATACGTAACGTAAGATAGCGTTACACCTGAGTTGTAATTTTGTTGTATTCTGAGCAAGAATTAATTAATTAATCAACTCAATAGTATGCTTCTATAAAATACAATGAATTTATTTAGATGGTGGTTCCCAATATAGGCGAATTTTCCCCAGTGTGTGACATTTTTTCGTTGGTTGTGATTGCATTGCAATTCGTCATTACAATTTATATAGATATGCATCAACGGTGGCACTATTTACCAACGGTTACCGGTAACATGTTCATGTGCATGTTAAATTAGGTAACAATAAGAAAATGTTTCGGGATCATGGTTCGAGGCGAAACTACTGTACACTTTCTACCGAAAATGTTTATCATCATCTATCGGAACCACCGAACATAATTTCCTTGATTGCTTAATGGTCCTTCACTGCAGTGGCCATGCTGCTGAGACTAGCAAAGTTGATTGACTTAATCCCGAAGGGGGGGGCGCGTAAATCAAATTCCACGTACGTCTTTCTTCCGCGACCTCATCTAAAACACAAGCTTATCGCCTGCTAATATCGACAGATGATCTCACCATTTTAGGCACGCGGGAAAAAAAACTGGCACACTCGCCCACACAGCTGCTACTGTCGAGCAAACTTGTGAACATTGACTGCTTCTCCTTCCGCTTAGCATGAAAATCAAGCTGAAAATTATGAATAACTTTTAAGGGCATGCATTGAGCAACCATTGACTCGATCCTTGTACGGTCACGGTCGATATACGACGATATCGCGAACGATATTTCTTTGTAACATAATTACTAGCTTGGCGAAAGCCTCACCTTCATACCGATATTTAACAGACTCGAGACAAAGATTGCAAAGATATTTAACAAACTCGAGATAAAGATTGCAAAGATATTCAACAGACTCGAGATAAAGATTGCAAAGATATTCAACAGACTCGAGATAAAGATTGCAAAGATATTCAACAGACTCGATATAAAGATTGCAAAGATATTCAACAGACTCGAGATAAAGATTGCAAAGATATTTAACAGACACGAGATAAAGATTGCAAAGATATTCGGCAGAAACGAGCTAAAGATTGCAAAATTATTTAACAGACTCGAGATAAAGATTGAACTGTGCTTGCGAAAGTCATTTTCTCGCGTGCGATACCTAGGTACTACTACAGTGTAGGTATTCAAGCAAGAAACTATTTAGGTCACAATTTTTGGGAGGAAATCCATGAATCTTAGAATTTTATAGAACGCTGACCACAAAATTTACATTTTTCTTAAATTCAAACTAGGCGATTACCTGAACTGCACGAATTGCCATTTTGTGAGCAATATAGTGGTAACCGAAACTTACATACAAGAAATTTGATTCAACAGATACATTTAGTTTCTTAGTTACTTTCCAGCAGTAGTACTACAACAAAATAAATTAATACGTGGCTCTGTAGTTGGTTTAGTTTTCGCAACTGCAGCAAAACTCGATTTTTTGCCTAGAAAAATGTCGAGTTTCGGGCTAAAAATGCAAGCGGAAAACAAAAGTAATGACATAACCAAATATTTATTTGTTTTGAAGCTGCATGTGCAACTGCGTTATCTAGAAAATGAGTATTTTAATAAAGCACAACTAATGCCGTATCGTGAACATATCGTGCGTGTGCCGATGCTCAATAATTTGTGACATCAAACTAATAATGAACGTCCTGAATGATAAAAGCATGAGCAATACCTTCTATCTCATTAAAGAATTCAATCGAGTTCATAGGACCGGCAGGGTCGTTAAAGAAGATTGGTGTGAGTAGGCAGTACTCAAAATTGTTATATGCAAAAATTAATTTGCAAGTATGTAAGCAGAAATGAAGTATGAAGCAGGAGCAAGTATGTAATAAAGTCGTCGGGACACGAAATAACGCCTACGCGTGGTGACGAATCTGTCACAATGTCACGGCACGGTTTGAAATGTTGCAGTCACCTGAACTAACGCGTGACTGTAATTTCCCTAAACGACGGCAAATTGCTTACCAAGTTCAATGCGCAGACGCCTCACAAAACACCACAGCACATCACTCAATGTTTATAATCTAGAGCACGAATTATCTGAGCTGTTCAGAGTTCAATTTTATGAATGGGAACTTCAAGTGACTGGAATCTTGCGCCACGACACGGAAGAAGGCAAGAGAGCTGCACTAACACAACACCTCGCATCGCTGCCAGCAGCACACTGACCTAACTACCGCTGCACCGCAATGCACTGTTGACTTCTGTTGGGCGGTCAACGGCAATTTATGACAAGGCGTAAACACACTCATGGAATATTTAAACTCTGACTTCCAAATTTAATTCAGTTAATTCACACGACTATGGTGAGTATAAGAAATGATCTTTATATTCGTGCTTCAAACTTCAAAGTCCATTCTCAAGTCTATAATATATAAAATTAATATCTGATGAATATATGTAATCGCTTAATTTATTTTTTATTAATATTTGGCAATATAAATTCGAATTATCTTCTAAATTCCTGTTTGATAGCAAACATATGGAGTTCAACGAAACAAATGAGTTTACGTCAACTCTGAAGTGCGTGGAAAAAAAATTTTCCGCCACGCAAGCTAGTGCGTAGTGAACATTCACGTTTGCAAGAACGCTATGTGAACTGTTCAAAAACACGTTAAAAAAAGTCTGACCGACGTTCTAGTGGCCGATTGTATTCTCCCATACTGTGAATTGCTCATAGACAGATTTTTTTCATTTCACTGCATTTTAACAATCTTTAGATGAGCAAACATCATAAAGAGTGCTCGCAATTTCTCAGTTTTTTACAGATTAATTTCTATTATTAAGGTAACATAATCAATCGAGAAAGCAAACTTGCTCATCTCAAACGTGATGGTAACAGGAGAACAGGAGAGAAATCGTTCACAATTCTCTCACGTCACATTCGAAAGTCATTAACATTTCGTGTGTCGTCGCTACGGACGCCTTTCAAAAATCACAGATATAGTCTATAGACAGATGGCAACCTAACGCAATGTAATTTTCGCTATCACGCCTGTATATAATCTCATGTAAGTTGACGTTAATGAAACATAGCAATTAACATACTGATGTAATCAAGGAAGTGAAGTTACCTTCGTTGGCGTCATTTGCAGTCTTTCACTTAGGCCGAAATTGGCGTTCAAAAACTGGAAGTTAACTAACGTTCAACATACTAGAAGTTATTCAAAAATTTCACGAGTGAAGGAATTTTATCTTTTTATAAGTGTGATGTAATATCATCGTGTAAACAGGTATGAGGAAATACCATCGTAACGTCAAATACTTAGATACATAAAATATTAAATTAACTCACTGAAGGAAGGTAGAAGCAATGATAAACGTCCTTAACTCAATGAAAGTTTGGAAAAAAAATATAACTCGGTACTCACTGCAGTGAGTGACAGAGCGCATTTTCTCGTCGAAAACTTGAGGTCACAGACGGACGGACAGACAGACAGACGGACATGGCGAGCACAATAGTGCATTTTTTCCATAAATGAGAAAATGCGCTAAAAATCATTCCCGCCACGAAAATATACAATGAAGAGATCTTTGCCCGCGTTTGATATAACATAATGGATGTTCTTCATTATATTGTACTATCAATCTTGGCAGGTAAATTCAGCTGCCATTATGACCATTTGGGTTTCTTTTATTCCTCGGAAAACCTTTACGTAAAATTTAACTCAAAAACGGCCATCTCTTCTCACATGCAAGTTGCCAGGAACGCAATAAATGAAATTCTAATATGTTGATGAAGCCAAATTTACCGTCCACGTATTATCAGCATTGATGATTATTGAAGCATTAATTGCTAAAACATTTATGTAATAACATTTTTGCGGGAGATTTAAAACGAATTATTGATTTATATATTTCGTATTGAATCTGTTAAAATAGTTAATGATGCTTATAACAAACTGCTGTCACAAAGCTCCCACCATAATGAAGAACCATATGAAAATACTGAACAACTACATGCACCCAAACTTCCCTGTACGTATTATTCCGAACTGAACGTATTAAACCGAACTGGACGTATTATTTCGTGGCTAATGTGTCGTATTAATAGATTTTTATCTCAGTTCATGCATTATAATAAATTCAATGATTAGGTGTGCTACATAAATTTGAGATGGGCTCCTTGGATGCCTCGTGGTAGGAGCTGCAAATCTCTGCCTGCCTGATTATCTTATGTTAGGAAATAAATATTCGATTATTGTTTAAAATATCTTACCAAAATCGTTCATGACCCTCAAAAGTGTTCCGGCGATGGCCTGTAGCCGATTATTGTTGGTTAGGACACAGCTACAGGTTGGGAACCACTTAGCCACAGTTAATTCACTGTATGTACTTTTTTAAACAAATGAGCTGATCTTTTGCTGAATATTGTGGACGATACACGATTATTAGACCGCGCATAAATTACACATCCATATTATTGAGGCATGGCTAAAAAATTTTCTATGAATATTCTTAAAAAACGACAAAATTTCTTGCGGATACTATTCAATTTAACACAACAGTCATCGATAATTATCTACAAAATAGTGCCGTTATTTGATTCTGATCATAATGATACAATTCATTATATAATGATCCAAAATTAATTTATTTCCAAATATCTTTCAGTGTATAAAGCTTATATACGAATAGATAAGCATAATTCATTATTTATTAAGTAATTATTGGAAATTTCAACATGGCAGAAACTTTCTTCCGCTCGAAGTCCATGATTAGTGGCATAATTTGAAAATAAAACTTCATTTTCTTGTTTAATCGCGTCAAAAACTTTAAACGTGACTACACATGCATTTAATTAATTAGCTATCAAAATAAGGCCGAATAATTCTCAAGAAAGGTTTTATTGACTTTTAATAATCCATTGACTTGAGGTACAGCATCGCTGCCTTGTTCCTGGAATCAATATTCAGAACAATTGTTGTCTAAAATATATAAATAATAAAGAAAATAATAATGAATAAAGAATTAAAATAGATAAACTCGTACATAATTTTCCATTTGGTAATCAATGGAAATCAGCTTGCGTCGTCCGAGGGAACTGGAATTCAATTCTGTATTTTTAAGAAAGCTCATAAGAAGAGATGATTTCAAATTTATGGAGTCATACTAGAAAATTCGAATTTAATTACTGCTTCATTTTTCTAGAATCTGCACCGATACGAAAAGACAGAAGCAACTTTCGGCTCGTTTTTTAACGGCTTTAGGCCCAGTCTCCACAATTGAAATTTTCCCGGAAAATAAACAATCAATTAATTGATAATAACTAGAACAATACAAAATAATCTTGCATCGCAGTTAATTACTTGTTCTGAGTTTGTTGCTCTTCTGAATTTTGTAAGCGTAGATATACTTGCATGCGGATCTTCAAAACCTTGACTAAATATGGGAAAATTAATTCAGGAATTAGGAATTAAATTCTTTCGATGAATTTTCAACGCCTGAAAGATTTAAGTTGGCCACATTAATAGAAGACGAGTGAGAGTTGCCGTACAAATTTCAGAACAATGAAAAAAAGATGCCAAAATCAGTAAATCAACTTAAGATCACATAGTGGTCGACAACGGTGATAACTAATCACGGGAATAAATCGTTCAGGGGATATTAACATTATCCCTATACTTCGAGGACACAAAACTAATCTTTATTTAATTGAAATTATACGCAGGATTAGACAGAATTTTCATCGTGGATTCAAACGTGTTGTTAAAATTCATTTGTAAGAAAGGAGTTAAACTGAAATATTCGTGGTGTAGATCACTCATGAAGGCCAAACCCGAAGTTAATACGTTGTAAGGTTTGCTCAGATCAGTCGAACCGTTCTATGCAATTTCAGCAATTCCATTGTTCTGTAAGTTAGTGAGCATATTTCACTACCCGGAGAAAAAAGACTCTGACGTGACAAAAGTGTGTTTTCGTTAAACATGAACACGTCATGAGTGCCCAGCAAGTTTCATTGGATGAGTTCAAGTCACGTGACGCAAACAAAGATGATCGGCCACTCGTATTCCAGCCTTGTCCCTGACAACGGTCCTTAGCAACATATCAACAAATCGCTCAACATTCATTAAGTTCCAGTACAAAATCCTGTGAAAAACAACACATCAAGGAATAAATAAGCGCTAAGACCTAATTTACTATTTAGTTGGTATAACTAGTCTGAATTATAATTTATTAAATAAAAATATGTATCAAATGCCCATGGGAATTAAGATCTTTAACAGTACGTATGAGATGGGTACAGAGGTGCCCAGTCTGGCACAGCTCGTGTCGTGAATAGCGCGGCCTGAACTACGTTAAGTTACCAGCTGTTTATCATTGCAGACTTGAAAGAAAATGTAAACGCACACAAATCGTACATAAAATCTTAGTGAAATACAATAATTTTTGCTAATATTGAAATTTGGCTCACTCGCATGCTTCGATTATCGAAAGCAACGATCAATTTGATTGACTCATGAACAATGAAAACGTGAAAGAATAAATTTAAAGTGTCATGGAAATTGCTTGATGACATAAAGTTATAAACGAGGCTCTGAATTACTTAGTTGATTGTATTTTTCGACAATAAAATAAATGAATATATAAAGAAATTCTGGGGCATGACCTTTCGCTGTGCTCGTTGTTTATAATTACCTCAGATATCTTAGAAATTGTTATAATTAGTGCATTATAACAGGCTCGATGCAATCCTTCCTTATCCTAGGGCGCACTCGCTTGTTCTGAAGATATATTATTTTATAATCTTATTTAGTGTCCATTTAAATACTTACGTTTATTGAACTTGTAAACATGATTATGATATTTCAAATGACATATTACTAGAGCAACATGGAGCTTGAAGTTGAATCTATAAATTTGCGTAATTTCGGGATACTTATTCATTTTAAAGCATGTAAAATAATCGAATTAATGTTCCTGAGAAACCTTATCTCAAAAATATTGAATATCAATTATCTATCAGAATGAACCAATTTTTTTACAATGAACAACGATTTTAAGAAACTTGAAAGATGAAAATAAAGTACTCCAGTTTTATTCAACTTTTTACAAATTTTTTAGTATTAGGTCAGTGTATTAGGAAAATTATGTTAACATTCTTTGTGTAAGTGGCCTTCTTGACAAGTTTCTTACTCTTATTTATCCTCGAAAGTACTAAATCGTTTCATTGAGTAATTTCGAAAGCAATTGACGTACCATTAACAATTCTTGGCACCAAAAATCGTTGCACATAAGTCGCAAGTTAAACCTTAAAGCTCGTTTATATATATATTTATTCTACTTTCGCAGAGTATTGAAACTGTCGTCTTCGAGTGAAATGACTCCTTACTTGTTAATTATTCTTTCATGCCTCAAAATTCTCTGTAAAACTTTTCCGCGCGATTTAAACACACCCTGACACATGATAATATCTCCGGCTCATCCTGATAAGCAAAACCAATAGCTGAGATGAGTTCGGCAAAACGCAAACCTCGTACTCCATCCCCTCTCGAGGACGAGGGTTTGTTTACGGGGCCAAATCAAGAGGATTCATATACGGGACAAAATACAGAAGATTCATTTACTGGAAAAAATAAGGAGGATTCGTTTGCCGGTCGCAAGTTGTCGGTTTCGGAGTTCGACTCTCCAGCATTGCTGGATTACGATGCAGTGGCTTCACCAAGCGCGTCCAGCACGTCTTCTGAGCCCAGCTACGTACGACAACCTGGGTTCGAGCATCACGCGCATGAAGTTCCAGTTGGGAGATCATCACATACTCAGCAAAGTGACTTGAAAACTCAGAAAAACTTGCTGCCCAAGAGAATCAAGAAGAAAAAATGTCGTCCGGATGAAGGGTGTGACATGATTGCTATCGATGTAGGACCAAGTGTTCCCTCAACTAGACCAAAAATAAAGAAAGGTGAGGAAGAGTACCTACTATTTATTTGTTGATTAACATCTTTTTGGAACAACGAAAACACAAGTCCTCGGTAAAACAGTTATATCTAAGTAATATCTAAAAATTGGTTAAATAATTATAAAGAATTTCTTAAATAATTTTTAAGATCGCACAGAAATAGCAGGGTCGATTCACGAAGATCTTCTGGCGAATCTTGAACAGTTAACAGTTTCTTAACATTTTGGTTCACCACTTGTGCCTTATAAACCAAATTGTTTGTAACCAGTGGTCATTAAATTTTTTTTATAACTTATGCGTTATAAGACAAGTTCTAACAGCCAGTATAGTCATGAAATCCTTTGTTCATACTTACGCGTTATACGACAAGGTTCTCATAGCCAGTGTAATCATTAAGTTTTCTGAATTACTGATTGTTGTCACATGTTCTTGCCATGATAATATATTTGCTATATCCTTCAATTTCCTGATCATTCAAGGTATGTAATCAAGAACACACGGACACCAAATCGTTATATGCTCACAGTCGCATCCACAGTCGAACAATTAAGGTTAGCCGAAGAAAAACCGCCCTAGGCACAAAATACGCCTTACGAGATTTGTTGTATCAAGTTACACTCACAGAAGTGAGGGAAACTTTGTCCGAATAGCTATGCACCTTTTTCCCGTTTGCGGGTCATCCTGACTCAGTTAGGCGCAGCAACAAGGCGTTTAAGTATCCGTTCTCTCCGCGTGTCGTGGGTTAGAAAGTGCGTCACTGCATTGACCCTTACATTTTTATGAGTATTCCTGTCAATCCACCGATCTGTTCTAGCTTTACTCATACACTTACTCGTAAACTACAAAAATAAAAATTTAAAAATGCAATTTCCATATTCATGACCGAGTAAAATTGAAACTTTTAGACTTCTCTCAGTTACTGTAGTAGCAGAACGTTCTCAATTCTTGGGTTATTATGCTTTATGTTTTATTATTATTTTGATGATTATTATGATTATGATGATTATTATGATTACTTTGATTATATTAATTCACTGAATTGGACGAGTTAGAGTGAGTGTCCGGCGCAGACAAGTATGTTATTTTATCGCCCTGGCAGGACACGACAATTTTCTTCAACATCAAATCATCGCTCATTCCGTACCGCAACCTAAGAGAAAAATGTTTCAATAGTCCCTCATGCAACATGCCATGACACACTCAGAGAAACGGTCGAGACTTTGTCCACATTGTGATACATTTTTACCTTTTTGTTGGAAATCATTATTCAATTGGCCCGGCAAAAGGGTCCGGTCATTTTTTTTGTGTATACAATCCGGTCATTACAACACTTCTCTTTAACTTCACTTCTTGTTTGTTTGTTTGTTTGTTTGTCTGTCTGTCTGCTACAAATCTTGTAATCGAAATTTAACACACTTCTACTTATGCTATCGATCTGAAATTTTGCACACTTGTGTAAAGTTGGAGACAATGCATGAATCAAATGTCAAAATGAATGATTTTGAAAATTAAAAATTTTTTTCAATATTAAAAAAATTGAAAAAATAATTTTGTCAGCTACAAATCTTATAACTGATATTTGACACACTTTTACCTGTCTAATTGATCTGAATTTTTGCACACTTGTGCGAAATCAGAAGCAATGCATGAATCAATTAATAGAATAAATAATTTTGAAACAAATTTATATATTAAAAAATTATATATTGAAAAGTTGAAAAATTAATTTTTTTAATATTCGAAAATTAAATGAGAAATTCATTGTACATCTGTAAGATTGGAGATGCTGGATTCTTTGGAAATGTTGTCTTTAAAAAGTAATTTTTAAACGTATATTATTTTTTTGTGTATAAATCCGGTCATTTTTTTTGTGTATACAAGCCACTTAGCCGTATGATACATATTGGATCATACGGCTACATACGGTGGACTAAATAATCTAGTATTAGTAATGGATGAAACATTAAGAATAAACGTTTAGTATTAACATCAGTGTATTAGAAATTTAATATGTATCTATATATAGTATAAAATGAATTGTGATGCAATTTAAGATGTAATAATTTGATATTGTTGTTAGTATTCAGTTCTATAACTACTAACTATTGTTAATTGGTATAGTTTGATACAAGTTATTCCTTTTTACAACACTTCTCTTTAACATCACTTCTTGTTTGTTTGTTTGTTTGTCTGTCTGTCTGTCTGTCTGCTACAAATCTTGTAATCGAAATTTAACACACTTCTACTTATCCTATCGATCTGAAATTTTGCACACTTGTGTAAAGTTGGAGACAATGCATGAATCAAATGTCAAAATAAATAATTTTAAAAATTAATTTTTAAAAATTAAAAAATTATTTTTGTCAGCTACAAATCTTATAACTGATATTTGACACACTGATACCTGTCTAATTGATCTGAAATTTCGCACACTTGAGCGAAGTCAGAGGTAATGCATCAATAAATTAATAGAATAAATAATTTTGAAACAAATTAATATATTAAAGAATTTTATATATTAAAAATTTGAAAAATAATTTTTTTAATATTCAAAAATTAAATGAGAAATTCATTGTACATCTGTAAGATTGGAGACACTGGATTCTTTGGAAGTGTTGCCTTTAAAAAGTAATTTTTAAACGTATATTATTTAAAATATTTTTTGGGAACCTGCTGTTTGATCTTTCAACACCAACAAAAATTATCGTTCAACACATTGAAAAAAAATAACGAACAAGGAAATTATTGGTAGAATCATTCTTTGGTCTCCAATCGAAATATATATAGTGACGTTAATAATATCATTTATGAATAATAATAATGTCATTATTATTCTTTATTAATAATATTGTAGAGGGCTAGGTTAATTATTAGGGATTAGTAATGTGTATTAGCTTGATGTATGGTTTATAGGAAAAGGGATGTATTTTAATTAGGATGTAAAAGTTGTAAGATTGTTTTAGAAAGAATCGTAGCTTTGCTGACTGGTGTCGTACGAACGGATTCATTCGGATTTTAGAGAGCGGACTGTAAGGATCACTCTATTCGGCCTGTATATGTCTTGTTCCAGATTGTCTCGATTAACTTTGTAACCTTACCCAATTTTATATCTGTGTTGTGGTGTTGGATTTTAAGTATATCTTGACGAGAAAAGACTATTATTCCTGACAACAGTTCATGCGAACCTGGTGGTCCACAACAATATAAACTACATGAATTTATTCTATAATAATATTTAGTAGATGGTTATAAATGTGATAAATAATAATTAAATAAAATATCTATTAAAAATTCTTAATGATATTATTACTCTTAACACAATTCTGGATGCCACAGAACCTCTACCAATGAAGCTGCGAGACTTGCCACCGAGCTTCTGGGTGCAGCCCAACAGAGCGAGCTGTCTGCCACCGTCTGGCACGCTGCTGCCACCGCTGCTGCTGGGCAAGGACTATCATGACGTCACAGGTCAGTCATGACGTCACAGGTCAGTCATGACGTCACGGGTCAGTCATGACGTCACAGGTCAGTCATGACGTCACAAGTCAGTCATGACGTCACAGGTCAGTCATGCCGTCACGGGTCAGTCATGACGTCACGGGTCAGTCATGACGTCACAGCTCCTCTTGTCCTGTTGAACTTTGCCTGTTGAACTCACATGATGATACAAGGAGAGAAAACTATCGTTGAGTGCTCTGACTAGGAGTGAACCGCTTATCCTTCACTACTAAACTGGGGAACCGTTGCAAGGGACTTCCTACAACACACTGGTGCATCAATTTTCAAATTTTTATTCTTGATGGCTGTCACTTCAAAATTTTGTCAATTATCATTTCATTAAAAAAACTGCAGACATTTTGAATACTTTGTGTAGTAGTTCACAGCTTACGCGGGTTCGATCCCAGCTCTGTGTGCCAGTTTTTGGTCAGAATCGGCGAAGAGGCCGGGCGGTTAAGCACAGCTGAATTGTAGCAGTGAGTTGCGAGTTCAAGCCCGCAACAAGCTGTGAATGTTCTGCAATGTTAAGAATCCGCGACAGGCCTACGGCCTAATAAACGTTGAAACCGCTATATTTATATATATCTTCTATAATGAAATGTTCGAATCACATTCCATTTTTTTGATCGCAGCGTAAAATGTCGATATACGAGACATATTCAGTTCGCAATACCGACTAAATATTTTTCTATTGCCAGACGTACGGCCGGTCACTCCCCCAGAGGTCGGTGAGCAACGAGTGTGTAGGGGAGACGGCAGTAAGTACTCCGTTTCTTCCCCCTCACCCACTCTCTCCAGCCACTCACTCCTCAACCTACATCACTCACCATCATCGTCATCAATCATAAGCTCCACCATCAACACATCTCCTTCATCATCTTCACTATCGGCCCTAGCATCACAGACATCATCTTCATCATCACAACCCAAATCATCCATTTTTACTGGCTCTCTACATTCACCGCCACCCGATGCTGTGATGTCACCTAATATACAACCCTGCACATCACCAACATCACTGTACTCTGCATCACAATCTCCTACCATGAAACATCATCCATCCTACTCATCGCAATCTTCTTGTCCTGCTTTATTCGGCGATTTATCTCAATCTCCACATTCATCTTCACCAATTCTACTATCGTCGACCAAGTCATACCAAGAGCGCCGGGGCGAAACCATCATCAAAGTGGGCAACACGGACCTTCTTTTTAGCCTCTTCGATAAGGTTGAGCAAGGAGACCGAAGAAAACTTCAACTCTTGAAGAGAACTCGGTGAGTGAAATAAAGGCAATTAATTGCTAAATGGTAAATAATATGTCATTATACAAATGATTTATTACTCTTTTATGGGTTTCTTAGTGCTCTTTTAGAGTAATGAATAAGCTTTTGAAATAGAAGCAAATTATTAATATTGAGAACTCGGTGAGTTAAGTACGGGCGTATGAGATAAATAAATATTAATTTCTAAACGGCAAGTAATATGTCATCATCTAAGTGATTTATTACCTTTCTAGAGATTTTTTTAGTACTCATTAAGAGTAATAAATAATCTTTTGAAACAGAAGCAAATTTTAAAAATTGTCAAAGGCAGTGGAGAAAACGTAAACTCTTTAAATTATGATATATAATTTACCTAAAGAAATCCCAGTAGGTTACTGAAATACTGAATTTAAAATCCGGCGACTTTCACATGTATCACTTCCTAATAAAAACTATGTACTATAATTCTTTATGATTGCATGAGAGGCTAGACGATATATATATTCAAGTCAGTGAAAACAATAGGCAATGAAGTTATCCTTTATGTTTATTGTACAGTATTGTATTGTTATCCTATTAAGCGCTTTCTTCCTGTGTAATGTTCCTAATTCTGCGCTTAAAACTGACACGTACTTAATGGAATAATTCATTTATTCTATCTTCCGAAGTATGTAGTCATGTGAGTCTGAACGAAGCAACGTTATGTTATTATTAAATAATAAGAATTACCTGGAAAAATCAGTCATTTGCTGTAATAACTGTTCTATCAATACAAAAGACTTCAGAACAGAAAGTTAATAGAGATTTGGGATTAAATCTTTCATATAAACGGATGCGAAACTAATATTTTCAAATATAAAAAAGGTGTATAAAATTAAAAATTAATTAAATTTATTTAGTGTGACAGCACTTTAAACCTTACTGTTCGAACAAATATATAGGAATCCATAGCCTAACTTTGAAAAATTCATCCCCTTTCATCGTAACTCTTAGCTATTGAAAGCTATTTAAATACTTTTATTTACCTCGTTTTACTAATTAACTGTAAAATTCGAATGAACTTTTGCGGGTCATGGGAAATTATCCCTGAATGAAATCTTTGAGGTTTTTATGTGAATATAGTTCCTTTTAGTAGTGATACGGAGCGTGAACGCTACAGGCGGTGGTGTTATTAACTGTAATCGATGTTTGACTCCAAGGTCGAGCCACTGTGTAGTGGCAACTATACGGAGACGTGTTCGCTGTGTCAGGCGCTGAAGCTTATTATAGAGCTGCTTGTTTAATATTACTATCAATCTTTAATTGTAGGATCGTTACTGAAAAACTAATACATATTTCTCGCGGTTATTTGTAATACTTCGATTCGGTATTTTCTGCTTTCTGCTTTATTTATCTACTAGCAGCTTGGACTGGAGTGGATTGAGATAGAAAATCTCAGCAATTTCAAAATCCCGTCAACCTGCATTCTGTTAGCCTGATATCTTTCATTCCGAGAAACATCATCTCGTATTCTATACCCTATAATAAGTTTAAAAACTAACGAACCTAATTTTTGAAATGTCATGTTCTTTTAGACAATTAGCATAGAATTTCATTTAGCTCCGAGTTCGCAATTCAAGGGACATCATAATTATTATTATTGAACGAAATTTAGAGTATAAAATAAAAAATCACACTTCAATTTCATAATTCACCCCTTCCCCACCCTATCTTGTTGAGTCCAATGATTCAATTAATACGGATAATTTTTAGGTCCAGCTCATATACCGACACGATAAATAACCTGGCAACCCACTTGCACAGCCTCTATATATGAGTATTTACGTAGGCCTCTATACATTCGTATTTACGTCTGCCATTATATATTTGAATTTACGTCATCCTCTATATAGATTCGTATTTACGTAGGCCTCTATATATTCGTATTTACGTCATCCTCTATATATTCGTATATACGTCATCCTCTATATATTCGTATTTACGTCATCCTCTATTTATTCGTATATTCGTATTTACGCCATCCTCTATATAGATTCGTATTTACGTCATCCTCTATATATTCGTATTTACGTCATCCTCTATATATTCGTATTTACGTCAGCTCTAAATATGCGTATTTACGGATCCTGGCGTCAAGCAAACTCTCAAACTTTGACCAATATGTATAAAAATTTTAATTAAACAATATGCAGGATATAATGTATACAACTTTTCCTTTGTATGAGAAAACTACATTTAGTTACATAGCTGCTTGTAATTTTATCAGATTCCATCAGCGGATCAAAATGAATTATTTGCGATACACCCGCCATCTTGTCAGCATTTTACGACGATCTTTCATTCACAATCATTCAAGTTATCCCTTAATTCCTAATTAAGTATTAATTTTTTCTATGTAATTTTTCTACAACTTGGGAACGTTGACATTTTTTTATAAGGCCAAAAAGCCGGACCGTTGCTCGTTGTAGGCTCGTTCGCTAAGTTTCGTTTTAATGCCCACGCGGCAGCATATCGAACGAATCATGAATATGAATTACCAAGCTTGTCATGAATATGAATAACCAAGCTCATCATGAAGATGAATAACCAAGCTCATCATGAAGATGAATAACCAAGCTGGTCATGAAGATGAATAACCAAGCTGGTCATGAAGATGAATAACCAAGCTCGTCATAAAGATTAATAACCAAGCTCATCATGAAGATGAATAACTAAGCTGGTCATGAAGATGAATAACCAAGCTTGTCATGATGATGAATAACCAAGCTCATCATGAAGATGAATAACCAAGCTTGTCATGATGATGAATAACCAAGCTCATCATGAAGATGAATAACTAAGCTGGTCATGATGATGAATAACCAAGCTCATCATGAAGATGAATAACTAAGCTGGTCATGATGATGAATAACCAAGCTGGTTATGAGATGAATAACCGAGCTCATGCTACCGATAAAGTATTCATTTAATCGCCCCTAGACCAAGTCATTCTAATTTTGCAGGAAATTTTTAAGTGGTCCATCAACTGATATTTTAAGATATTCTACACAGCTACTTTTATGACACGTTATATGAATCTTAACAGTTTTACATCTCAATATTTACACCATAATTCTATACGTGTCTCTTATTCCTCCTGTCTAACCTCGCATTAACTGTCGACAATGATATTCATACCTACTGGACAGGACAGGTTATCGTATAGTTAGGACAACGGATACAAACATATAATAATATTACATGCTTGCTACGGGTATATTAACCGGTTCCAGAGCTATTATTATCTAAGGACCCATACGAATGATATTATTGCTAGTATCTAAAGCATATACGTACTTATGCGGATACATCAACCGTCGTTAGCACTAACAATTCATATCTAATAGCCTGATATCTGGAGCTGTCCTATGTTTAATAACGCGGAGTAAGCCTATTAGCTGCCTAAACACAATGTTATTACTCAGAGTCGATAATAATGTTATAACTATAGGAGTCAATAATAGCATCATAATTCTAATATATTTTCATCACAATTATTATAATTATGATATAAAATACATCTTATAATCAGGGTGAGGAAAGGTAGCAACCCGCCTCCGGTGCGCCACCACCGGGACGACGACCCGTGCCTCGTGGGCGCTGTGACGGAGGGCCTCTTGCCGCTGCTCGACTCCACCCCTCACTCGTCAGGGGCGTCCACCCCACTGGGGACCAGGCATACCCAGCAGGTCATTATATGAATGAACGCCAAAAGGCCAGATCACTAAATATCTTTCAGGTCATTATGCCAGGTCATTAAATACCTTTCAGGTCATTAGACCAGGTCGTTAAATACCTTTCAGGTCATTAGGCCAGGTCATTAAATACCTTTCAGGTCATTAGGCCAGGTCATTATGCCAGGTCATTAAATACCATTCAGTTCATTAGGCCAGGTCATTAAATACCTTTCACGTCATTAGGCCAGGTCACTAAATATCTTTCAGGTCATTAGGCCAGGTCATTAAAAACCTTTCAGGTCATTAGGCCAGGTCATTAAATACCTTTCAGGTCATTAGGCCAGGTCATTATGCCAGGTCATTATGCCAGGTCATTAAATACCTTTCAGGTCATTAGGCCATGTCACTATATATCTTTCAGGTTATTAGGCAAGATCATTATATACCTTTCAGGTCATTAGGCCAGGTCACTAAATACTTTCCAACATAGGATATACCATTTTAAAAAAGATACAATTTTACTGAGAATTTATTTGATAATTTGTCGCATTAAATTAATCTAGTGGTGGCATGGGTAATTTATTGAGAGAAATCGTGCAGAATTCTTTTCGCGAGCTCATGGGCTCGTTCCCTCGCAGGAGTAGTTATTTTGCTTAAAATAAAAATTAATTTCATTCATGTTAGCTTGAATTAATCTTTCCAGTGTCTGCCTATTAAATATTTAGAAATTAAGGAATCATCAAAGCAATCGAAACAAATATTTTCGACTGATTAATTGAATATAAGTTTGTTGTATTACGCATTTAACCTCAGAGTTTCAAACTCATAACCGATGCATGAAATTCTTTCACAATCCATATTTACGTATATTTTGCAAGTTAACAAAAATTTGAGAACAAAGAATAGTCAAAAAGAATAGAACAAAAATAGTCAAAATTTGAGAACAAAGAAATTCGTATCTATATAGAAAACGTTTCGGAGTCCAGCTCCATCGTCAGTTCGTAGAATCTAGAATCACAGATTCTATAATCACGTATTTTTTCGTGGGCAGGTTGTAGAAATGGTGAACCTGAAAGGAAGCAACCGCACGTGGTCGCTGCCATCCCTAAACGTCGAGCCAAACTACAGCCAGATGCTGTCCGAGCTCGTCATGAAACTTTGACCTCATATCAACATGATTACTCGCTCGGCTGTTTTGTAAATTTTAATATGTAATATGGCTCGGTCAACTGTTTTGTAAATCCTAAAAATACGGCGCTGTTAACTGTTTTTTAAATCTTAAAAATATGGCTCCGTTAACTGTTTTGTATATCCTAAAAATACGGCTCCGTTAACTGTTTTCTAAATCTTAAAAATATAACTCCGTTAACTGTTTTGTAAATCTTAAAAATACGTCTCCGTTATCGGTTTGCAAATCTTAAAATAATAGCTTTATTAGCTGTTTTTCAGATCCTAAAATATGACTTTATTAACTGTTTTGTAAACCATTAGAGAGTGACGCGATCGACTTATTTTGTAAATCTTTAGACAATCACTACATTGACTGTTTCGAAAGTTCAAAAACAATGACATGATTGATTGTTTTTGAAAATTTGAAAAACATTGACGTGCTTGCCTGTTTTGTAAATCTCGAACGACTGACAGACGTCAGGAATTTCTGAAGTCCGAATGATATTTTATCTCTCAATTCCATACGGTATTATAAAGACCTATTGTTACACATGAGTAGTTTCTTCTACGCGGCATAATGCAATATTGAACGAAATGTTTTTATGAACAGTGCACATTATCATTGATGTGGGACCATAATTCTAGCGTTGTTTAAATTAAATTGAACACATCTGGATCGATCAAATAGGAAATTGGTCATTCACTTCTTAATATCCGTTATATAATCGCTCATTTTAGAAGAACGCAAACATAAACTCTTCAGCAATGATATACAAGTAAATTTTCGGTCAAATTTCAATTAAATGTTTCGAGATTTCTGCTTAATATATCAGCTAAAATGAGATTATTTGAACAAGAAGAGAGAAACTTAATGAATCTAAACTCACAAAGATAAAAGTCAGTTATTTGTACCAGTCTAAATTTGCCTTGAAAAACTTTGAGTAGAATAAACCCAATAAAGATTAAGCGAGAAAAATGGCACGGACTTCGATTTAGTGACAACCGGTTTTGTAATTCATGCTTCTCTTCCTAAAAAGGAAAGGAATTTAATGATTTTACAGAACCCATTTGAATTATACATTAAACTTGTTAATTTTCCTGTCAAGGAAAATTTCCGCAAGTTATACGATTAAATTTTTGTTTCATGCAACAAGCCAACAACATATAAATTTGTTATACTACTTAGACCAAGAATGAATTCATTTCAGTCATGTAGGTATATATCACGAGGCTCAAATTAATCTTCGGTTTCGATATTTATTTTTCCACAAACGTATCCATTTAATAGCTATGCTCAATTAAATAAGAGCATTTTTGACAGCCCGGAACTGATTTAAACTCTAAACAATGCATTGTGTCGCGAAAGCTTCAGAGCTCATTCATGTTCAAATGTTTACATTAACACGATCATACTCGCGTGTAAATATGAGCATGAATAATGAGAACATTTCTCCATTGATTATGAAAGCTCTCACGTAAACCAACCTCATTGACTTGCAAACTCCTACACTTCTTATCACTTAAAGCAACGTTACATCTCGTCCAGCGAACTGAACTAATGTTTCGGAACCTCCGGTCATTAGATAAACGTAGTATTTCTGTAGAAATGATAATTGAAGCTTTTTAACATGTGTCTGTGGGATTTGTGGTCAGTTGCGTACGAGAATCCTTTCTGTGTAAGCATGTATAGAGGTTTTCCTCAGTGGACTGGAAATTAGAAACCGCTGTTCTTGATTTTGGTACATTAGAATCTTAATTCGAACAATGCGATGAATTTTTTTTCACAACTGCATGGGTAGTTTTTTCAATACTATTATTTATAATTTTTATTAGACAATTTTCATACCAAGTTTGATTTTGTTGTTGTAAAAGTGTAATTTTTGTACATTTAGCATGTTAGAAGCAGATATTAGATACAGGTATTGGTTATTGACACGTTCATAAAACTGACCCTGAGCTAATTACATCTTAGTAATTACTAAGATCTACTGATCCTGAGCTAATTACATCCCGTATCGGATTGAATATTTCTAATTTGTGATATAACAACGGACCATGCACGAGTGTTTCTCTGTATAGAATTAATACAAAGGATGTGAATTATATAAATATACTTGTTGAAATCAATGCAATTTTTACGTCATACAATATGCATTCTATTCCCTTTACTTCGAATTATGAAGCGGTTTAAATTTCTTCAACAAACTTGATGAACTTAATCTATCCTCAGACTTTCATTGCATTTCCCATAACCTAAACTAGCTTATTCTAAAACTAGCAGTAGCATTTCCTGATAGGACACCGGAGCATAATGTGGGAAACGCGTTATTAATTTTCTTTTTTACAAATTAAAAATCGAATACGAAGTTAAATTAAAGAACTACAAAGAGTACATGAGATCCCAGAAGTGTTCAATTTCAATCGGTAAGAAAAATCACTTTGTGTGGCCATAATTTTTTTAATTAATATAATTTCAATTTTAGTGGCTGCATTAAAAACTACATTATCGATCAAATTTATGTTGAATTTCATGAAACTCAGCCTTTCTAACATGACAACACAATATGTCATTAAACATTTAATATATCCAGCCAATATGTCATATATGCTGTCATACTAGATAACATATTGTACTATAACAAACATGAATGTTAAAATTTTCAGGCAACAAACTTTCGAATTTTTACAAATTAATTTTCATCTATGAAAATCCGCCATTCAGATCGCGTAGTGTGCAGTATGGCTTGCTCTATGCAAGGGGCATTAGGCTCCAGTAACTATTGAGTAGTTATTCGTGGTTGCGTAGTCATGAAAATTTTGCTTTTTAAAGACCGAAGTAGAATAACAGTGCATCGAATGTTTCTTAAATGTTGGCTACCGCATTGGATAATTCGGTATAGAAATAACCATGGGTGTGTTATGTCAAACGAATCAAGCCAGCAACATTCGACAGGATTTATCCGCGAAGTAGGCTACAACCATTATGTAAATTCCGGACATTCTTTCATGGCGTTATTTTTGAACTCTATCATCTAATTCATTGAAATGAGACGTTTGATAGTCATAATAAATTTGTTTCGTATAGGTCTTTGTTTTATGATTTCTAGAAATTGAGTGTACTGACTTATACTTGCATTTCATGATACTTCGACCATGGGGGAGTGACTTGCACTTTTACATTCCGACGAATAACACTGTCATTTGTTTTACTTCTGCGTTGTGAATTTCGTGATTTTTACGATATATTTTCTGCTTTTTAGTGAAGTGTGCAAGAGTTGAAAGCAAAGCTTGAACTTCATTTCGGTAGAAAACGTCGTGCCACGTCACGTACCTAAACATCAGCCGTGACTGCCAATTCTTGAATAGTTTTAAAACGAAAGATTAATCGAAACTTTGCCTAATATTCGGTTAATAAAACTCATTTCGTATTGTTGCTAACTATTTTCTTATATTTAATGTAGCTGAAGTTCGTAAGTAGTGTCGAAATTAATGTATCCATTAAAAATTTAACTCGGATACGAATCGTCACATTCACAGAATTGTGAATTGCCCAAACCTAACTCAGGGTATATACTCATAATATGTATAACCTGATTATTATTTCAAAAATGAAATTTCTATCATTAAATGAATATACATACTAACCCCACAAATATTGGTTGGGATAATGTAACCCTTGCGCCCCCCTACCCTATAACTGAAATTTTTCTTATTGATCATTTTTTTAAGTTCTTATTTTTTGTAGACGACATTTTGAGTCATGGGTTTAATATTCTACGAAGATTTTGGAGGAAAAGTTGTATATCGCTGCCGGAAATGCGACATTTATTTAACTCATCAATGTCACCTCTTGTCGGAAGACTTCGTCGGATCTTCAGGACCAGCCGAACTTTTTCATAAAGTTTATAATGTTAGACATGGGTGAGTTTTTATTACGTAATTGTGCTCACTTGTGATAATATTTTCCGCAAAATTCATTATGATAATTATGACTCCGCAGTTATTACATAATTGTGCTTGGGAATATTTTATATTCGGGTTTTGTCAGAATTTTGAGCATATTCTACGTAAAATTTTAGCACGTCGGCTTGTAACTTAGGAATAAACGATTCATAAAATTTATTCATGAATAATACTCTAAAATTTCGATTAATACCCAACGTAACTTTAGCCTGTTTGTAAGATAAAACAGTTTGTAAGGTTAATCAGGTGGCAATGTTAAGCAATAGGTGCAATCATGAGAAAAAATGCATCTCATCATTCTAGTTTCGCGCTGATTCCGGAAAATCCGGTTCCGCACTCGGACATGTCGGCTTGTTTCTGGTTAAGGGAGGCTCTTATCTCAGCGTTCATGTCTAATCTTTACAGCTGCGCGCAGTTTTTAATAAATTATGAAAAAAAGTCGACAAGAACTGTGCAACAAGACTGTTGAACATAGTTCTTCCCAACTCGTCTGCACATTGTGCATACGAGTTGGGATACAAGGAATTTGAATGTATAAAATTGAATTCGCAGTAGACTTTAGGCGAAACAAAATGCTTAACCTCTGGTGTAAGTATGCATCACGCGTTTTCATTTCTAATCGTAATTAAAGGCCCGAGAACCTAGATACGATTATATTATATCAGTAGAATACGATTATATTTTAGTGCCATTCATAAAATAAACCTTGCCCGCTTATATATGTAGATTAATTAATCAATTGCTTATGTCTACATTGTTACCGCCAGACCGGCGACGAGAAGGCACATGATGACGGGTGGTCACTTCGCCAGAGACGTGTTCTGTAAGCGCTGCGACACTCTGCTCGGCTGGTACTATGAACTGGCCGACCGAGACCTGCAGCAGTGAGTGTAATAATAGCGGTTTCAGCGTTTATTAGGCCGTAGGCCTGTCGCCGATTCTTAACGTCGCAGAATATTCACAGCTTGTTGCGGGCTCGAACGTGCAACTCACTGCTTCAATTTTGTTGTGCATAACCGCCTGGCCTCCTCGCCGATTCTGACCAGAAACTGGCGCACAGAGCTAGGATCGAACCCGCACGTACCTCTCTGCGCCAATCCTGTTACTCTGAACTTTAACCACTGGGCCACCCTGCCCACACCACTGGGCCACCCTGCCCAAATAAGAGTTATTTAGTAGTAGTAGAGTAGAGTTATTTGACTTATTTCGTAGGGGTTTTCTTCGATGGTTAATTGAAACGTGTTTTCGTGTTTGTGAAAATATTTCCGCCGATGTTTAGAGCCAAAAGTTTTTTAGCTATTGGATGGTACAGAAAAATTACTCGTATATACATAATCACTTGATTATTGAGCAAAACATTTGAATCAGTAATTGCGGCTCTATTGCACTTACCATATTGTCGAAAGAAAATCACGATATGATTCCAGCCCAAGATTGCATCGTTATGAGACATATGCCTGATGGAACGTACATAAAAAGCAAATTACCGAGACCGTACAAATGGAGGATTTAAAAAGTTCTTGCCGTGAGTATACAAGAGAATCTGTAAAGTGAGTATTCAGAGCATAGTGGGCGGCGAACAGTGAATGTTGAGAGGACAGCTAGCTGCGAACAGTGACTGTTCAGAGGGCTATACAAACTATACCTACATGCACACTGTATCTATGATCAATCAACGATAAATTGTGGCCAGCAAAGAAAATGGAGAGACTGGAGCAGTGAGTAGAGGGTTTAAGCACCAGCCAACAGTGAAAATACTGGTCGAAATAGGTGAATTTGACGTGCAAAGAATAGCAAGATTAGAGGAGAGCGAGTTCGAGACACAGACAACTGTGATAATTTAACTCTGTCTAGAATATGCCAAGTTTAAAAATGAATGCCTCCACTTCATTGTATTCATACAGATAACTAAACTGAAATAAAAACTTTTCAGAAATCAAGTCTACCGTTCAAAATTAAAAAACAGTTATGGACAAATGAGGTAGCGAAATCCATCGCTGCAAAATTTTAAGGGGCGAAGGTAACTAGAAAAACGAGTAAAAAACTAGCGAATATTAATCGGTAACGATCCAAATAGGCGCTCGGATTGGTGTGAGATTAAAGTTCAATTGCGCTCTATCTACGAACTTTTGAATAATTTTGCATACGAATTTTGAATATTTTTAAAATAAATAATGAATGGTTACGCAATAATAAATTTAAATGCATATTCCATTAGAATCCTCTTGAAATTTTGGGTAGACGAATTTGTTTCGTTTTGTACGAGTATCTATTTCATCCTACCTTCATGTCAATCTTGTTAACTTATCCCAAATGTAAATTTATGTTTCACAATTCTTCATACCAGTTGTGTTTGAATATTGTAAACTGATGATGGATCTGGTCTTCAAAACATTTCATTATCAATTATTTGGGTTCACTTTTTTGACATTTTCTTTTCCATCAAATTTTGTTCCAATTATCTATTCTAGCATTCAGTTGAGCTAAATATTTTAATCAACAGTTTCACATATTCGTTGAATTTTTTCCATTTTGTTCCGTTGAGAAATATCATATCCTGTATCAACAATGGACAGTGCTATAGGAAGGAAAATTTCATCATAGTTGTTGTTGGTTCGAAATTATCATTTTGCACTTAATTAGCTGCCTGTTGATTTATTTGCTAAAAAAATTATAAATTTTCACGAGCGTTCTTAGTCACTTGCGTGTGGTGTAAAACATTCTCTTCCAATACATTTATTTAAATCAAATTTCGAAGTCATTTTAGATACGCTTAGATGAAATTCTAAACGTTATATAATTGAGCTTCCACTGTGTTTTTCAATAAAAAAATTCATGCAAGATTTTTATTTGGAACAATTTGGAGAAATACGCACATTAGATGCTTTGCGTTGGACCGATTGGGATAGTTGCATTTGCGTGTTATTCATGATAATGATAATATTTATTTACATAATTAGTAATTCTAATGAATATTATTAATCATTATACTTATGATAATTTAAGTATTTCAATTTGTTATATTTATAATATTCACGAATATTTATATACGTTAAAAAAGTATCTTCTTGCTCAGGTACAAAGAAGACTGCACGATTCTCGAAGTGAACCTCACGCGGAAAGAAACCCGAGAAAACAGCGAGTGTTTCCATCCTGATGTGTGACTTGCCTGTCTGACTTGCCTGTCTGACTTGCCTGTCTGACTTGCCTGTCTGACTTGCCTGAATTACCACGAGCTCTCCTAGCACAAATAGTTCAGCGCTTCTATGTCAGCTAATGAAAGTACAAGCCGATGAATGATGAAATATGCGACTGAATCTTTAGTTATCTAAGATTTGCTTGATGGTTGGAAATGCCGCTGCAGTTTAACAAAGCTGCCGCGTCCGTAACATAAAAATTGAAGAGTATGCATTATGTCCATGCATATGAATGGCTTGTGTAGATTGAATCAAGTTCAATTCGGATCTTAATTCGAGTCATGTATGCTGCGGGTCATCATAAAGGCAAAAAATATATCTTTGATGAATTGCATCCCTTTCAAGGAGATAAGTTCCACCTTTTAACACAATTTCCGGTAGAGAAATGTGTATTCAAGTAATTTTTTAGATCAATGTATTTATTCAATAGTTGTCTATTGCCCTCTGCCAGCCCGGTTTGAGCTCCAAGCTATTACTGCATGCAGGCAGAAATAGTACCACGTTTTATAGGATCTCGTCAGCTGTCAATACTTCGAGTAAAAAAAACTAACGTTTTTGTCGAAAATATTTTCGTTTTGTTTAATTTTTGTACTTTTTCGTTTCTTGTATTCATGCTAATTTCAAGCCATACATTGATGTATAGTTAGAAATCTTAGTTTACTCCAGGACTAAACTAAGATTTCGTTGATGAACTTAGATTTGAGCGTGAAGGAGCACCCAACTCTTGGTAAAATTTTTTTATTTATCCCGTCATCTACGACACAATTCGTAAATGACGCCATATTATTTTATGTCACAATAAACAAGTGACAAGTTCCAGCACGCCAAGTTCGACCTGCTGACAATGGAACTTAATTATTTAGGAAATATAATAAAAGGAAATGTATGGTTCTCATATATATACTTGTGTTTCTATTCCCGTTTTTATAATATAGATAATGATAATGGCACCAAGATGGGAGGAGTTGGCCGTGGGTTCAAGCCTTAATTAGGAAGCTCACCACCAAGCAAATGAACAACGTTTAACTAACGTCGATTCAACGAAACAACGTTTAATTCAACGTTGATTCAACTTCAGATGTCTGGTCTTTCGTTTAGCTTTGGTTCGTGTTGCTGGTGTGTAGGACGAGGGTGGTGCTTCAGCATGGCTGTACTAAGTGATGTTAAAATTATATTTAGTCCGGAAGAACTATCACGCATGAAATTTCATGAGGTCCTTAATATCTTCTGCATAAAAATATGCAGGAACTTTGAATTAATATCGAAATTAGTACAGGCTAAGAAGTTTGTTTGCCGTTTCTTAGATGATTACCTTTAATCGACCACCATCAATAAAATGCGAGTCTCCACAAAGGAGTGACGGCACTTGACTTGCCGTAAAGTGAAAACGGTATAATGCTGCTCAGAAATAAGATTCTTTTGTTCAGCCTAAAAACTTTGCAAAGCTCTTTCCGTCCAAGCTACTTTTCTGTTCATATGTACAGCGTACGTTTTATGAAAAGGCTGAAGGAGGTTGGTGACAGGAATGCGCACAAATAGAAGTTGCAATTGCTCAAGGACAGTTCTACTCAGGTAATAAATGCGTAGCGTTTTTTGAATTGTGATTGGTGTGCCACCGGCAATAGCGTTAGTCCATCAGCATAGTCTCCTGCATAACAAATTTCGCATAAATTACCGACTTTTTGCACATGCAATATAATCATTGCCAATTACAGAAAATCAACCACTGCAGAACCAAGTTCAGTTGGGCATTTATCATGCATTTATTAGTTGTCTTGTACTGCATGAAAGCGCTGAACTTAATGCGAATACAATCAATTTCGTAGCCAACAAACAACCAACGTAATGATCGCGCTCCTGGCTACGATCGCCAAGGTCATGGAGTCCGCCTCTGTCAAGCCTCGCACGCGGTGTTGTCTCTAATCCTTTTTTCGGTGTTCGCCGCAGAGTTTCGACAGGGAACTTGACTGGCAAATCTTTTATTTCCGTGGTTAAATGACACCATTGTGCCACTGTGTGAAAGTATTGAAAGGAATTATGGACTTTTCAGTCTTTAAATTCACTCAATAATTTGTTTCTTCTCTTTAAAATTTGCCCATTCGTTTCATGGGCTAGTCTAATTTCCTATTTGCGGCATCTGAGACATGAAAGTTATCGATCACGCCCCTCAACCCTAAAATTTTAAAATTTCAATATCAGTCCCATTATTGGGATTATTATATATGCAATTTCGCGGCAAAATAATTATTTTCCTGTGAGCGAACTGAGAATTTAAAGAGATCCGATGAGAAAATTAAAGAAGTCACATTGTCTGATTAGGGACACACTTTATGCGCGTAGCACGTTAACGCTTGTGTACCAAGAAAAAAGGGTTAGAATGACCTCCAAAAGGGCAAGCAAAACTGTAACGCTATTTTGAAAAAGCCTCACTCATTTCATTGAGTGCACGGGTGGGTGCTTGGCGCGGTGACACTCCTCTAAACTTCGCCAAAATTAGACCAGGCGAGCGAAATGCCGCGATGTGACCGGTGCCATCTGGCGACAAATTTTTATCACGATTGGTAGGTCCCGGAGCATACACCTCATAAAAATAATAGCGGTTTCAGCGTTTATTAGGCCGTAGGCCTGTGGCCGATTCTTAACATTGCAGAACATTCACAGCTTGTTGCGGTCTCGAACTCGCAACTCACTGGTACAATTTTGCTTTGTTTAACCGCCCGGCCTCCTCGCCGATTCTGACCAGAAACTGGCGCACAGAGCTGGGATCGAACCCGCGCCTCTCTGCTCCAATCCTAGTACTCTGAACTTTAACCACTGGGCCTCATCGTAAGAAAATTTTTACTTAGTCGGTGGAGCCTCCTATTGAAAGAAAAAAATTAAAATGCTAAACTAATGGATGTAAGGTACTTCGTATTTAATTAAAGACCAAATCTGAAGTCGTTTCCAATCTGAAGTCGTTCAGTAGCTATCAAACCATGGAACAATCCAGAGCTTGAAGGCAGAGTTAGTAATTATGCCAAATGAGATACTGGCTCAAACTGTTTTGATTATGACGGGCAGCCAAAAAAATGTTAAGATGCTTCAAATATTTTTCCCCATAATTCTGCGTGAGTCGGATTCTATTGAAAAAATTGTTACTTTTTCTATCGTTTTTCGGAATAATGGAACCACCATTAATCGTTGCTTACCTCAAACAACAAAAAAAACACTATTATATTTATAATTTAAATGACTCCTCGAAATGGTTTACGCAGTCATCGCAGAACTTAGGCTATTCAATGAAATTCAATTCAATTTTTGTTAGGATTATATCAGTTCGCGTAGACACACTATCCCTTAATCGGAAGAATTGCTGACCCATGTTTCAATCCACCATCATGGTAGAAATTTTTATATGATTATTTTTAGGGTTTTCATTCGACAAAACCCCATTTCACGAATACTATATATAATCTTAACACGCATCAAATTCTGGAAATATCCACATCCTACCCAATAAATAAGCAGCTTATGCAAAGAGTGTAATATTATTTTCCTCGTATGTTTTAGCTCCACAAGCGTCGCAACATGTCTCCCCAGCGCCCTGCTTGAGTGCTTCTTTTTAGCAACAGTTGGCAGAGCTTCGACTGCCGTAGCCCTCTCCACCTTCGTCACTCGTCCTCGACATACCAATTCCTGCTTCAAGGTTATAGCTTTTTTGATTATGGCATTTTTTGTACATTTTCGTACGTACCGATCATTATGGTACGACATAAATTTTTATTACTCATGTTATCTTGTCACATAAATTTCGACAGTATTTTTTTCGCGACCTTTTATGCTCATGCAAGTTCTATCTATGGGGTTATTTTGACGTTACTTTAAATTTCCGGTAAAATAACTATTCATATCAAATGTGCGTTTATCAGAGTTTGTGTGTTTGTGTCAGGTAAGATAAAATAACGGATATCAATCGAAATCAGGAAATATCCCTTTGCTTATCGTGTCAGGATAATGCATAGGAATTTTACTCACAATGGTCGAATTTTGTAACATCGAGGAAGATGACTTACCATGACAAATTTTACCTTTTTTCGTATGTTTACATATCACCAACAATATAAAAGTTTAAATTTCTTGGAAAATTTAAAATAGTACTTGAATTATAGTTTTTTGCTAAACACGGGTTTGAAAATGTCTTCCCTTAACTACGCTTCTGCCGTTTAAAACGCCGGGCTATCCTGCAGATATGTTTTAATTCGAAAATTTGTCATCGTAGCCAGCATCGGTGACTTGTTTCAGTCGAAACCCACTTAATGTAGGTTTGACAGAAAACGTCAAAAGGCTAAAAAATTAATTTTTATCATCAAACATAATGTTTCATTGTTATGATATTTAATTGAGGCGTAATTTATACGTACATTATAGCTGGATCACTCCAAATTATTTCTTTTTTGCATGTAAAATGAAACCTAAAGCAAAAGTCTCACCTAGTTGTAATCTGCTAAGATGTCAAACGCGGACCGTATAGCTCCATACATTTATTATTTAATCGGAGAGCTTCCCTACATATGATGACTTGCTGATGTTGAAAATATGTTTATAAAGCATTACTATCACTGTTTTTCAAACTCCACGGATAAATAATGTTAGCGATAAAGTTGCCCCTATACGTATATTGTACAATTTTTTTACATAAACGTCACAAAAATTATTTGAAATTAGATATCAACAAATTTTGTCATTTTTTTAGAGGCTGTTTAATGATCATTCAAGAACATTTTTGAAGGTCAGAAATAAATCGTTAAAACTCAGCCTTATTTCTGCACGCTTAATTACTGAAGTGACAAGCAATGGCGCATTTTGCTCGCGATTAGGTTGATGCAAGACAGGAATGCTATCATTAGCACACTTCATCGCGGGTGAAGGAAGAATGCGATGTTGCATACCCACGAAAGCCGGGCGTTGAGCCAAGACTGTAACCGTTAGCGTTTCAGTCTACGAATAGACGCTGTGAAACGCGAAGCTCTGCTCTTTAAAATGCTATACTTGCGTTATTAAACTCAAGTTTTCCCCGTCTGTTCACTATGGCCATGGACGGCTAACATTACTTTCCAAAAGAAGGACTCGTTTAACTTTATGACATTATAATTTTCAACTCGTATATTGTGCTTATTTGGTACATAATTTACAAAGATTATCGTGTTGCATTTAACCCGATGTTGAGTTGTAAATTCAGTTCTCACTAACTTTAACCTTGTACGTTGATTTGATTGAGATGTGTTCAACGGGCTGAAAAAATGAGAGGCATATTCAACTGTTGAAGCTCATCAGTAAGCTGCAGCTTATTTCTTCATTAAGTTCAGGTGAGAGCGGTGACTTCCCAGCTATCATGAGAAGAAAAATTTAAATTTTGTTTCTCGTCTCTCACACAAAAAATACGTGGAACTTATTTCGTATAATAAATAATTGACTGATTTCAAATGAAAAACAGTTTAATAAAAAACATCAGGTCACACGATAGTGGCCTGATGGTTTCGTCTTAACTGAACCTGCCAGTGCGAGAGGATAAATAGAATTTATACACGAATTTATAGGCGAAAATTTTTTGCAGGGATTACGGGGCCAATGAATTGCAGTTCATATAATTTTTCACAATCGTCCAGAGCATTTTAATGCTTCACATTCTAGAATTAAAAATCACTTTTATCTGTCATCAATGAAATCATGAACTTAGAAACAAGATTTTGATAAGAATTACTCTGAAAATATCTCAATATTCCAATATACATATATTGACGAATGATTACTTTTGGTCACAATTTCTATTCATAAGTCACAATTCATGTCATAATATTCAATCGTCATACTGATTAATAATACTTAACCAGTAGTAGAACTTTAGTTTAGTTATACCCTATTAATACTTGTTAATGATATGTAGATATTCTACCTATCTAACTATATATCTATTTAAAATTTGGCTAAATTTCTCCTTGAATTAAGTCAGACATTAAATAAAATTTCAACGCACTAAATTTTTCCTTGAATTAAGTCAGACATAGAATAAAATTTCAACGCACTAAATTTCTCCTTGAATTAAGTCAGACATAGAATAAAATTTCAACGCACTAAATTTTTCCTTAAATTAAGTCAGACATAGAATAAAATCTCAACGCACAGGATGGTGTCCACGAGCGCCGCCCGCGTGCAGCAGCTGCACAGCGCACAGCTCCTGCACGGCCCTGCACAGCGTGCCTTGCTGTACGCGCACTCATTCGCGTATCCTAAGGTAAAGAAGATCATATAATTGAGTAATAATTATTGGATGTGATTTACGCATATAATAAGATGAACAATTTCACGCGCTACACTCTACATTATATTATTGATTAATTTTAAGTGGATTGGTCAACGATTAATGGGTACGATTAAGTGGTACGGATATCCTAAGGTGAACATTTGTAGTCGAAATAATCAAGATTTATAAATGATTATAAGAAGATTGATTTACGATTAAGGGGTGCGCATGTCTTGAAGTAAATAACTACATCGTCACACCTTCAATTTTCCATAACTGATTTTAAAAATATCGCTGAACTTTTAAAGGCCATTTTTGAACAGAAAAACTGAAGTGAATGAACTGAATGCCATTTTTTGGCATAAAACAAACTGGTTGACCTAAATATGTAGATTTTAATAGCAATTTTTGGCATCTGGCCAGCCAAATCGTATGTTTTAATAGCAATTTGCGGGATCTGGCTATTAAAATTGTAGATTTACGTGGCAAATTTACTGGTATCTGGCCACTTGAATCATACACTTTCATAGCCACTTTCAGGTCACTGGCCACTTAAATTGTGAGTTTTAAATAATCTTACCATTGATACCCCGTATTTTCATAACAAATTTTCTGTTTCACGCCCTAGGGCAAGGATGTGATGAGCATCATCAACTCCCAGGAGGTGACGTTTCACTTCACGGACTCTGAGCTCGAGCTGCTCAGGCGCTCTCGCTCCCCTAACCTGTTCCCCGTGCCGCTCTTGTGCAAGGTTACGACTCAACCAACACACTCAGAGAAATGAGATATCTTTGTTCAAGAAATTTAAAAGCAAAGAAAACACCAAGCAAATTCACCATATCGATATTGAAAACGCACAGGATAAAACACAAGACGTATGGTGGATTTGCTTGGTGTTTTCTTTGCTTTTAAATTCTTTGTGAACTTGCGATATAAGCAGACTTATAATATAAGTATCTGTCCAAATACCAACACACTTCTTGCCCGTGTCCGGGTCATCATCACCCAGTTTGGCCGGGCAAAAGAGCATATCAGTTTTACGGATATGCTCTGTTCGTGCTCTGAGTCAGAAAGTGCGTCAATATTGTGACTATAATCCTTCCATTTTCTGGGAGTTTTAGGTGAGCCAATGGCTCGACATGGGTCGAACGGGCAGTTTAAAATAAGACACAAAAGGTAAGAGGTTCAAAAGTGCGAACAATTTCAAACAAGCCGCACTCAACCAAGCTTGTCATCCGTATCCACGCATTTCTTTGAGTGAAAATCTCACATAAACGCCTCGTTTATATATATTAATCACGACTATAATTTCAAATCATGTCAACCATTTACTTCAATCTCTAGTTTTAAAGACATGGACAAATTCCTTCTTTTGCAGGTCCTCCGCTTCTGCTGCTTGGACAAATTATTGGACAGCTACGACCAGGCCTGGGACGTCAGCATCCCACCGCCTAAGCCGAGCCTCGAGCACCACGTTGCCGTTATCCACCATCACTACGACCGATTCGAAGCCGGGACGCCCGCCCCGGTGCAGGGTTTGTGCGATGCCGTCCTCGGCGTGGTCAGGAGTGTGGGAGAACAGCTCGGGGTGGTCAAGTGGAAACAGCAACACGACGCAATCAAGCAGAGCATCGAGGATATCATGGAAGATGTTCATCCAGGAATGCAAATCAGCGAGAGAATCATGAGTTAGTGACAAAAATACTGTATTAGTATTATTGCTGAAATCCGCATTTCATAATGCGCGTATTTATGATATGTCGTTAATTCTATCCGTACTGAGAGACGCGATATAAATAAAACTAGAATTACCTTCGTAGACTAACAGTTTACACTTTTCTACGGATCTCGTAACACCCGGTGTCAATGCTATTCGTATCAGAAATTGTGGGAACAAGAGTTACTCTGGTAAAGAATGTTATCAACTGTATAAAATTGGTATAAATAAAATGTCATCTACGTGCCAGTATCATAAAAAATTATTCATCATATTGTGCTCAAATTTGCGGTTGTTACTTTCTAGGTGCTGCCAAGATTGAAAGTGATTTGCGCCTTGAATCTCTGGTCCGCGCGGTGTCAGTCTACATGGACAGGAATCGCAACACTTCGTTGTTGGACGATTACGACACAACTTCGATGGAGAACATGAAGATGGCTTTAAAAATAATTGATTTCAAAAACAATTCAGATGGTGCACCCACGTAAGTACCAATAAAAAGTGAAGTTAATAGGTGTATGTAGTCCGTTAATTTCACGCTCTGCGAGCAATGGAATTTATTCTTATAATGAAGAGATTACAAGGGTTAAGAGTGTGAAAAATTATAACTTCTTAGGTATTGTTTTATATTAAAACTAATTTATTTCAGTCGAGAAGAGGGTGAGAAGAACGTTCCAGTAGAAGACCTTCTAGATCTTCTCCAGAATCGTTGCAGTGAAAGCATCGATGGTAAGAAAATTTGCTGTATCTCAGGCGAACACGGTAGTGGCAAAACAACTTTAGCTTCCTCCTTCGCCGTGACTTGGGTCAAAGAACCAAACGCTATTGAACACCTGCGAGATTTCGACTTTCTTCTGCTTACGTCAGGCAAGGACATAAATCAAACGGCTCTCACAAAATCGTTCGGGAGCACAAAATCACAGAGAAATGATCTGGATAATTTTATCGATGAGTTTTGGTGCGTTGTCGACGCCTTTTTGCCGCAATGCTGCGCTAAGTATGGCGTCAAGAACGTGGGACAATTGTTGGCAACGAAAAAAGTACTCTTCATAATCGATGATGCAGAAGACATGACAGAAGAGAAAGCAAAAGAACTCATTCTATTCCTTGGCCAAATTAAATTTGAATCCTCAGTGATAATACTTGGCAACCCTGAGAGCGTTGACCGACTAAAATTAGATTTCACGAGTTATTCTTCTGTCCAGCATCTTCATCTGCGAGGAGTTTCAATGGAATATTTACAAGAACTGGGTGTTAAATTTAAGGAGCCAAATAAGAGTGGAAAAAGGAAAGTACAGAAGACCTTCAGAGATGCAATCAAGAGTGACTTGAACAGGCTTCGCCAAGTCCTCGAGTACCCGGAATTGGCAAAGGAAACAGTCGCACTTTTTAATAAGCGAGCAGCAATCGTTAAAGAATGTTTTACAGCATCGGAACTTCTTTGGAGTATTTTCTTTTTCAAAACTGGACTCGCGCTAGGAGTTGATCTTGATAAAGACATTCGACGTCGTAAAAAATGGTTCAGGTGGATGATGGTCGTCGGGGAAAACTGTCTTCATTGCTTGAAAAGAAACGCGAGATTGAACGAAGCCTCACTGGAGGAAATCAAAGAAGAATCGAATAAAATTTTTGGATCAGAAGAATCAGAAAAACTTATGGCAATGTTCTTCAAAAGTCGCCTTGTTTTTTCCGCAGACAGTTTTCATTCTATTCCAACTTCGACGAGTAAATGTCAGCTATTATACTTGGCAACTTTCTTTGCAGCTAACAGGCTGAAATCGGAAGAACCAATTGCCATAGGGAGCTTTCTACCAAAAATTGAACCAGAAGAAATGGTCGTTATGATGGCGGGCCATGTCAAGCGCTGGGATAAACTAGACGACACTCATGAAGGAGGCGAAACAATATCCCCTGAAACTATGAAAACTGTCATTGAAACGTTAGTCAATTACGCTACTGGAAAAGCTGAGGACGTCACGTTCCTCTTCAAATTGGCCACCGAATTCCATTGCTCTCATAAACTTGTTCAGTACATGGTGAACGTAACCGAGTATCCCGAAGAATGGGATTTAAAGCTTTGTTTCATCTACCAACGGACACTGGAAGTGATGCTTCAGCATGTCGCTCCCGTCCGCATCATCCTACGAACCGATGAATTATTGCAGAATTATGAACAACATTCAGTACTGAAGTTCCTTAGCCAAGTTCCGATTTCCGTGTGGTTCGAAAGCAAGCAACAATTTGCGTACGACAGCAATAAAAAAATGGACGCAATGATAAGACCGTTTTTGAATAAGGAAGTGCGTTCTAGAGTAGATTTACTCTCTGGTGCCCTCACCGCCGTGACTACACTGGATTTGGCTGACTACAAGTCCATGAGCTACTTAGTGATGCTCGCCCTTAAGGTCACAGACGTAGAGGGCCTCACAGCTGCTCTCACTCTGCCAACTCACCTTCGGCAACTCCTTTGGTTTGAGTTGAAAATCGACATGAAAATTGAGGATATAGTGTTGACCGCACTGCCCAAAATGCACGTGGAAATGTTCGACGTATATCTTAGGGACTTGGACGACTACAGCATTCCACAAATAACAGGACTTCTAATCAAATTGCACAAGCGCTACAGTGGCATTCACCTCGACAGCACAACTCTGTCACCAGAGAGCATTTACACCTTGTTGAAAGAGCTGAAGAGCAAAGGCATAGTGCTTTGCGCTTCAGACAAGTCTATTGACAAATATAGAAGATGGTATTATCCTTTGCTCTCCAATCTTCCCACCGATCGTTTATTAGGCGACAAAGAGGTCGAGTCAATACTAGGCTTCGATGATCGCAAGTTCTATAGTGACCATAAGATACAATCTTCAACCTTCGTGAAGTCGATTGATGCATGGAACTTAACTTCATACCTAGAAGAGCTAAAAGAAATCAAGTACTTCCTGTACAAGGCCGACAATTTGTCGTTTATTAAAACATTGGACGGCGAGGTAGAAACAGAACATCACAGCTCCATCCATGTGGACACAACGGGAACAATCTTGTAATATTATTATTCAATGAAACAGAGATCGTAAACTCGGCTCAGAAACTGAATCTTGATCCCATTCACGTTTTTTAGTTCGTCCCATGATAGGATGTATCTATCTTTAAAATTTTTAATTTCTTGCTTAAATAAAAATGGAATTAAAAGTTTTTGGCCATTTTCATACCAAAGAAACTGCTGACTAAAAATGAAGCATTACACGCAATGATAGGAACCGATTATATGATGAAATTATGAGCTAACTAGCAAAATATCGAGCATAATACCAACATATGATCACGAGAGAACAGAACAAAAATTACGCTTCCTAGCCACAGCAACCTGCTCCGAGAGTGATGGAAGACCTCAATTACGAAAATTTTGAAATTAAAACTCGTCAATTGCCTACCAAGAGCAGAAACTTCCAGAATAACTACACCGCGAAAGCAGAAAAACATGCTTTTACATCTCATATTGACGAAGGAGATATAGATGAACAACTACGAAAATACTGTAACGAGGATCTCTTCGAAGAGACGACGGCAGACAGCGCTAAGTACACTGGAGTGTCGAGTATCTTGCGTACGGAATAAAATTGCATCACACTTACTGCAGACCTGCGCAGTCTAACACCGTGAACTTTAGAACGCGTCAGGAACAACGCCCCCAGGCAATGCCTCATTCATCGCGTCTTCCTACCAGATGACGTCATGATAAAAGCAGCAAATAGCGTAGTTGACTCGTTGGTCATCGCTAAAAACGGTATAATAATGGCCAGAACTACAATTTTCGAGGTTCCATTCTCATATTCACCACGAAGCTTTGTATTAATATAGTCTATTAGACCGTTTCTATTGAAGGCTTGCGACGCGAGTTATGTAGGGAGAGTCATAGAGTCAAAATGCCGCCACCCTCCCTCATGACGGGATGGAGGACGAGTAGAGAACCTAACTGAAACCTGAGAAACTGAGCCACGGAGCATTACACCCAGAGACTATAAGGTTTATGTGAAGTTTTGTACATAATATCAAACTAATAACACGCCTAACAGTTGTACACTTGTCATGGATTGGCTGCGAAAGATTCATGTATGCATTTATCCGGAAAGGAGCGTTAATAATCATCAAGAGCAAGTTTCCCATCAATGGTGATAAATGTTCTCAAATTTCGCACCGGTCACAGTAAACAGTATTGGTTTCATTTTTATTTAAACCCTTTTATTGTAAAACGGGATGGTTAGGTTGCATTTGATGCGTTAGAAGCAGATTTCAGATGTTCATGTGAATTATACGTATTGAATTATACATCAGCTTCGGTTTACCTTGACAACCTAACTACAATCAACACATTTGCTCATTAGTAAATAACGGTGGCCACGGTGGATATGAAATCCTGCAGCATGTATTCAGCAAAGACAGCGGTTCTGAATAAGGGAAATAAATACAAGAATATTTTTAGAAAAGTCGAGTATTTGCTGACATTGTATTTATAGCAGCTACTACTCCCACGGACAAGAATAGCGTCAGGAAGTCAACAGCAGACATGGAGCATGAGCGTTCAATCACGCGACACACATACCGTCTCACAAAAATACTCTCGCTAATAAGATGGCCGTAGAAAAGAAATGCAGTGAGTGAACTCCTGACCCAAAAAGCATTGAAGAGCAGCATAGGAACTTTATAATACACTTCTGCAGGCTCTTCATACGTTATCAACATATTCTAGATTTTCATCGAGATGAGATGACTTGGCAGATACAAAATGGAGTCTCATGAAGTGTCATCGGCATTCACTTCATCCTTAATATAAAATAGAAGGTAATTAAGGTTTCCAATACCCCCAGGGCTTCAGATTATTACGAGATGCTCAGGAGACGAGCAGAACAATTCAGCGGGCGGCGAGTCAAGACGCAAGAAAGACAAGGAGCGGCAGAAAAAAATGATCCACTTAAGCAAAGTACGATATTACGATAGAACATAACCACATTTACAATAGACTTAGCATGGCAGTTGGGGTTTCTCTATTTGTTGCAATTCTCTGTAGGCGGAAAATTTTGGTGGGCAGATTGAAGGCGTAGAATCGTTCAAGATGTCAGTTTGATTAATAGTAATCATTTTAGTACTTGTTAATAAATTACACACTAAAATCCCTAAAGTAAACTCGATGTGAGTGACGACAAGTCCAGCTTGAATGATGAGAATCCGCACGTTCAAGCAGCGGAGTAATGAAAATTGTACAAAAGTTTTCTCAATGATAAGATAAAGATAACGTCTCACGGAAGTATTAGTATTAGTGAAAGAAATTACAATAAATACGCTCTACTCATACATCATTTGTCCGATAAAAACTAACTGTTTTTCTCTCTATTTCCTACGTCAAGTCGCATTGAATTAATTACTTTTGTGTCGAAGTCCGGACAATAATCAGATTTTCCTATCTTTATTACATTTCTAGTCGACCCATGAGCCTACTACTCTAATTCTCAACCTCCATAAATAACAAGACAACAAATCCTTCAAAAACCACCAACACAAAATTTCACCTCGCATTAATTCCTACCTTCATGTCTCTAAGATGCCAAAAAATGCATCGACAGACCGCCAGATATAAAATGTATAGTTGTAGAACTATAAAATAACCACAATATTTTTCAATAACGTTCAAGAAAGAAGATAGAGAGGGAAAACAAGCCTGACTTATTTAATCTTTTTGTTCTGATGAAAAGCCGTCGAAGTGTCCTATAACAACAGTCAAGTTGTAAGGAGAGGAATATTCAGATATAACACTAATGGATGAAAAGTAGAAACAATTTTTGATCATAAGGTGGATTCTTATGCGAGTCCCGGTTAGGAACATCTTAATTTGAAGACAACCCAAGAATAATGATATGGGAGTCTTCATCTCATTAGAAAGCAGATTTAAACCGCATGCCAAATTTTTTTTCCTACCCCACAAGATTCCTGCATTACACATTACGGTAGAATTCTCTAAAGAAAACAAAAATCATAGGGCATTAAGTTGGTAATAATAATAACAAATTTATTACCCATCCTATATGTAGTTGGCGTTTAAAAATCAGCTTAAATGATACATTTTCCCTACCAATTATAAGCATGAAAAAATAATTCATTCAATATAGTACGATGGTAAGCTGGCAATGATATAGCACTGCATTTGAGTAATTCATAGGTTCAAGTCAACCTCTGCTAGTAAAGTTGAGTCGCGATAAGGGAACGGGGAAAAATGAAAACATCTCCGATACATGTGTGGATGTCATCAAATACAAAATCGTGATCAAAAATTTGGTTGTCAGTTCATTTATGAAAGAAAAATGCAAATTATTTATATGGGTAGTTTCATCAGTTTTGGGAGTAACTGTACTCGTGTAGAGGGTGGTAGACCTATGGTAATTATTTTTACAGTTATTTAGTTACTATTTATACGTAGCTGCCCGGCAGCAGCGCACCAGGCATCGTAATTAAACCTGTAGCAGTTGTAACTTGAACATAAAAAAAAATTGTAAGTCACATCTACCTAAAATAACCAATACACCTAGAACCATATACGTTAACAAAGAAAATCAACGAAGTATTCGTTGTACAGAAGCCGAATTAACTGCATCAACAAGTACTGAATGAATGCCAAAGCAAGTCAGAAAGCCCGAACCATATTAACTGAAATGGGCTTGTTTGTGAATAACAGATTTTCTTCTACATGGAATTCCATTTAACATGAAAAATTCTAGATTGAAATGAAGCTGCCGACAAGAATGGGCGCGTAACGAAACATTGTGACTAAACCGATTTTGTTACAAAATGGCGGAGTTTAAACAAACTGCAGATCCAAAATAACGGCAAGCACCTAAATGCGTCATAATACAACACAATTGTCGTCAAACTGCAAGAGAGAAGAACAATCGAAGCTGATTACACTTGTGATGTCATGCAAATAAAATTTAATTAGTCAACCACAACATCGGCAGAATCAATGAGAAGTTATTAATAAATAAATTTGAAGTCAAACGTTGATAATGAAAACTGTGATTAACAGAAACTCTGCCGCAAGTACAAGTAATCTGCAAAATCATGAGACTAATCAAAGCGGATCATAGTTAGCAGTGAAATACTAACCTGTTACAATCAATTCACAGAGGCATGCCGCTAACGGCACTAACAGGCCTCGGCATCTGCTGACATTATCTACCCACCTCTTCGTCGAGGAATCCTAGCCCATAAATAGGCATAGAAATCTACACTTATTCTTTCTACATTAAGACTATGGAATAAAGCAATGGCAAGGACAGAAAATAATAGAACAGTAAGGCTTAGAAAAGAAGCTACGGCCTGATGCATCAATGCACTGAAGTTTCGTACAGGAGGTCAAATTATAGCCCTAGGAGAGGCACACAAAAGGGAGCTCTAAAAACTTCACCGCTATAACGGGGCAGTAAAGACGAGACGTGCAGTAATATTTGAGATCAGGTACCGAACTTTCCATTTCATTCCTTCATTAAACAATGATAGCTTTCATATAACCAACTGTCACGGGAACCAAAACTAAATGGAAACAAAAAAGTATTTTTAACAATAAAGGAGAGCGTGCCAGGAACGTAAGTTTCCAGTAAAAACTGGACTATTTCCGTTTTAATTTATACGTTCGATCTTGATTCCCACATTTTTGAAACATGCGAATTAAAAGGTAAATTATTTTGAGAAATATTCAATAGGTAGGAGGGTGACAATTTAGGCCAAGCCTTCAAAGAACATTACTCATGATGAAATACATGTTACCGTGTCAAGTAGGACCTCACGCACCTAACAAGTCTTCATTGAAACATGGCAAGATGGTGAAAGAGGGAAAATGAAATAAGTTCACAAAAATCATGCGATCCATGCGCTGTGAACTCAAATTGTGAAAGCGATAAATAAATCAGAGACTGGATGATGGGTCTCGTCTATCTGCAAGTGAAGAAGCGATCAAAATGATGCCGGTTGTCGACCATGTCAACGCCCGTCATTAGATAAAACAAGAAGACTGCGGAACACTCGATCACGGCAACACCTTACACCAATCAATATACAAATATTTATAGGCTTATTTACAGAGAGCGCAGACACAACGAAAAAAAAAAACGCGACGCTCACCTCCAACACTTGGTTAATAAAACTGTTACCAGGTTCCTTGCTACAAGGAGCATCAACTCAAACACGTCCATCAATAAAAAGAATAGCAGCAAGAGACAAATAACTTGAGACTGTAGGTAAAAGTCCCAGTGTGATGAGACAAGGGAGGATTTTTGTGCTGTACTCGATAACTTCATTAGAATTGGCTATGAATGCATTGTGGATGGACAAACAATGCCTTACTCACGCTGCTCTAAACAGAACGCCAAATGAACTGTGAGAAGAAGCTGTCGACTTTTCAAGGCGAGATATAAGAACAAATGCGGTGGAACGTAACCAGTGAGACAAATAGATAGTAAACATGGTTGCAGATACGAATGTGGTAGGAAGTTTAGGAAAGTATTTTCAGTACCTCGCCCTACGACGACGGCTTAATTTGCCACCGTGAGGCTTCAACGCAATCTAAGGCGCTCAAGACCCGTCTTAACTTTTATGCGCACTTATCAAACGCACAGAGAAGATATTACTCTCGTGATTTCATTTAGGAGAAGCAAAATGAATGCGCTACAATTTTTCAGTCTACAGCAAGACGTGGCCTCTTCCTGAGAGTCTCGCCTTCTAGTAAATCATCAGATTTTGAGAGCCCGTTCGCAGCAGCAGTCACATCATTGGCCACAGAACTGACAATTTTCTCGTGTTTCTCATAAATGGTACCGTCGGAGTTAGCATGTTTAGAATCATTGGTCGGTTTGGTTTTGGTGTCGTTATTTTCGTCTTGCTGTAGTCGATCACGCTTCTTCTCCTGCTCCATGTCTTCCCGTGGCTCGTCGCTAGAAATTTCTGACTCCGCCTCAGCCTTGCCTTCTTGATTATCACTTTCAGTATCAGATGATTTTCCTCCATTAGATTTATTTTTCACATTTGATGGACTGCAATCATTAGCTTTCGACATAGAAACCGTATCATCTGATATATCTGATGTGTTTTCGCCTGGTGCATCTTTAACTCCGTCAACTTTCCTTGGAGTGTTCGACACTAGTTTTTCTTTAGGTTCGTCATTGCCAGGAATATCATCTTCACTGTTTTCAGATGAAACACGAAGAGGTGACGTCGTTCCGGACGCCGTAATACTCACTTTCGGAGAGCTACAGTTAGCAACAGCACTCTTAGCATCAGCCGAACTCTTACTGTCATCAGCAGCAGAGCTTGAGCTTTCTAAAGTTCCGTCACTAATAGGAATATTTTCCTTAACTTTTTTAGACACTTCAGTAGTGAGAACTTTCTGAGCAGAAAGCAATTCTTGAGTGGGTGTGTTGGAAAATGTTTCAGTCAATGAAGTTTCTGTAGAATTGACACCAGAATTGTTATGGCTGCCGCTACTGCTCGGGTTGCTGCTGCTGCTGCCGGTGCTGCTGTTGCTGTTGTCAGAGTCATCATCTTCCATTTCTTCCTCTTCTTCATCAGAATTTTCGTCATAGTCCACTAAACTGATCTGTGTGCAAATGATACGTTTCAATACATTTATTTGCAATTTTATAATTAAAAATGAGGCTTTGCCTTACGAAATAAATAGTTTCACGACTGAAATGGATGGTTTCATGACATAGCATGGATCGTTGGACGACATGAAATGGATAGTTTCACGACATCGAATGGATCGTTGCAGGACACGAAATGGATCATTTCACGTCATTAAAAGTTCTCACATTCAGCATCATCTATTGACAAACATAAAAAAGGCTCAATTAGAATGTTAGTAGACACAAAACATTAATCGTTGAAAAAAAAAAGATACACTGAATAAGATGAGCGATATACGAACGGAAGCCAAGATGAAGGTTATCAGATAACGTAGATAGTAACTACTGTGATTGTCAACTTGAAAATTCCACATCAAATGATGCTACCAACTACAATCGTTGAATGTAATATTAGTTATTAAACGTGCAAATGCAAAATTTTACCAATCAGCGAACTTGATGCATACTCAAAAGCTGCTTCCATTTCAGAATTTTGTGGAATGTAGGTGAGGATTATTACACTTATCTAACAAATTCACGTATGCATACCATTCCAGATGTCACTCAAAATTTTTAATTTTCGAGTTATAAAATTATTTTCTCGGCTAAAACTTTCAAATAAAGCAACTATTCCAAAGATCAAATGTTGTCGCAAATAAACGAAATCTCCAAGTGAATTATGTAATAAAGGTTGCAAGAGTAACTCAAGTATGCAGCTCATACGGAGGCGTTCAAAATCATTAAAGTATTAACAGAACAAGTCTAATATTGGAGCAACAATAACGACTCAGACGTAAACAGATTAAATCAGAAACTTAATTAAACTTACGTTTCACGTCGAGCAGAGCTACGTAGATAGATCTCTTAACTATTCACTAAATTAGCAGTACGGTCGTATAGGCACAAGAAATAAACCTATCCTAGTTAAGGCTGTTTACGTCGTATGCTAGTTTCTTAAGCTCTTACGAATTGCACGAAAAGACAATATACTGTGAGTACTAATCACTAGAGTAGTAATTTGCACCAGCAGAGCAACAATTTATAAAGAAACCCACTCACTACCCAGATTTTGCGCCTAATGTGTGGACAACAACATTAGCTGGTGACTCAGTTTCATTTAACGAAATCAAACCAAATACCTGGATGGTGAACCAATATTAGAGCAAGCACTTCATAGACAAGAATGTTCTGTTCTATCAATGCAACTTAATCTTGAACCTTCTTTCAATGCAACCTCGAATTTTAACTTAATAGAATTATTGCGAATCATAATTAGACCAATAGAATATATACCAAGTTTAAATACTTTCACACAAGTTCAAAATAATTTCAGTTGTTTTAGTTACTTTTTCACGTCATACTGCCACAATAAATTGATGTTTGCACAATTATTTCATCATAATAACTTTTTGCATCATGAAAAATGAGTGAAACCTAAAGCTCCCAATGATATGCAATGAAACACATTTTCGCAGGGAGACCACTTCATTTCCGGTATTTTCCATCGCACGTTCATCTCATCTTTTAATCCCAGCCACGACCACCACTCACCTTCCTAGGCACTGAGGCCACAGCAACGCCACACCCGATAATTTTAGGCGAATTGTTGTCCATGGAGCGATCGTAGGAGGCGGAGGTGTGGTTGTCGTTATTTTGGTAAGACACGAACTGAACTGCGTTGTCGATGAGCCGGTGACTGGCGGGGCCCTTACAGGCAGCCCTAAGGGCGTCACTAGAGTGAGGCTTAACATGAAATGAGCGGCCAACGCTCGACGTTACACTGACCCCGCCTGCCGAGCCTACTGCTTCGTGGTGCTCTCCTCCAGCAGCTGAAGAGCTCCTCTCGCCTTCCCCAGCCGCTACAGCAGCAGCGGCTACGACGTGACTGCTACTACTGCTCTCTAGAGCTGCGGTCAGGGCAGGGTTCTCCTTTTGCAGTTTCTCCACTGTAATAAGCAAAAATATTAATGGTGTTGTAGCGACTTCACAACACTAATCTTTCACCATTCAATTCCATTGTAGTTTCGCGTCCCTTGAGTTATTAATAGAAGATTTATTGTGCGAGGAAAAATATGCAGCGCGAAGGGGAATGTTGACTTGCCCTGGGCTTGAAGCAGAGGAGACGAGGCGAGGCGATGAGGAGAGGTGGCACCCAGCAAGGCACCCACAGGCTCATCATCTTCCTCTTCCTCATCCAGCCCCGGCACCGATCCAGCCCCACCCTTCAGCAGCTCCTGCTTCAACGAGCTGTGGTAGTCCTGCACACACACCGGCATTTAAGATATCAACGCACATCAGCAAAACATATTCAATTCTTGTCGAACTGTAAGCTACAACTGTAACAACACTTGAAATGATTATAACGTAGTGAAATTATGCAGTGTGACAAGGGTTAAACAATGGAGTATTTTCCATTAAAAACTCAATAATAAATTTAATGCAATACAACATTTCACCTGCTGATTAATATAATCAAAATAAAATAATTATGTCTCAACTAATCACCAGCTTTTATTCAAGAGATTTGTCACCCTAACATTGTAAACAAATTACCAGGTCGAGAAAATTGAGTTGTTTTCCATGCCTGAATTCTCAACATAAATACACTTTCTGTAAACACATCAAATTTAACACTTTGACTCCGATTGCTTCATCTTGTAGACTTGTACTATTTCATTTTTTGTACTGTTTTTAAACAGGGTTGCCAGACTATCATTTTTTCCGGACAAATTCTGTGATTTAGTTTTTCTCAATTGCGTTGGCCGGCTAAAATTTATGATAGGGGTACTTCCTAATTAAATTTTAAATACTACAAAAAGAAAATAAATGAAATTTTCATAGCGGAACCTACAAATAAACTAGTATACATTAGGTTATCGGCCATTTTTGTTCTCGGATTTGGCCGATTTCAGGCAACCTGAATTGTGTACCACTACGTCCTGGAGAAATACATTTCGTGGTACGCATATGTACCACTTCGGAGTCAACGTGTTAAACTATTTGAAGATAAATGAGGGGTCAAAACAGATTAGTCGATCAGCACCGAGAACAAAGTAGTAGCTAGATTATCAGCTAATGCCCTACTCGGCCCATTGCATCGATGCTTTACATATCTACTTGTATGTAAGAAAACTTAGAGCAATAGTTTCAAAAATGGCTAATGACTAGTGACCATGCGAATTAAATATTAGGTCCATGAATGGATAATATTTACTGGAGACCTCAATATGAATTTTTGAGTGCAAATGTTAATTTTGAAGTACCAGATACCAAACAGAAATCATTGTCTATCTTTTACCACTGCGCTGAAATGAGGGAATAAAGGTTAGAAAGATGAAGCAGGCAAGATGAAGTAGGCAAGATGAAGCAGGCAAGATGAAGCAGGCAAGATGAAGCAGGCAAGATGAAGCCGAGAAGATGAAGCAGAGAAGAATCAGAGAAGAAGAAGCAGAGAAGATGAAGCAGACAAGATGAAATAAAGCAAGATGAAGCAGAGAAGAATCAGAGAAGAAGAAGCAGAGAAGATGAAGAAAGCATGATGAAGTGAGCAAGATGAAGCGGACAAGATGAAGCGAGCAAGATGAAGCGAGCAAGATGAAGCGGACAAGATGAAGCGAGCAAGATGAAGCGAGCAAGATGAAGCAAGCAAGATGAAGCAGACAAGATGAAGCGAGCAAGATGAAGTGAGCAAGCTGAAGCGGGCAAGATGAAGCAGGCAAGATGAAGCAGGCAAGATGAAGCAGCAAAATGAAGCAGTAAAATGAAGCAGCAAGACGTCGGCAGAACACCACATGAACTGTGAGATCTAGCTGCTGACTTTTCAAGGCGAGATACGAATAAATGTGGTGGAATTGTGTGGTGGATCATGCCATATGTGGTGGAATTGTGTGGTGGATCATGCCATATGTGGTAGAATTGTGTGGTGGATCACACCATATGTGGTAGATTTGTGTGGTGGATCATGCCATATGTGGTGGAATTGTGTGGTGGATCACACCATATGTGGTAGAATTGTGTGGTGGATCATGCCATATGTGGTAGAATTGTGTGGTGGATCACACCATATGTGGTAGATTTGTGTGGTGGATCATGCCATATGTGGTAGAATTGTGTGGTGGATCATGCCATATGTGGTGGAATTGTGTGGTGGATCACACCATATGTGGTAGATTTGTGTGGTGGATCATGTCATATGTGGTAGAATTGTGTGGTGGATCACACCATATGTGGTAGATTTGTGTAGTGAATCATGCCATATGTGGTAGAATTGTGTGGTGGATCATGCCATATGTGGTAGAATTGTGTGGTGGATCATGCCATATGTGGTAGAATTGTGTGGTGGATCACGCCATATGTGGTGGAAAATGTGGTGGAATCGCGCCATACCTCGTCGCAGTCGTCGGAGCTGAACCACTGCTCCTCCTCAGCGTCCATGTCGCGAAGGTCGCGGCGGTAGCGCGCACTCGCGGCGCCCGTTGACCGCACCAGGCCCAAGCTGCGGCAAACAAATTTTATTTCACGCCTTCATTTGCATACCCATACAATGAAAGTTGATCATGCTTCACATGTTCCAAAGTTATTTTTTAATTCCTACATTACATTTTAAACGCTTTACGTTACGTACCGTAAAATGGGGTAACTTAGACCACTTTTTTTTTATAAATGATGCCATTTTTTTACTAGCTAAATTAAACTTGAATTGAAACATGCAAAATACATGTCTATACTCTAGCTTCACTCACCATAAATTGCTGGCTTCTGCCTCTCATAGTCTTTATGTAATTTAAAAAAAAAGTGGTGGTCTTTGTTACCCCAGCTCTTGGGGTAACTTAGACCAGGTGGTAAAATCAATTATATTTTTTGGTAAAATAACTTCAAATAACTCCAGGTTTTGGTGCATTGTAGTAGAACTCTTCTAGTTATATATGCAAATGACAAACTTGAGGAAAGTGTCATAGTTTGCAAATGGGGGGCGCCGCCCCATAATGAGGGAAATGTGACTACCTAATGGCAGCCCTGATGGGGTAATATTGACTGGCTTGGAAATTAAGTTAAAATTACCATATATAAGACCCTGTAGAGTCTGAAACATAAAGAAAAAACATAAATAGGCTGTCAAACATATAATATGTTATATATGGTAATTTTATATTAACTTCCAAGCCGGTCTATGTTACCCCGTCAGGGCTGACATTAGGTGGTCTAAGTTACCCCATTTGGGGGCGGCGCCCCCCATTTTCAAACTATGACACTTTCCTAAAATTTGTCATTTGCATATGTAACTAGAAGAGTTCTACTACAATGTATCAAAACCTGGAGTTATTTAACCAAAAAATAAATAAATTGGAGGGGGTACTCTGAGAGGCTTTAAATGATAGCTTTTTTTTTGTGGGTCACATTTTTAATTTTTTAACCTATTAGATATGCAAACTTTTCAAATCTTTCTATTGTGTTATGTAGCCTCAGTATTAGGCCTTTAATGCTCATTGACAAAATTTTTCTATGTCAAATAGTTTTTGAGTTGTGGGGGTTTTTGTTAAAAAAACGAAAAGTGGTCTAAGTTACCCCGCCGGTCTAAGTTACCCCATTTTACGGTATATGGGGGCAATACGGTACAATAAATTTATGCTTTTGGTCCCTAAAGACCTGAAAACAATAGCATACAAATATCTGATCTTAGCCCGAGTATACTTTGAACATAGTTATATTCGTCTAAATTCGGTATCTCAAAATTTGGTGAAGTTGCGGTAGATCATTAGACCCAAGTGTCAGAAAAGGTGATGAAACTAATTGAAGGGAAGTGGTAATGCCAATGATATGGCATGCAATCATTTACACTTTATTCATCAAGTTTTTCAAAAAAAGTTCAGGTTCCCAGCAAATGCACTCAATTAGCAACTTAGTAAAGTAATAGCAAAAGAGAAATTTTTGCACTCGACTACCCGAGATTTTTAAAATGTGCGTTGCATTAACCAAAAATACACTTTCAGCCGAGTATATTTGAATCGAGAAGAAGGCAGCAGCTGCATTCCATATAACATATAAAGTATCTAATCATTATCAATTCATCATATCATAGCATAATAGGTATTGAGTTCAGGAACTGACTGAACGGATTTTGAGTATGAAGCAGCACCGAAATGCTTCGCCATTCTATCGACATTGAAAACAGATGGCTCACTTCAAGCTACATTTTAATGTTTGTAGATAGAGAATTAGCTTCTCATTTTTATACCAGCGTTATTGAATAAGCGATGATTTTCACCCACCTCTCGACGGCGGCAGTAGACTTCTCTCTGTCCCGTATTTTGTCCTGATGTTCAATATAGCGAGCTCGCATGATACTGAACGTTTGCACGTATTCAATACGGCTGAAAACGTCACCAAACTTCTCCATGCTGTACGACAATAGGCTCTTGATGTCCTCCTGTGAAGAAGCATAGAATGAAACTCCTGCTATGAAAAACTATCAAATCTAAAAGTTTAAAAACGCGGTTTTACGGCTAAATTAACTACACAAACACACTTGGATAGTAACAAATTCTGCGTTAAAAGTTAGAGGTTGGGCAGATCTATAACTTAATTTTATTATTGTAGTCATTTTCATGAAAAATTAAAAGATTGATACGGGAAAGGTAAAAATACATGGAAAAATCTTGATAACGAAAAAAAAATTTAAATTAATATCTCATTTGAATCCTTGGAAGCCATGATACGAGGAACTTCGTATAAAGAAGGATTGTTGAACAGACGAGCAGTAAATGCGTCATCACTCGCTTGCCTAATGACTTCACAATGCAAGACAAGTCGCAAGAGTCCCGTTAGTTTACTTGGATAATAAATTGGGCACACGAGTGAGAATCATTTCAAACCTCATTTCTCCTTCTACATCAAGTGTATGAATCATTACTGACCGATTTGATGAACTCGAAGAGTTCGAGGATGGCAGAATCGAGGAGATTATACCGAGCGTCGTTGCGGATGTAAGCGTCGACCAATGGAGCAAAAATATTGTTAGCAATAATGTGCCGGTTGTAGAACTCGTCCTTCATGCCCACTATCTTTCTGATGAACCGAACCGCACCTGCAAATACAATAATGGCTCAATAATAATGTCTGACGAACTATTAATTATGAACAAAGGCAAACTCATACTTAACATCAAAGTAATCATATAGCATTTATCAGAGTACAGCAGAAAGTGAAATTAATTTTTGAAATTTATTCGCTGAATCCATATCTCAATTGTATTGTGTGTGCATTCATACACAAATTCAACGTCAAGGAACTGGATAATTTCTCTCTTGTTTAATAAAAGTCTCAACTTGTCCGATTTAAATCATAACTCTCGCGGCACCCCCAACATGATGCAAGACAAAATTCTTGCATCATCAAAAATAAATACATCTGATACTTCAAAAACAAAGCCGGTACTAATATCGTTAAATTCTTATTCCTGAAAACGTAATCGAGGGCAGCATCGCACCAGATAGAACAGTATGAAACGCACACATTGATAGACTCACATAGAACAAGGAATGTGTGTTTGGATTTAACAAGAACCATGACGCGTCTCAAGAGTTCTCTGTGTATGAGGTAGTTCTTGATATGAAAGGAGTGATGCTCAACACAGAAGGAGAGCAGCTCTAGGATGAGAGCGGCGAGCTGTGCCGTCTGGTAGTCTTCCCGCACCACCACATCGCCCACCGTATTGCTCAGAAGTGGAGCTGAGGAGAATAAATTAATACAATATACTGGCAATCGTATGTAAAATAATATTAAATAAGAGGACTTTCTGCGTTTATCGTCAAAATATTGCTTTATATTACACGCAAAATGAAGGCAATGAAACTGAAATATGGCTAAAAATACATCAAATTTTCTGACCACACCACCTAAAGAGAGTACAGCCAACTTCGGTTAATAATTTAATATGACCACATTAGGATGATGATTAATTCGGTCATCAAAACCAATTGAGGAACAGAACATTATTTATTGACCAAGGCCCTTTTAGTTTCCAAGAGTTTAGTCCTATCACGCGGACCCTATCATAAAAAGTAACATCATGTGAAAAGGATGCAGGCAGTTAAAATAGATCGAAGTGAACACCACACCTAAATGGTAACGAGGTAGATTGTGGAATAGTTCATAAATGAATATGTGATGGCGGGAAACAAATGTTAAAGATAGGTTTATATTTAGCTGCACATGATAAGCATACTCGTCGCGGATAAAATCTCAGATCGACAACATTCATTTAATAACAAGCTTTATGATATCTGAATTATAAGAATGAAATATACCACAAGCAAAGCCCATTTCTCCATGATTCATCAATGAGATAATGTAACTAAGTGAGACACTGTACCTATGAGGTAATGTATGGAGTGTTTGTAGAAAGTGAGGCACACTACCTACTCAAGTCACCCCTCCTTCCTTAAGACTGTACCTATGAGATAATGTATGGAGTGTTTGTAGAAGATGAGGCACACTACCTACTCAAGTCACCCATCCCTCCTTAAGACTGTACCTATGAGGTAGTGTATGGGTTGTTTGTAGAAAGTGAGGCACACTACCTACTCAAGTCACCCATCCCTCCTTAAGACTGTACCTATGAAGTAGTGTAAGGAGTGTTTGTAGAAGGTGAGGCACACTACCTACACAAATGATCCCTCCCTTCTTAAGACTGTACTTATTAGGTAATGTGGAGTGTTTGTAGGTGAGGCACACTACCTACACAAATGATCCCTCCCTCCTTAAGACTGTACTTATGAGGTAATGTGGAGTGTTTGTAGAAGGTGAGGCACACTACCTACACAAGTGATCCCTCCTCAAGACACTGTACCTATGAGGTAATGTATGGAGTGCTTGTAGAAGANGAGAACGTACAGAACTCCTTCAAGAAAAGGATGAGATCTCTTCTCTTCTGTACAGGAACGTCTTCAGAACTCAGCTGCAGGAACAATTCGCTCAGAAACCGTTCGTCATCCTGGAAAATAACAAATTGTTGTATAATATTCAATTATAACACAGCTTTGTTATAATATAACAGAAGCAGCATAAAAAAATAGACAATAGGCAACTTAGAAAGTTTGGACCTAATACCAAAGATTCTAAAAAAATATAACTCAGTAGGTACTCATTGCAGTGAGAGACAGAGAGCGCATTTTCTCGTCGACGAAAACGTTAAGTCACGTCACGGACGGACGGACGGACGGACAGACAGACAGACAGACGGACATGGCGAGCACAATAGTGCATTTATTCATACATGAGAAAATGCGCTAAAAAGACACTGATGCGGGATAAATTTTATGGATGCTCTAGGCCATCTTTCTTTTACAAGCATATCACTGGACACTGGTGGTAAAATTTCACATCAATTTCGCCAAGCTGCTTATCCAACAAAGAATAATCCGGCAGCAGTAAGATTTGTGAACAGTCATATCACGAGCATTTGGAAAATTCTTACCAGCAGAACCAAGTTGTTAATTTTGTTCAAAGATTCAGAAATGTTGGCAAAAAGACAAGGCTACAGAGGGTTTTGGGGTGCATGTACGTCATAAATCGAAAATTTAGACATGTCCTGTTGTTAGGCTCATTTTAAGGGTTCAAGAACTGTGAATTTAAAGAGCCCAAAGCCATGTTTGTACGTTCATTTGCTCATTCAGGGCAGCCGTCAAAGCGCAAGTAGAAACCTATACCTTCAATGATCACAAATTCAAGTTTTTTGCCTCTCCTGAAAACTTGAAATTTTCATCTTAAAAATTTTGGACTTTTCATTTAGCTAAATCATTTCGAGATACACCATTTTATACGTAAAGACCTGATCTAGCGATCATCCAGTAACTTTTTCTGATTTATTTTTTTCGGATTATATATTGAAAAAAATTGGGGGGGGAGACCAAATTGATAACAAAAATAAAAAAAATTGCAAATAATAATAATAATAAAAATTGGGAAAAGTGATTGGATGATGGCTAGATTTACGAATCAAATGACATGTCTCTCGATCTTGTAGCATGTTAATTGAATGAGAAGATAGATTTTTACAATACCCCCCTTTTTTTTGCAGTTTTCAATGAATTTCAAGTTTTCTCTCATTTTTTTCGAAGAATTTACACAAACAAAAAAGTCTTAGATTTCAATTTTATATATAGGTACCAAGTTTCAAAATGATCCGTCCGTAAATAAAAGTTTTTTTTTAACGTACATGCTCCCCTCAAGTTCCAGGGTTGGCGATTTTTTTGATTTTTTTAAAAAAATCAAAAAAAAAAATCAAAAATCAATGATTTTTTTATTTTTTCATGATTTTTTTTATTTATTTGATTTTTTTTATTTTTTCAACTTTTTTGTCTTTTTGAAGTGTTTTTTTTTTTATGTTGCAATTAGCCTACTAACAATAACAGTACATGGATCATAATGGATGGCTAAAAAGGGCACTTATTGCCTTCAATAATGGCCAACAGGCCAAGGTAGTGTTTACCACTTAGGGATTTTTGGGTAAACAATTATTGATAAGTCTATTCATTAGCTTTGTAAAGTTTGTATGGAGCAAGGTAATGAGCTAAATATTGACCATTTAACTGGCTTCAATATACAAAAACACTTCAGGAATGCAGATCTTCTAGACATTGAAGAGTCACATAACAGATAGGTAGCTGATAGCACAGTGCACAGCACTATCAATAGATCTACTAGTTTTATGTCCTCTAAATCTACCAGACTCTCCCCTCTATACACACCTACTGGTAGTGACTGAGTGACTGACTGCACTGTACCCATTTAATTCAGACCAATAAACCAATACTAAACATAAACGGAACGATAACCAAACAAACCCCGTACGACTTGAAACGAGACTTGAGTTATGAGAAAATCTAATACTGTTTGAAATAAACATGTGCACAATTCAAATATTTTATATCCATTCACAGCATTTACTCATTTTATATATAGTCTTATAATTGTAATTGTCGTGTTTCTAATTTTAAATTCACATATTTAAAGATTGGAATTAAATATTTTAATTAGAATACTCATATTAGGGTGGAAAATCTTTCTAATTGCCTAAAAGGTCGATACAATCTCAACCTCTCAATATACAGGGTGGGGGAGAACCGATTGAGCAGTTTTGAGGTAAAATAAAAGAGTAATGGAGGTACATAAAGAAGAAAGTTTATTTTCCTAGAGGTTAGCATAACATATCATTTAGAAAACTTATGTTTTGAAAACAATATCTGGAAGATGGGGGCCGTTAGCAGCAACACACTGTTGGAGTAGTTCTCAGAGGAGTGAGTAACCGTAACAGTGAATTCCGATCGCTATGCTGCAATGTTGCAAAATTTCTTGCCGCCTATGATGGAAAACATTGTTGAAAATGAAGCATTGGGAGACATGTGGTTCCAGCAGGATGGGGCTACAGCTCAAACAGCCCGAATGTCACTCAATGTTTTGAAATGCATGTTCCCAGACTCTGAGGGGTGATTTACAGTGGCCTGCGAGGTCACCTGATCTGAGCATTTGCGATTTCTTTCTTTGGGGACATCTAAAAGAAAGGGGTTCAGAAGTCGCCCTCACACTCTACCACAGCTAAGGGAACGGATTATTGCAGCAGAGGTTATGGCCATACCTCGCCATATGTGTGAATGTGCTATAGAAAACTTCCGAGAACGACTCCAACAGTGTGATGCAGCTAACAAACCCCATCTTCCTGATATTGTTTTCAAAACATAAGTATTTTAAATGGTATGTTATGCTAATCTTGAAGAAAATAAACTTTCTTCTTTATGTACCTCCATTACTCTTTTATTTTGCCTCAAGACTGTTCAATCAGTTCTGCCCCACCCTGTATAAGCCAGCTAACACATTTAAATTGTATATTGTAATCAATATATAACAACTAGTCAAATTGTTAAAGACTACTTATAGCCTTATAAGAATTAGCTAAGCTGTTAGCTATGTACAATGTACATAGCTTTGCACAACAATACATACAAACAATAGTACAATGTACATAGTGTTTTGCACACTTGATGCCTCTGTACCAAAAACATTTAATTTATTGGAACCTAATACACACTAAAGGCAACAAGTTTATATACAAATTTGTCATTCATAGTACATTTATACTAAACCATGAATAACAATACCTCAATATAAATTAAAGACTGCCACTCAATATATTTAAATATATGAAAAAATCAAAAAAATCAAAAAAATCGAAAAAATCAAAAAAATCATGATTTTTTTATAAAAAAATCAAGTGATTTAATCACATGATTTAATCATTTTGATTTAATCATTGCCAACCCTGTCAAGTTCATTCTAAGATAAAAAATATACGTAGGAAATTCATAAAATAATGCAGCCAGAGAGTAAGAAAATTGGTCACTGCTAAAGTTCATACCTGGATAAGAGAAACTATCTCGACTTTGTTGAAGAATATAAAGGAGGTGAGCGTGGATGGGAGGTTCTCTTCGAACACCGTTTGATTTGGCAAAGCCACGTCTTGGATGTATTGAACTCGGAACGTCTGATGGATTTTGTTAAGCAGTTCACTGTTCTCTATTGGGATGACCTGCAGATAAACAAATCAACAATGGGTAACATTCATGTGAGGAAAACTACCATTTGGAGACAGGTTAATACCTATGCTAATTGCAAACTAGTAAGCAACTGATAAATAGCAGAGAAATGATGAATGTAGTTGACTAAGAGAAGCATGAATTCAGTTTAAGTATCATGGTAAATACTGAAGTGTAGTAGACTAGCCTCGGTATCTACGAATAATATTCAAGAAGACATGACTTTATGGAAAAACACAAGTAAAGAATCTTCGATCCAAAAATTATTGTGCAGAAGATTCAATATTTTGTACGACGAACGCAACTGAACAAAGGAAAAATGTTGGAATGTAACTACATAAATTCTTTGGTTAAAACTTCCATAATGAAAAATATTAATTAAAACCTGCAGGTACAAAGCGGAACTTTACACACAAAAACTAAAATTTTATGTTATTAACCACTGCTCCCTTATTTGAAAAAGATTGAGGCAATCAATTCTTAAGTAACATAAATAAACACCAGCTACCATACTGCTCCTTATGCAAGAGCACACAGCCAGCTCACCTTAAGTAACATATCAGAAACATCTGCTACCACTATTACGCCATGTGAAAAATGGGCTATCTAACATTAAGCAAAAGATATGAAGACCTACAGCTACTACGACACACGGAAAAAGTGGGCTAAGTGATAAATAAAAAAAGGTCTAAGTGATAAAAATAAAGACCCTACTCACCTCCTTGAAGGTGGTCATGGACTTAAGGAAGTCCCTGTGTTTCTTGGGCGTGGGGCTCGAAGGATCGTATTCAAGGGCACCAATTACATCAAAAATATTCTCGTCGGAAAAAAGTACTTCTAATAAGGAATTTTTATTAAGCAGGAATATATTCTTGAAAATTTCATACAAAATGTGTAAACATTCGAAATTCTCGACGTCTTCACAGAGTCTGAAGAGGTCAATGAGCTTCTTTATATAGCACTCATTCTCGATGCTGTTCGCTATTTTGTCTTGTCTGTTGACATTCTGAAGCGACGCCGACAGCAACTGAGGGCACAAATGTATATTTTTGGGTGTTGCACAAAAATTACACAATTTAGAGGACAACTTCAAGGGTTGAGTGCAGCACAAAAATTGCACAACTTAGGGGACATATTTAAGGGTTAAGTGCAGCACAAAATGTGCACAATTTAGGGGAAAATTTTAAGGGTTGAGTACTGCTGCACAACATACGGTACTGAACCAACATTACTTAATTGTTCAAGAACCTCTGAATAAGAAACAGGAACTAGAATGGCTGGAGATCTGAGCAACTAAACACAGACGAAAAGTGCAGAAAATCCTCAGAAAATTGCACTGTAAATGAAATATCCAACAAAATATATTGACTATCCACTCTGACTCAAGTGAAGATGAAATGGCAGAAAATCCATGGAATTAAATGTTCAAGTGACGCAAGTTTATTCACGTTAATTTAGCGACAAATATTAGAACACGAAGTAATCTCACTCAGCAATGGAATTCAATTCATAAATTTGAAGTGATCTACAGCAAGATAGTTCTCCATTATATTCAAATAGTCCAATTTTACATACACAATTTTCAACTTCGTTCCCTTTTGTAACAAATTCATCAATTGCAATTTGAAGCTCCACCTCTAAAAGCGTTTAGGAACTGCATGAAAATATTCTTCAGATAAATTGTAAGGCCTCCAATTATAACATCAGAAATAGTGCATTTGTTACATGTTCACCCGCCATAAAGTCAATACAAAGAATGCTACAAACTTTAAACAATAAGCATCTGGAAATGATGCACACAGAGGTTATTTGCAACACTTCTTATCCTCATAAGTTTTGACAAATGGTAGGTTTAATTATCAAGATCTCCCAAATATGCTAAGGCGAGCATAATCCATAGATGGTACATAAATATTTAATGTTAACTACTATGCATCACATCTCATATCCACCTACTACTCATATTCACCATGAGTCTTCCAAAATGCCAATTAGTTCGCTCCTAAGACCATTCACCTCACTTATCACATAATTGATCTGGCGCAAGATAGTTGACTTCCATAACAACTCACCTCGCTGATCTGCTCGAGTTTGCCCATCTCGCACGGTGGTAACTCCACATAAACATTAGAGTCGTTGGCTTCTTCGAATCGTTCCTCCTCGCTTTCTTCGTGAACCTCTTGAGTTATCTCCACACTTGGGTCCTTGCCTTGAACCTGTTAGTAAGACGAGCATAAATATAATGCTGAACATCACATAGTACATTGAAGAAAACAAGAGGTGCTTATTCAGTGTCAATGCAATCTTTACAAAGACGACATGTTGTGGCCGTACCTATTTTTAAATGAAAAAAAGTTCACTCATCATAATTTTTACAACTTTTTCAACTCTGAACTGATTGTTTCAGCTCGGAGCGCCATATATAATATGAACTCGTCCCTATAAATTAAAGATAACTTCATACTGTTTATTCAAAGGCACGGTGCAAATATTTAAATTCCTCCTTATCTTCAACTTCCAAGAAGTAAGGACAAAGGCAATCTCAACTTTAACAGCAAATCTCTATTCTGTGGCACGTAAGTTACCATATATTGTAAATTGAAATTTTCGCCCAAGAAGGTCCACATACCTATTGTTTTTAAGGCTTTATTATCATGCATAAGTCAATTGCAATAAACTGCCCATCGTCCCATGCATATCACGATCTTCCACAATACCCAAAAATTTGAATCAAAGGTTTAGAAATAAAAATTGACTATCATGAGTTGATTTAAATATAGAAGTAGAGAAATCTCCAATATCATCACCAAGTTTATAGAATTGGATCTCATGGGATCTAGTAAGTTCTTAAGATTTGCTTGTCTAATAATACAGCAAGGAGAGCGTTAAAAAAAATCTAGTAAAAAAATAAAAAAAAATCTTAAAATTCCCCAAAATTGAAAAAAATTGCGTTTTGTTTTCTGCTAACACTATTCAACAGTAAAAAATGCGCGTCAAATGCAGCAAACCACACGCAAGTGAGCGTTAGTTTATGCGTGAGGCAGTTTCTAACTGCTAAAAAATGAACATTATTCAAAATTGGCACAAATATTTCTTAAGAAATTAGTTTCACAGTGAATTGTTTGTGTTAAACTGGAGTCATGCAGCGAATGATGGTACCGTCAACACATGTAATAGGAAATGAGAAAATCAGAGATACAAAAGTGAGCAATTTTTTATCCTATGCTTCTTTTGGGACCCATTTCTCTTATTTACGTCTCCTGGTCTAGAACAACTTGAAATTTCCAGCAAATAACGTCTTAAAAAGTTATCTCCTTTCGATTTACAACTACAACAACAGGAAACATATTCTTTGAATTGTTAAGTGAATATTTCATCAACTCTAGGAGCCCTTTCTTCGTATTTATGTATTGTCTGGATTATAGTTAATAAAAATTAAGGAAAATTGGGGGGGGGCGAATAGAAATAAACCCAATAGAAACGAAATAATAGCAAAATTTTAATAAAGGGGGCTTCTAGAGTAACTAGATATTTGCATTACAAATCAAATGACACCTTTGTTATTCCAGGTTTTAGCTCGTAAATCAAAAGGAGACAAGTCCCACTTTTCCGTTTTCTTTACATTTCACTTTTTCCCCCATTTTCTCAAAAAAATTCGTATTAACAAAATGTGCTTTATTAGAATTTTAAATACATGTATGAAGTTTCAGAAAGACCATTCAGGTAAGTTTTTTTTGGAGGGTATAATCAATTTCTCCTCCCCTCATGGCAATTTTTTTCAGCCTGGTAGCCTGAAAGATTTTCTCCCATAACACGTTCAAGTACGGTATTCCAAAAGCATTATGCTACCTGACAGATTTTCTCCCATAACACGTTCAAGTACGGTATTCCAAAAGCATTATGCTACCTGACAGATTTTCTCCCATAACACGTTCAAGTATGGTATTCCAAAAGCATTATGCTACCTGACAGATTTTCTCCCATAACACGTTCAAGTATGGTATTCCAAAAGCATTATGCTACCTGACAGATTTTCTCCCATAACACGTTCAGTACGGTATTTCAAAAACAGTGTGCTACCTGACAGATTTTCTGCCATAACACGTTCAAGTACGGTACTCCAAAAGCATTATGCTACCTGACAGATTTTCTGCCATAACACATTCATGTACGGTATTTCAAAAACAGTATGCTACCTGACAGATTTTCTGCCATAACACGTTCAAGTACGGTATTCCAAAAGCATTATGCTTATATGCTACCTGACAGATTTTCTCCCATAATACGTTCAAGAACGGTATTCCAAAAACATTATGCTACCTGACAGATTTTCTCCCATATCTCATCACAGCCAGCCTTCTCTTGGAAGCTGAGGGCGAGATCAAAGTTGTCCCCCTCGGACCACACGATGAGCGTGCCCTGCTGCTTCTGGTAGGCTGTGTCTGTCTGGATTTTGGACTCCAGGAGTGGGGCACCGTCCGCCTCAGCTCGCACCAAAAGAGAGATGCCTTTGAGACGATCAACAAATCTGCAGACAAGAGCAATAATAATTAGATGAAATGAATAATTAATACAAACCAACTAAGCAGAAGTCATAAGCAAGAGTATATTGTTACATGAAAAAAAATGTTAAAGGAAATAAAGGATGAATAAAATCAGCAAGGATAGGCATGAATGAAATAGACTAAGTACAATAATGAGAACAGGACACAGGAAATATTTGATAGGTATGTAATTATTGCACATTGACCCCATAGAATTCTTACAACATTCTGCCAAGAATATGTGTGTCAATTTAGATACGGTACAATGGAAAATTAAAAAAAACACATTTTTGAGGAGATGAATAGTGATATACAAGGATGACCTGAGAGCAGCACAATTTATCATACATTACGCCTCTCATGAAATAAGATAAATATCAATTTTTTATACATTACGTATACTTAATGACTTATTGAGTCTTTCATAAAAGCATAATAGTATATACTCTCACAATAGCATTCTTACTTCTATTGACAGCAAGCAGAGGGAATTCCTATGAACAACCCAACAACATTGATTGATGTTTATTTGAAATGCAGAGTAAATAACATATATTATAAATATATATATGAACTATTGGAGCTGGAAAAAATGAAAGGAGTAAATGACCTAAAAAAATACAGATAATGACACAAAATTAAATACAAATACATATCAATACACGTTACCAAAAATTAAATAAAAACACGAGATATATGGTACCGTAATTAGGCACCAATATATTCATGCATACCATTAATGCCAACAACTGATTATAATACAAAGAGATAAAATGAGCACTCACGTAGCTGTGACATGTCCAGTGCCTCGATCGTCCCACTGACGCTCAGAATTGAGAGCATAAAGCTTCACCCGACGACGAGACATCTTCTCTGCCATCACTAATCAAAAAACGGAGCTGGAAGGAGGTGACCACAGTACAGACCAAGATGGTATGCCCATGCTCTGCAAATTAGGACAAAATTAATTCTCCAAATATATCTATAAACAAATTAAAATATATAATACCAAGATCTTGAAAAGATTAAAATTTTCATTTTCCAATTATTTCTGTCAATAGATAATGAAATGCAATTCCTGCTCAACTAGATGCAGTTAATAAGATAAAGCTACAGGATTTGTGAATAGAATGAGTATGCAGCCTTCAACTAATTCCTCAATTGCCTATAGATGAGATGCATGAACTCCGTATGATAGAAGGTGTCATCATAGATATAATGAATCTACATCCGTTATCTGTATATGCAGATTATATTACTCATTAGGTCAACACTTACTCTACGATTCTAATATATAAATACAATGCTAAAAATATTGATAATGATAGTTAAAATAAAAATTTTGTCTTCAATCTTTTCAATGTGTAATTAAAGCTTTGTTTGACTCTTAATCATAGCAAAACCTAGTCCTGTCAAACCAACAATTAGCAAGTTAAATTTATATTTTGTTCTCATACATCAGCATGAAAATGTGTTGTCAAGATCTTCTGAGGGCATAAAATTGGATTGTATTGTGGATTGCCAGCATGCAAGTACATGATTGTAGTTATTTATAAATTTGGGAACTTCATACAGATCAGGTTGGGAAGTAAAGCCTTTTACTTGAAGATAATGGCATCTTTACAAGTTTATAATCAGTAATCTGAATTTCAATGAACCTGTTGAATTGCAGCTTAAATAACAATTTGTTCAATTGGCACCATTGAGATCAGTGTATGCTATCCATATCAATTGATATCCATCTTCTGCATCAAGTGTGTACTGTATCTCACAGATCTAAAAATGGTTGAAAGTTCTATTTGTGGCTTGAAAGGTAGAGTTTTACAAACTAGGGCTAGAGCAAGGTCAAAAAATTTTTACTCGATACTTAAAACTAAAATATAGCAGCTCCAAAGTGACATATTTCTGATCACTGGAATTTCAGGGCGCAATCATACATTGATGTAACCAATTATATAGGAGATAATACATCTAATGGGAGTGGGGTTCTGGGGGAAGCTGATGGCTTCAAAAATGGGAGAAAACTTGTTGTTGTGGGTGGGTCTACTGTGAAGGTAGACATATTCTAGATAGACACTAGAGATAGTGAGTAGAGACAGTTTACAACATAAAACTGCCTAATAGGCAACAGCTAAGAACAATGCCACATTGCCACTCAACTTGCCTTAAGTTGTCATTTATCTTGTCAGCCCCTAATGGAAACAATCTATTTAACACACAATATTCAGAATTGCACACTACAAATGGTATTTTTAAACTTCTGAGTTCTGACCAGTATCTTACTATTTTCATTGGCATATGACAAGCAGTACGCTGACAAAGGCATGGAATATATCTACTTGGCAAGCAGCAACTGAATTTTTTGAGCCATGGTTTTATGGATTTGCCAGCCATGTGTTGAATCATGGATTGCTTAGACGGATCTACCCAACCTCACTTTGCAATTCCGGTGTTCACAATGAGCTAAACTCTTCTGCTTTGATCTGAATCCAAAAGATCTGGTTATAACAATTAGTCAGTCGTTGAGGATACGAAACTGACTTACACTATTTACTTTATTTCACTCAAAATTTCAAGCTCCCCAAATGTTGACCATCATGTTTATTAATGTCACTTGCAACGTTAAAATTTTGCAATCGTGAAAATCAATTTTGACTGGAAATTAGACACACACAGCTTGTTCCAAGCTGTGTGCAAAAATTAAAATTTTCTTAATTAAAAGCTTGATAGCTCTTAATTAAAAGCCTAATTAAGTAGTGTTCAATATTCAATAGTGTTCTAATTGCAAGCTGTCGTATTCCAATAGAGCTCACACAGCGATTAGAATTTGAACACAAGAGTGTTGGCATTACAAATTAGTAGAGTTTGAAGCACGGCCGGAATTAGTCTCACAAAATGCCAAATTTAGTCACACACAGTGTCAGAATATATGGATTTGGTAGGTTTGCATTCTAAAGGCTTTTAAATAAATATTGCAACATTTTGTGACATTTCATTGTTGCTGGCGCATAGTGCGGTGTTTTTAGAGTGACGTAAAGCAAACAGAACTTGAGTTGCGTGTACGGTGTATTTTTTATAGCCATTCATATTTTGCTACGTCCTTAAAGTGTTGGAATATACCACGTCTACCCGAATTTTGACAACACCAACTCGAAAATACAAACCTATGAAATCTCACACCGTGATTCCATTTTTTTTGAGCTGTGAATTCCATATCTCAGCCATGAAAAGCCATTTACAAGCCACTAATTTTTTTACTAAGTCTATGCACGTGTTAGCCCAAATCCCTAATTTTACCCTAAAACAGTCAAATGACAAACGTCACCGATAACATTTGTCTTAACTGTAAGCTGAACAGGTGTTAATGCAGTCTAACTGCTCTGATGTGACCACAACTACATGCAATCTTCAACAAAATGTTTACATTGACAGTGATTGACTTGTTATCATTACAATGATTATGTTCTGCAGGATATTTTTGCAGGAACAACAAAGTAATGCAGATTGCAGAAGTTGAAAACTTTATGAAATGACATGTTTGCAAACTGCAAATTGCAATTTTCCAAGCAAGCAAAACTTTATGACATTCAAGCCGCAAGATTTCATACCTGCTAAAATTATATGATATTAGAGCTGCAATATTTCAGAAAAAAATAGACTTTTCCAGCCCTGCATGATTGACAGCAATGTCTGCTTAGCGGCAACTTGATTTGTGGATTTTAGTTAGAAAAGTTAAAATTTCAAACAAGATTTGTGACAAACTGCTACTGCTAGTCCCACGCTCCAAGCATGCTAAAGTTTATTCTTTGAAAATGTGCAACAACTTTGGATGTGCGTTTTTACTTTACAAGGTTATGTAGCCTAGTAGGTAACTATTGGTAGGTATCAAGCACTGTTGCACAATGCACACGCAGAGCGGCAAAAGAGAATAGGTACTGGCAGTATCGTTGTTGCTCTTCCACACATGGTGGCAGGGAATTATTGTGAGTACTTATGCGTTTGCAAGAGCATCGACCGGTCCGGCTCAGCGGGGGGGACCCACGGCCAGTGTAGCTGTCAGCTGACTTTCTTCAGAAGTGCAAAAGCTTTTGCCGGTGAAGGTCACAGAAGGTGTGTTTTACGATCGGTCCGTAAAAAAGCGTTGATCGGTTCAAAATGACAAAAGAACAGGTTCTTTTGAATAACCTATGGATTGCCACCATGCTTCCACAAGTTCATTCATAAGTCCAATGGCAATAAGTAGACCAGCCTGACCAAGAAGTATTTTTTAGCAACATCATCCATAAGAAATTGATTAAATAATGAGTACCTAGGTAGACGGGGAAATTAAAAATAAACTGATTCTAAAAAATCTCAGGTTGCCAAGGCCAAGGCACTGTTGCATTCGAACTTTCGTTTAAAACCGTACCGAATCGTTCGGTAGGTATTGTTTCAATGATGCAACTCTTAATCAGTGCATTCCATAATAATACAATATAACACTGATTTTTTACAGCTAAACCTACCATCGGTAAAATCTTTCAATGATGCACGTTTTCCAATTTAACAAACCAACTTTCCTCCACCGGCGCCAAAATTTATTATTGAACTATTTGGAGCGTCAACAAAATTAAGTTTGATATTAAGGAAACAAACTTCATTGGATCATTGGGTCTCAAACTACTGCCATGGCGATTTTTAGCTTATGAACGTGCAAGCAAGAACTACTATAGCAAAATTTTGTAATCAGAGGGCACAAGTAATTGTGGGAGACAACACAACAATGCTAGTCTACACCAAATCTTTCGGCAGCCATATTGGACCGACAATAACAACGCACGGGGTTCACATGCCAGGGACTTTATATGAACACTCTTGAAGATATATAGATAAACTGAACAGGAAATAGTTTTCAAAACATTATTCGAATAATTTTATCAGGTGAATTTTTGCATAAAATTAATCTTAATACGTTTTAATTAGTCAAAAGCGATGGTTCCCGTTCTCTTTCAATCTGCAATTAAGAGCACTGTCAAGATTTGTCAAAACCAGAGATGAGTGCTGTAGATTGAAACTTCATGACATGATTCTAAAGTGCATCGTCCTGAGTGATGTAAACAAATCAAAATAATGGAGAATTCAAGTGAAAGTAATATTTACTACAGTATATCTGATAAATAGGAGTCATTCTATTAAAAATTCAATTCAAAGTGCATTTCTCATAATCACCGTAGCCACCACCGTTCACGCTAAATGTTATTAGAGTTATGTGAAAACTCGAATTAAAATTTGTTTAATAAACGTATGCTGTCTCAGATAAATTCTTTGATGAAGTGGCGATATGAAAATGTTGCTTTCTACAAACGATTTTTGTGGATTTACCAGGCAATACCAGCTGCTGTGTATTTGGCACTCATTCAGCAGTCATGGGAAGTACTGTCTCGTGTGTAGAAGTGCTTCAACCTAGCTCTGAAATCCACTTTGTTCGCCTTGCTCTTTATATCACCTAAATTTTAAGGCCATTGGAGCAAAATGCCTCGATTAACTTGCAAAATTATTTATTCCTGTTAATTCGTTTACCGTATGAAGGATTTCGCTGGACGATCCCTAAAGATACAAAACATTCCGTTGAAAACTTGACGTTTATTTGGGAACGCAATCAATGGTAGAAGAATGAATTTAGGTGAACGCCTTTCATCATGTTTGAAATCTTATTATCGGAAACATTTGGTGGAGACTCAAGCAGCTGTGGCGAATCCGAAGGAATTGTGTTCTGATAATTCCGTGACATCTCAACTCCTTGTGCCGTCACTGAGAGTGCCTGCTGTTGGCTGGTTGGTAGCTGACCATGATGTCACTAAAAAAACTTATAAACCTTTCCGATTGATTCTTTGAGCTTAGCGCTAGACACAAGTCATCGCGAATAATAACACTGTCAGATTTTATATCATCAAAATTAATTCATTATCTGATACGATGAATTAATATTATCTTTTACTTCATCCCCAAATATTTAGGTAGCTGCAGTTAATTCATTAATTAGGATACAAACATAGTGGTTTATATGATTTCAGATTATTGCTAATCGACTCTAAATGAGTAACTTCCGTTTTATACGAACATGTGAGTTACGACCCTCCTAAAAACAGATAAAAAAAAATGTGCCTGTATTTTCGCTGCACTTCAGTGAGAAGTGACAGTGACCTGTCAGGCTGTCACTTGAACGAGGTTCAGTTACTTCAGTATCCCAGTCGCTATTGTCGAGCGTGTTGCTCGTGAAGTTTCTCATGCTCGCTCTCAGCTCGCGCGTTTTGTAGATTAGTTAGTTTCTTTGGTTTTTAAGCAAGAATTTCATATTCGAACTCTTTTAACTTTTCTCATTTGCACAACAGTTATAATTTCTTTGAAACTTAATGTTTACCCGGTATTAGTTTGCCGATGGTTATTTTATCGGTCCTTTCGATACACCGCCATTTATCTGTCGACAAAAACTCACTTTTTATCTCGTAGACTCGTTCATAGATTCTAATAGTTCATTGAACAATAATATCTTTATTTTATGAATAAACGTATAAATATGCAGCCTTTTAGACTCATAAGCAATCTACCGCGAATATTGTTTTAAAAAAAGCCCGCATTTTATTATTGTGAAAGAATAAGACATTTTGAAGTGATAATATTAAAATAAACTTGGAATAATGCATTCGGTTGTTCGTCACGATGTCTGAATTGTTTTTTTTTTTACAGGGATGATGAGCGATTGGTCAGCCTAACTCCGTCTCAAGTCCTGTTACCATTAATTGGTGACAGCGAAAAAAATTCCACTTTCCACAGTGGAGCCAAAATATTATATTTATCTGATGACCAAGAAGTGGCAGCGTCCAAAGAAACGCTCCTCAACGATATACTCAGGGACTGGTGCCGCGACGAGAACGTGCGGCAACATGAAGGGCTCTGGTGCTTTGAGGTAACCGAATTGCGAGTTTAAAATTTCGTGACGGATTTTCAGTCTTGAATCAGTCTAATTAATCGTTTAAAAATATTCATAAAATTATACACAATGTTGCATTCATCTCGACATAGTTAAGTATATTGGTTTTTCTTTGCAGTAAAATATACTAATATGGATTTTTCTTCACAGTTAGTGATCGCCATTGAAGCAAAGTCGTTGGTACGAGATGGAATATGGAAGTACTTGCGACGTTTGGTACCAGACGCATACCACAAGTTCGGTGACAAGGCCATCAAAGAATGCATTACCAAGTCACGTGTCCTCTTTTTAGTGAACAATTGGCCGGACTCAAGAGTGAGCCTTTCTGCCTACGAACTTTCTTTCGATACCGTCGATAAAAAAAGGGAGTTGCAGAAGAGCGTGCTAGCATTCTTTGCTGCAGAAATGCCCCTTTCTAGGTTTCTCATCTCAATACATCACACATGTTTGTCGGAGTGGCTAAAAATCCTACAAATTGAATTGAAAGTATCCGCGTTGTTTGCCAGACTCACAAGCCAACTGAAAACTCCCGATCTTCTGCTTGATAGCAAGCACAGAGAAATAGTAAAATGGTGTACAGCGTCGCTTTGGAAAGAAGATTGTATCAAACACTGGCCACGGTGCAGGCAATCCCAAATATTAAGGTTGTTTTCACATAACGATATTCTTTATTCTTCCAGAAGTAAATGCGACTTAGTTTGGTCTATGCTGACAATTCAGCTTCATCTTTTTCAAGAGTACACTTCTTGCTCACTTGATGCATGCGATATCCTCTTCTCAAGCCTGTGTAATTTGGCATACGACTCTCAGTTTGGCAGAACCAGCGTCAACCAACACTTCGAACGCATTAATCTAGCACCGAAACTAAAAGATAAATTTCTTAGATATTTCTTACTGATTCTTCCCAAGTTTGCTCCGGCCACGACTGATTATTATGTGTCGTTTATGAATGAACTTCAAAGTCATGTGCTTGTTTCTTGGCATGTATATAGAAACAAGCTGTCTATAGCATCATCTCTGGGAGAATCGCCGTGCCGGGACCAAGTTGCTGCAATGTTTATAGGCCACATGCGAAGGGATGTTGAAAAAAATACTCTTCTGCTTGAAAATAAAACATTACATCGTGAGCTCAAAAGCCTTTATCTTTTGAGTGAAAAATCCAATGATCCTCAATCATACCTTTTGCAGCTTCTGAGTGAGATCCATGATTGTGATCCACTTGTAAAAATTTTATTCGAAAATGCCGTTTTCCCACGGCAACTGGAGTTGTTTGAGGACTGCTTGATAAAAGATCCATTACTTATTTATATGAAGGTCGTACAGCCTAGAAGAGTCCTACTACTGGTGAGATGTGGTAAAGAGTCTCAGGAACTGCTCTCAATTGTTGACGAAATACGCCAATTAGATCTGAGTTTTGGATTAGGTCTCATGCACCACTTGGAGCCAGGTAATCTGGACACTAGCGATGCAATTGTTAGTTCCGCTCTTACTGGCTCTAAAGCTCGATTGCAAGACCTGCTTGGGTGCTTAACGTTTCCCGTTATTGAGAAACTGACGCCTGAATCTGCCAGTCACCTGACATGCCTGCGAGTGAGAGTGAATTCACAGCTTGACTTGAGGAAGATTTTCACCGTTCAGTCAACTTTACCGAACCTCATGTGGTTCGAAATAGACTTCGATCTTCCTCTCGAAAATTTTACGAATACTCTATTGCAGAAGATAAAAACTCCGTTGTGTGACTTAACTTTTTATGGGCTTAAAAACTGCGACGTTGGTGCTCTCGTAAAATTTCTAGAGGGAATCCGAGAAAGCTATCTTTCTGGTCTTCATTTGCGCAACTCAACTCTAGACGTAATTTCAACTATTACCTTGGTGCAAGAACTGAAGAAAGTAGACATTGTCTTATCAACTCCTCCCGAGACGATTAATGTTTACAGGAGATGGAGGTACTCGGAATTATCTGTCCTTGGCAACAATGAGATGATGGATGAAGTTAAAGTTCTAACACTGCTGGGCTACGATGACCGCCATCAGTACAGTGACAACGAAGTGCGTACGTCCGTTGCCGCTACCGAATCCGACATTGAAAACTTGTCCGAATATCTAAACGAAAATGAAGATTTGACCTACTTTAAATTTGGGTCTCCTTACGCTATTGTGACAAAACTTTCAAATAAAGATATAGTACGCACGCTAATCCAAGCTGAACAAAAGCTTACCAATTAATTAAACCACTTTACATTGTATCAATTAATAAAATCTCTTCAAATTACACCAAGCTTCTCAATTAATTTAAATAACTATATATCATTTCGTCATTGATTATCCTGTAACGTGACTCAGGAATGTTGTCCCATGAATTCCGTGAAAGTTCTCCTGTCGTTTCTCATTTAGGTTCTCAATTCATATCTGGGACAATTTAACTCGGATATTCAACTACTTCATCCGCTTGACAACTGCGCAAACGCTGCTCGAATTTAAAGTGTGTCGGTTCAATCGTTACCGTTTCCAAAATATCTATCAATCGTTACCAATAAAGTTTCCAGCCTATAACTGCGATAACTCGTCATTTCCAACTGAAGAATTAATGTACTGACATAAAGGTTCCACGTACGTTAATCGGTTAAGATAAACGTAGAAAGAGTTCAGAGAAGAACTGTTACTTTTAAGCGTCCGTACAACCAATGTCAATAGGATTATCCAGTGATCGAATTAATAGGAAGGAAACATTACAATTCTTGTATTCACTCTGCGGCATTTTAAAGGACTCATGTGAAGCCACAGCGATACCTATTGCGTTAGACCCACGAACAGACAATATTTACAGCAGCCTTAGTTCTTATACCAGTGGCGTAGTGAGGTGAGAGTTCATTCACATTCATTCAGATTTTAGTCTTTTTGAGCAATTTATAAATGTTATTTTTATGATAGAAGCTCAAAATTTGTCCGCAGGTATTTCTAAGAATTATTATTTTTTTCATCCTTATAAAGCTTCAGTTCAGATTCTGGACGAAACACGTTTTATTACCAAGACGTTTTCGAGTTATCTTCATCTGAATAATGTGTTAAGAGTGTGTTGCGACGGCCCACAACCACGAAAAGATACGAGTGACGACGTCGTGCACGCCATTCTAATAAACCTAAACGATTTTTCTCTAACTTTACAAGACAGACATAGCATTGCAAAGCAAGTGAACGCATTTTATCGTTTTTTTTATCACAAAATATGAGGTTCAAACATACAAGCAAATATTCCAGTTTGAAATCTTTTATTAATTTCAATTTATGTTGATTATTCATGACATGAGGACAGATATGTCAGAGAATAGAGACGAACATTATTTATTATGTTGTGCCGCACTCGTGATAGGTACATTGATGAGTGAGATAATTCAAAACACACATAATTTTCTAACGAAGAGCAAGAGTCGAAGTTACTGATCTGAATAACATTCGTAGCAACGTTAACTCTATGTCGCATCTTGAAATTTTTTCTCAAATTTATCAATGGACTACGATTATAAAGTAACTAAAAAAATATATAAGAACGTAGGAAGTTTCAGTCTCAATTAACGGTACGTAAAAAGACTATGCATTTTAGAGATAATAGGGCGCTTCGAAAATAACCTACAGATCCATATCTTCATATCAATATTATTAAGTTCCTATCCATGTGGTCCACGTTTCGTTGCTCATTTGATCAATATTTTTAACAGTAAATATGACTATTTCGTACGATTTCTTTACAGTCAGTTAGTCAGGCAAAGCGTCATGAAAAAAAAAAAATTCTATGAAAAATGCAACTTCCTATATCTTTATTGTAGAGAAATCTGTGATACGAGTTCATTAATTAAACGCAGACCTAATAAGATTAAATAGGCATCAGGATCTGATATAATATGAGCCTTTGAGATAAAAGACGCATGATTTGCAACTAACAACGCACACGTGAAAATTGTGCAACACGCCGTGAAAAGATGCAATGCTAACTTAAACTAATTATGGGAGAGAATTAAGCTCACTTGAGACATAATATATAACTAACACAATGGAGACTTAGCAATTGACATTTTTTACCGAGAGCGAATTTATGTCGTGTAATGTATTTCATATTTGTTGACTGACTACATCAAACAAATGAATAAAATTTACATAACATGATTAATATTTGAGCATCGATGGTTTAGTATATTGATAGTTGCGCAGAACCATGCGTATAAAAGTTCAGTATTAAATTTTCTTAGTTTTTATATAAATTTAAATAAGACGGCAATATTCATCATACGACTTTTATTTTTCTCGATTTTTATGCGGTTATAGGTCGTGATCTATAAGCACCCTCCCATGAATATAATTACAACGGTTGGAAAGTTTAGTAATCCATGAAGAAGTTATAATCAAGCTGATCACCATTATAATAATCCAATAGTAAGAAATGTTTCAGAAATGCCTACACTGAAAGTTCGATCACCCACATAACCAAGAACACAGGAAGGCTAAAAGCTATATGTTCAAAAACTTTAATTTTCGATAAGTGAAAAGATATTAATCGGAAAGAAAGTAGAGGTGTTAATAATCTAGTTCAAATAACAGGAGAGTGGTATTTAATAAATAACGGAGTGATATTCGAAATGTAATGGATTGACTGTCGAAGAAAATTAAGTATGCCGGCTTAATGGAATAAAGCATGGCAGGTTTAATGGAATTATTCCCAACAGGAGAGTGGTATTTAATAAACAACGGAGTGATATTCGAAGGGTAATGGATTGATTGTCGAGGAAAATTAAGTATGCCGGCCTAATGGAATAAAGCATGGCAGGTTTAATGGAATTATTCCCAACAGGAGAGTGGTATTTAATATATAACTGAGCGATATTCGAAATGTAATGGATTGATTGTCGAGTAAAATTAAGTACGCCGGTTTAATGGAATAAAGCGGGCCAGTTTTAATGGAATAAAGTATGCCGGCTTAATGGAATAAAGCGTGGCAGGTTTAATGGAATTATTCCCCGATGACCTCCTCCTTGAGACGCGCGGCCAGCGCTTTACGCACCTCCAGCGTCTGCGCGTCGATCCTGGACCCTGACAACGCCTGGTGGACAAGAGAACTGGTCACGTACTGAATGCTGCTACATGTGCACGTTACCATTGTCCTTATGGTATATGGTATACAGACAAGACCATATATCATATACCATATAGCATATACCATATATCATATACCATATATCATATACCATATCATGCACCATATTATATATACCATACACACTCGTCCCATACTCGCCATACTTTACTCGTCCCATACTTTAATACAAAATTAGTTAACATCAATTAATTAAAAATGATGGTAATTGAATTAAAAATAATTCATTGTGCCGGATACATTGACTGCAATTTAATGTGCAGGCTATTATAAGGATTATAAATAAATTAAGAACAATAGAAGTTGTGAATTACCGTGACTATACTCGCTATAGTATTTGCGATTCAATTTAAAAAATATAATTTGTGATTTATCATAAGTTTAAGGATTTTAATTGAATTTAAACAAACTGCGAAGCTTCAACACAAAATTCCAATTGAATCGAGAAACCCAAAATAAAGTATTTTATGAGTAAATATTCGGTTCTGATATTTGAAATTTAATTCATCATCTGTATTTTTAGATACATGAATATAAGATGCTTAGAAAATGTGAATATATATAAGATATTTAGACCGTCTTGCTTTGAAATCTGGCCGCACTTCGGCACAACAGTTATTTCAAGCAAAACTACAATGATTAGATTATCAGATTATTCTATCTAATGATGCCAAACGTAAATATTTTTTCTGGTTAAACAACATCGAAGCAAATAAAAGTTACATTCTTAGTGTGGTTACAGCTCGGTAGAAACTGAGTCATTTCTGAGCTGGGAATATATCTACGGAGTTTACGGCTAAGATTAAAATATCTCCGGAACATTGGATGGAAAGTTTTTATCGGCTTACAAACAAATACCACACACCCGCCCCACACTCATCACACACTATCCCCACATTCTCCACTCACTCGCTACACACTCACCCCGCACTCGTCTCACACTCGCCCCACATTCATCACACATTCGCCACCCACTCGTCACACACTCATCCTACACTTGCCACACACTCGTCCCATAATCGCCACACACTCGTCTCACACTCGTCCCATAATCGTCCCATAATCGCCACACACTCTTACCACGTTCATCTCGAGGCACAAAATATTCATACCAGCACCGCGCACTTCACCGTGTAAGGTTAATATCCCACAAGGTATTCTCGGTGCACAAAATATAGATAATATTCTCACGGTCTTGGCCGCGTAGGATGACTTAGGTCGGCCAGTGGAGGACGACGCCTCGTATTCCTTGAGCTGCTTGAGACGTTCCTCCTGCTTCATGGCGAGCAGCTTGTCACGCTGCGCCTTCAGGTATTCCTTGCGGCGCTCCAGGTCCTCCGCGCTGATCTGCGGCAAAAATTAACGTGAATACCAGGGTGATATTCTATAGTCCTTTGTTTAGTGACGGTGACTTGAAGTATTTATGTTCGAATACAACGTAGAAAAGTGTTAAATTCAGGGTTCGTACCGGTATTTAGAAAAAAATTCCATGACTTTCCATGACCATCAATATAATTTTGCAAGACTCGTATACGACAGGTTTAGCATGACTGAAAGACTAACCGTGCATATTATATCATCTCCAACAGTTGATAAATAGCAAACGCGTAAATGCATAGCTCTTCAAAGGTGGCATGGCTCTTCAATGCTGTTTCCCCCATATTGACACACCGAAGTCTTTCGAGCACAATGTGCATGATATCGTCATCCCTTCGTGCCTTTGATGGCGAGCAACCCAGTCACGATAAGCTTCTATTCTTCATCACAAGTCATTAAATTTACACTTTCCAGATATAATGATGTAGAAATTGCACGCTGAAGATGGAACGCTGCCACTGCACATCAAAAAATTATCCAATGCAACTGAGCTCGGTGACTGAGAACACGTGATTGGTTCTCCAATCAGAACGCAGGAAACAAGAGACTGCACAAACAGTTTAACACACGCAGCACAGAAAAACACTTCCTTTTTTTCTTCTTTTATTTGCAAATTCCATGACTTTCCAGAACCTAAAATGAAATCCAATGACTTTCTAGGCCTGGAAACTGAAAAACCAAATTCCATGACTTTCCTGGTTTTCCATGACCGGTACGAACCCTGAGTTAATAATGCATGGGGAAACGCAGGGTTGAACTTATGTCTACTTATGATGACTCGATACACGGTGTTTATGTTCAAATATATAACATAGAAAATGGTTAATGTAGGAGCAAACGCAAGGCTAAACTTATATCAACTCACGGCAACTCGAACCAAAGATTTGTGTGTGAATATAACGTGGAAACGGTTAATATAAGAGTAGACATAGCGCTAACCGTCTGTCTATTGACGGTAACTCTCGTTATCAAGCCTCTGAATGAGAATTACAATGACGATGGTCAGTACATTATATCCGTAGACACGTATATGCGAATTTGTCAACGAATTTCGTAACTTTTATGTAATATAATAGATTTTTAGAAGACACAAGGCTTCTAAATGTTTAAGAAGTAACGCTGATCCTTTTTCACATAAACAGGTATGACAAATGTAGAAACAGATTCATTGTCGGAATATTTGCGGATTAGCATTACACCAACAATTACCAATCGTCACTAATACGTCGGAATGATGTCCAGTGGTACTAATAGCGTCTCTGCTTCGACTCGTTAGCTCGAAAAGGCCTCGGCCTTACCCTCCGGATGGCCTCAACCTCCTGATCCTGGGCCTTTGGCATGGCTTCAGCATTAGGCTCAGGCATGTTGAGGGCCTCAGCCTCACTCTCTGAATGGCCTCACCTCTTCAGCCGCGGGAGCCTCGGGTATGGCCTCGGCTTCAGGCTTGGGCATGTTGAGGGCCTCGGCCTCACCCGGTGGATAGCCTCTCCTCAAGAGCCGGGGCTTTAGGCATGGCCTCGGTCTCAGGTTCGGGCATGTTCAGGGCATGGCCTCATATCCTTGGCCCGGGCTTCAGGCATGGCCTCACCTCCTCAGCCTGGGCCTCAGGCTAAGGCATGTTGAGAGCCTTAGCCTCACTCTCTGTATGGCCTCACCTCCTCAGCCGCGGGAGCCTCGGGCATGGCCTCGGCCTCAGGCTCGGGCATGTTGAGGGCGCGCTGCAGCTTGACGTGCTCCTGCCACTTCTCCTTCTCGAGGCGCTCCTTGTCGGCGGCGCTGACGGCGATGGTCTTCTCGAGGGCGCGCGTCTCGTCGTCCAGCAGCGCCTGCAGCGCCTCGTGCTCCTCCAGGGACTTCCTGACGGCGGCGCGGGTGGGGAAAAGGGGAAAAAATTAATACCTTGATGACACGAGTAACAATGAAAATTGTTAGACTGAATCAAGTGGAAGTAACGAAAAATTTATTGCCAATATGTCCACCAAGACTCATAAAACCTGCTCCATAATGGCGAGCTGCAGGGATGCCAACATGTCTGCCACGACTCACTTTAGGACCTGTTCCATGATGGCGGGCTGCAGGGAGGCCAACATGTCTGCCATGACTCACTTTAGGACCTGTTCCATGATGGCGGGCTGCAGGGATGCCAACATGTCTGCCATGACTCACTTTAGGACCTGTTCCATGATGGCGGGCTGCAGGGAGGCCAACATGTCTGCCATGACTCACTTTAGGACCTGTTCCATGATGGCGTTCTCGTCAGGAGGCAGCGCACCGTCAGCCACGAAGCTCTGCGGCACGAGACCATAACGATGCTGGAGGATCTCAAGCGCCTGCAGCTGAAGCTCGATGTTCTTCTGGATCATCATGCCCTTGAAGATGTCGAAGTCATCCGCCGCCCACACTTGCTCGAACAAAGACTGCTCATACATTGTGAAAATACTGTGTGTCAATATTAGATGAAGGTAATAAATAGAATGCGAATAATTTGTCAATTTGTCCATATATCATTAGTAAGCGAAAAGAACTTATGCAACAAACTTCTTTCACTCATTGAATCTTTTTTCACCTCAATGCGCGTTACGAACACAAATGGTTGCTATTTATCTAAGGATATTCTCTAATATTAATAAATAATATACTATAACCAAAATGTCTCATCTAAAGAAATGTGAAAAAACCACGACCTGATGGAACTTTGACTTGATGTTTTTGGAAGCCTTGCCGCACGCGGATTCGAACTGCTCTGGCGTGATGCCGATATCCTCCATGTAGGAACCCAGCATGAAGTCTACCAGGTTCTTGTACTCGTCGTGGATTTTCTTATAGTCCATCGAACTGTCCTCATAGTTGGAATCCGCTTCGAAGACTGGGGGAATAAATAACAGAATATTAGAGCTTGTTCTTCATGTAAGTAGATCGGTAAAGTTACGGCCAGCGTGAGAGTTTTACGCTGCGAGAAAATCTATTCAGGTTTGATTCAAATGTTACTATATGATACATCATAATACAATAAACGTGGCCTTCATATAATTGTTAAGAACGTTGAAATGATTGTCTGTTCCGAGTGCGTGTCATCATTTTATGTTAATATAAATTCTGCAGGCTCCTCTTTTTGAGACCTACAGACTTCTGAGCAACGTGATCAACTTCCGATCACGTATAAATAAAGCATCATGTTTACTTAATTCAGTAAACTATTTATCTGTCCATTGTGCAACAGTTCACTTTGCAAGTAAGTTCAAACGAAACTTTTTATTTAAACATTGTTTTTCGATTCGATCCTACGTCTCTGATAGTAAGTGGATAGTAACTTTGATAATAAGTGGAGAAATTTCTTCTTCATTTTCTTAATATACCACTAGTGATGTATCAATACATGAATTTTTACAACAATAAATTTTCTTTTTGAAGCGATTTCAAGCTCGGAAAAGTTTAAAATCAACACGGAAGGCGGGGTGGCAATCTGCTGGACTGAATGTCACGTTCAATATCAACACGGAAGACGGGGTGGCAATCCGCTGGACTGAGTGCCACGTTCAATATCAACACGGAAAGCAGGGTGACGCTGCGCTGGAATGGGTGCCACGTTCCATCTCAGATCGATCCATTGGTGGAAGTATGGCCCTACCACTGCCAGGTATGCGAACATCTAATATTGTGTGTTTTTACTGAAGCGAAACGCTCGCTTCAATTGAATTTTAAGGAATGTATTGTAAAATTTGAAGAGTAGAAAGCTTAACTTCAACGCAGCTCGAAGTTTGACTTGAAAATAATTGGTAATTGTTGTTGATCTTTAATATCGAACAAGTTGCAATTTTCACATCGGTTGATTTGTGAAAAAAATTATTTCTCTTATTGAGAGATTTTATTACGCATTTTCAGATCGTTTTTTAAGGAGGTCGCAATAAATTTATTAGCTCTTTCTTTTCTATCGAAGTATTTCAATCCGCTCAAAAAACGTAGTGTCCTGTCATTTGAAAAAAATTCCAAACCAGCGTAGCCTCGGATAAGCGACTATAAGCGTCCCAAACTGCTTACATGCAATGACACGGCACGATGGCATATAGAGCCGGCAAACTAAACGACAAAATATGCTGTTTCTACAAAAATACGCTTGCAAGGAGAAAACACGACAAAAATTAATAAAAAATGATTTTTAAAAACTGGAAGTAATTCCTTTTAAGGTAGGAAGTGATTCGGAAACAACTACTGGAACTGATTACAAATAAAAAAAAACTGGAAGTGATTCGGCACATTAGTATTCCTACTAATTTACCGAATTCCAGTATTTATTATACGAAGCAATCTGTTCCCCTGAAGCGCGACATGATTGCGTTAGGTTGCGGGTATTGCAGCAAGACTGATCGATGCACGCCTAAATATTGTAGCCTTCAACGAGGCCTTCGAACGCCAGCTCCTCTGTTGTCTGCACGCGACCGCATCCGGACTCGGGTGAAAAACAGTACAAAAATGGTGGTGAGTTTCTTAATGGTCGTCAAGTTAGGTTTACCAGCTACTGATTACTAGTTTTGGCTCGAGAAACTAGTAGACCTAAATATTTATTAATGTTGTACGATGTCTGAAATAATTTGAGAAACAAATGGAAGTAATCTTAATGGAAGTGAAGAAAAAACACTTGAAAATAACGAAACATTGATAACTCAACTATATTTCTCGGAAATTTCAAGCGAGAAAAACACGTTAACAAGACGAGAACATTTTTTCGTTTATCGATACACTGGTGACAACCTTGCCCGAGTGATGTTTAGCATATTTATGATCCCTGAATGATTTGTGCTCCATGCATGAAAAGTTCAGCATGTTTTGTACCCACTGAGAGACTCGTGTTCGCATAGCGTGCGGTGCGGCATGTTTTGTACCCACTGAGAGACGTGTTCTATTAGTGGGTTCAGCATGTTTTGTACCCACTGAGAGACGTGTTCTATTAGTGGGTTCAGCATGTTTTGTACTCACAAAGAGACGTGTTCTATTAGTGAGGTTCAGCATGTTTTGTACCCACTGAGAGACGTGTTCGATTTCTGTGAGGTTCAGTATGTTTTGTACTCGCTGAGAGACTTGCGTTTGATTAGCGTGAAGTCAGCATGTTTTTTACACAATAGGAGACTTGTGTTCGATTAGTGTGAGGATCAATATGCTTTGTAGTTACTAAGGGACTTGTGCCCGAAATATGAAAGATGCAGCATGTTTTGTACTCACTGAGGGATTTGTGCTCGATGAACGTGAGGATGGGTACATTCCACACCGGTCCTTTGAGGAAGCCCACGAGGCTGTCGAAAACCCAGCTGTCGTCGCCCATTATTACGGAATTCTGAACTACTAAATAGGACAAATCTGCAATAGGTTTCAGATAATTGCTTCAGGCCGCCTTCATCTAAAGGAGGTTCATTCCATAACATCGAGGTGACATTGTTTATTGAGGGTGACTTTTATCGGCTATCCAAGTAATTAGAATAAGTATACAACAGGTTTTCTAAAGGTATTGTGGGAACTTAGAAAAATGAATATTGCCCACTAATGACTAACTTTTTATTTAGAACAAGAATAACAACGGACATACGCCCTTCTGCTGCATGAAATAGGGTCAGGAAGATCCATTTAAGAGCTGACAAGTGTAAAGTACTTCACCTCGGGAAGAACAATGAACAGCAAGATTACAGTATGAGAAGACATGGTTGCAACGAGAGAGTAATGATTGAAAAGTCTAGTGTGGAAAAAGATCTCGGAGTTTATGTCGACAAGGAGCTGAAATTTTCTAAGCATGTTGAAACGCAAGCTAACACATCCAACAAACTTCTTGGACTAATCAGACGCTCATACGAGTTCCTAGATGCAGAAACGATGAAGCAGTTGTTTGTTGCCGTCGTACGCCCGAGTCTAGAGTTTGGAAACGTTGTGTGGTCACCGAGATTCGAAAAGGACAGAAATTTAATAGAGAATGTTCAAAGACGTGCAACAAGGATAATTCCAGGCTTGAAGGGCAAGTCCTATGAAGAAAGATTGAAGATTATGAAGCTTCCAAGCCTCAGTTATCGACGTCTGCGTGGGGACCTCATTGAAGTATACAAGTATACTCATGGTCTATACAAGGTCCCTGAAGGGTTACTAGAATTTGAAACAAGAACCAACACCAGGGGCCACGGCTATAAGCTAAAAAAATTGCGCTGCAACTTCTCCACGCGACAAAATTTCTTCTCGCTTCGAATCACCGACATGTGGAACAGCCTTCCCGATGACATCGTTGGCGCTCCAAGTATGAACGCGTTCAAGAACAGACTAGATAAAGCTATGGAAAAATATATGTTCAGATTTGAAATGCCTAGCTCCTTATCGAACCCGGTGGAAGTCTAGTAGCTTCTTCAAACTATCGCCAGTCATGAAAAGATCCGGTCAAATGACACGAGTTTAGATTCTATGAACAAGGCACGAAATGGAAAAGAATCGGCGACAGGCCACATCAGGCCTACACTTCAGAGCCGACATCACTATGTTAAAAAGCAAAATGTGCATTGCCATATGGGCTAAGTATTACTCACTTATCCGAGTCTACATTTTTTCCATACCTACAAAATGCAAAACTTTATCCAACTACAGGTCATAGAAAAAATATACTTAATAGTCGTTGATAGCTGGAAATGATTCCTTAGAAGGTACTATTGTACTGTTAACCAGTATTTATTATGAAGCAATCTGTTCCCCTGAAGAGCGACATGATTGCGTTATTTTTACAGGCTACAGTTTATGGCAAGGTTCATATCGGCGATCATTATAATCGAAATGAAAAAAATAAACAAACGTATGATAAAAAGTTTTGTAAACGGCTTTTGAAACGGATGGCCTAAAAGTCCACAACACTAGAGAAGCGACTGCCACGGTGAGACAAGAGAACGAGAGTGCAGGTTAGGTATCGTGTCTGGGTTAGGTTTGTTGTCTGGTGCAGTTGCCGTGACAACATGAGGTGGGTGAACAAAACTAGGGCGGTACGTGATAATTGCTCAAACTCAGACAACTTCATCGCGATTCTCGAGAAATATGAAACACACGCCCAGCCATACAAAAATATTTTCAACTATAATTTAACAACACGAACTGAACAAATTTCAATTCAACAACCTGTGCAGTGACAATAAAATAGTTCGCAAGGCTTTTTAAATTTTACACGAAGAGCATTGGCGATTGATTATATTCTACATCATATTATTCTTCTATTAACGAGTGACTCGTATAAAATCATCGTAGAATTATGCCAATTCAAGGAGATGCAGTAATTATATTAATACTTATTTTCAATCGGTTTGGTAGTAAACGGCAGCCACAGGGAGCCTGGGAAGTGCAGGTCACTGAGGCCGAACACACCTCACACGCCAGACAAAAAACGGTGGGTACCTATTTGGTTATCGTTGTAAAGGTACCACTCCTCGTAGTATCACTTATTAGAATTATAATACAATTGGCAGAACCCATTCAATTTCTTATTAACAATAAAAGAAACCTTGCAAGTTTTTTAATCTCTGAGCTAAAATAGAGTGAAACCCTCCAATTGATTCATTACAATCACAATGTCACGACTCACGAGCACCTTCAATTTCTCCAAAACAACAGGGCGATCATCTTCGTTTTTTTTAGGATAAGAGAGTGTGCACCTTCAATTTTGTCAATAGTACGGAGTTCATTGGTATGCATCAACCCAAAAGCAGCCCTTCCTGTACACGCAGTCAAGTCGCAAATTCTGCCCAGGCTCCACGTGCAACGGCTCGTCAAGCATGAAGCAAGCCTGACTGCACGGTGACTCATCCCCGACTGTGATCACCGAGGGCATTCCACATGCTTCCCGCTCTGGGGAAGTGTCATGGGAGTGGCTTGACGTAGCAGTTATGTGCGAAGAGCCAGTATATAATGGTAAAGGTGTAGGATCTAAATGACTTTGAAGAGGATTAGCGGCAATATTCGATTGTAAGAAAAAATTGACAGAGTCTGTTGATGTTTCCGTTAATAGGACATCGTCTTTGGTTTGAATACAAGTCTGGTCCAGTTGGAATTTAGGATCGATAACGTTGCTGGCGATGTTCGGTGGAGATGTTTGTACACTTTGTTCAAGAAGAGTGGGGGTGGAAAGCTCTAGCCCACCTTCAGAAATGACGGAATGAGTCAGAGTATCATTGGGTTTTTTGAATCGATTACTAAAAGAATCGTTCTCTGCGGCATGTACTTCACTTCTATGCAATAGTTTCACAGTTTGTTGGTAGTAAGAGCACAGGTTAGAATCGATAGTAGCTTCAGGTAATTCCGTAGCAGGTGGATTCCCGTCAATTTTTGAACGATTGCGAATATCAAAAATTCCTCGCAAATTGAACCAATGAGCGACCCCAACCATTAACCCTTCCTTCTGTACTGGCAGTCGAAAGTCCCGTTCAAAGAGAGTTCGATCGCCGAGAGCAAGTAGCCCTCGGCCATGAAGAGACTTCACATTCTGCTCTTCTTGCGACTCATTCTCTGCGCTTGCTTTATCAGGCTCGATAGAGCATTGTCGATCTTGACATTTATTTCGATCCGTCGAATCAGGCTCCTGAGCCGTGCGGCTAACTTTCTCCTTCGGACAGGAAGTATTGCGTGAAGCAGGCACTGTTGTATTCGTTTTCATGGTTGAAGATATGCAATTGTCTTTATTTGGTGTCTCTAATTCATCACGAGAGTCAGTAAATTTACTGGAAGCAGAGCCATTCATCATATCAATAGTGAAGAGGTGGGCGACGCCACTGAGTTGGATATGCGGGAGCGACTGCACAGCTAAATCAAGATGGTGGGTGGTCTGAAACAAAATAAAAGATAAGTAAGCACAAATTTTGCTGGTTAGATTTTTACTTATCTTCTAAAGACACAATTTAATGAAAATAGGTCACGCAGAGTTACTATATATTTTTGATCCCTGTAAATAATACTATCCATACCAGTTAACCGAGTTTGTTGAATGCAAATACCGTATTTCGCGGCTTGCGGTACATAATCGTTTGTATATTTGAGAAAAAAATTGTGTGATTGAAGCGTGGTGCAACAAATGTATCAGGGTATTCGGGCGCGTATTCACAATACTCATCGTAGTGGGAAGTAAAAGACCCGGAATTATTTTTCTAATAGTAATATATTGCAAAAAGGTGAGGGAAGACAAAAAGGTTTTCCAATGAATTTAGTATGCCGGGATTCGCGATGACGGGTTCTCAAATTGGAGGAGTTAGTAATCATAGGAAACACTGGTTTTGACTAATCTCGTACGAAGGTAGGGGCTAAGTTCGGACAAAATCAAGTCAAATTTTGAACAAACCTTGTACTAAGCTCAGAAATTTTCGGACCTATATCAGGTAAAGGTGAAACTTTGTTTGGACAAAGTCCGGACGAGTGTTGGACAAATGGCCTCGTCGAACATAGTTTAGAATTATCTCATCTCGAACAGAGGTATGCCAAATCTGATTCCGAAGAAAGGTCGGTTACATGTCGGACAAATCTATTATTAGCAACGGTCGGTCATTTGTAGGATAAATCTCATTTCGGACATACACCATAGAGTCCCATACAATGTATAGAGTCCGACTCGCGAGTCTAACTCGGCTAACCTCAAAACCCCCCAAATATGGCGCCGAACGAACCGAGGTGGGCAAAATATAGGCGAGCCGAGCCATGGCTTCCCCTGCTTGCTGTGGGGCAGCACTGGGGGCTCGGGCGCTCGCCGCTCGGAGCCTCGGCCTCGGTTGAACTTTTGAAGTCGGTTCCAGTTTAGTTGCACTGCAGACGCATGGCTGGTAGGGTGTGTGCAGTCATGTCGGCCTACAAGCTATTCATGAGCCCTGACTTCCTTAACAGGTTTATTAAAGAGTACCGCAATTTGCCGTGCTTGTGGAAGGTCCATAGCGCAGAATATTCGAACAAATTACAAGAGACAAAGCATGGGAATGTCTCATTCGAATTACGCGAGAAAAAGTTCCCAATGCAGACCCTAACTTTAAAAAAAATAAATAATCCTTAAATAGTTTTGATAGTGTTTTGATTATCGTGGCGTATGAAATTTAGCAAATTCATATTGACTGCATCTATGTCGATTGACTAGCCATTCTTTTGACCACATAGATATTTTCCTCCGTTGCCTTTTCACTGTCCCGAGCACATTCAACGCGACGGTATGACAACGATGGCAGCAGCTGCAACATACCTCAGCTGAAGGCTGACTCATCTTCACGACAGAGCGTTGCGAGCAAAGTACATAGGTGTACGGTAAAATATCGGGTGGATAGCTAGAGGTCAGCATAGCCCAAGTCCACAGTGCGATTCGTATACCTTCCCGAGCGTAACGCAGCCGGGCATCTTCACGGCTTTTAACACAAATCGCCCACCACAACAGCGCCGTTCAGTTACAGGCCAGAGCGCATACAGGCCGGAGCACAACTGGCCGGGGCGCAATAGGCCCTACCGCAACAGCTACTCCTAACATAACGTGACCTAACTTAACCTAACCTGCGCCGCCTGTTGCGGTAGGGCCTGTTGCGCTCCGGCCAGTTGTGCTCGGGCGCTGTGGAGCAGTGGCTGTTGTGCAAAGCGGATTTACTGTTAGTCGGAGTTACCCACAGCTCATTGATCTGAGGCTATGTGTAAATATTGCATGCTGATGGTTGGCGTTAGGCCCAGGGCCTGTTTACGAGTCAATTTTGTTACCCACGGCCGCGCTCCCGAAATATCGCCGAATCAGATTCGCTAGTCAGAATCAGCTAGCTAGACTCGAGGATCAGATACGCTCGTGGGGGCGCTACAGGCAACACAACTTTTGATAAGTTTGCTCAATGAAATGTAACTTAGAGTTTTTCACGAGGAAAACGTTAAAAAAATTCGAAAACCTGACCGACAATCTAAAATTTTTCAGGATCACTTCAAAACGGTATTAGTAATTTAATAAAAGAATGTGGAATTTATTTCTTTTAAATATCCATCACCTATTTTTTTATTAACTAAAAATGAATGAACACAATATCGTAATTTCATTACAGTTTCATCAAATTATAATTTTGTTAACCGAAAATTAAAATGAGAAAATGAAAAAATTTGAGAGACGTAGCTAGAAGAGTCTCTTTATCGATGGTAACACGATATTTCATGGCATCACTGCATTATTATTTTGAAAAAAAAAAACAAGAAATAACCGTAGAACTTACCATGGTTGAACTAGTATAAGGTTGACCCATGAGAAGCTCATGTTCTCGGATGAAGCTTGTTGTTCTCCTGTGACGTCACTGATCTCATTGACGTCACAGGCATTAACCAATCACCGAAATGCGATCACACCAGTCAACCAATCAGTCATAGGAATGACGGGTTTGTTTACGTTTATCGATCTCAGTGACGTAACAAGAAAGCTGAACTGAAAGACGGGACTTTTCTTGGGTCAACCTTATATACTTCAAACACGTCTTTAGGTTTCTCGATCTCAGTGACGCAACAAGTAAGCTGAACTGAAAGACGGAACTTCTCATGGGTCAACCTTGTATAATTCAACCATGCTATAACTTATGTAAGTAATGCAAAAAAGATGAGATTAAGATTTTTACTACTCACTACATTTCGTATAGAACCCATCTATATTAATTTAGAATCCGTTCATATCATATAAATTTTTATTTTTTTGTAATCCTGCAATCCGCAGATAGAATATCGAAGAAAAACGCCAAGTCGCCAACACCTGGTAGCAACACCTCTGGAGAATTTCACTACTCCAGCTGTCCAGCATTTCCAGGCTCCAGCAATCGCCAGTTAATCGGAAATACTATGAAGAGAAACAGGATCACTTGAAAAAACACGGAAAAATGCAATTCCCAGAACAATTAGGCTAACAGTTATTTGAAGTGCCGTACATCATACATGGAATCATCATAGCTAAAAAGATCAACAAACACACGTCTTGAAATTTAAAAGTTCAAGTAGTTGCGGTAATTCTTATAAGCTACCTAATTAAACTCATCACTGATATCAATCATATCATTGGTTGGAAAATCGTCCACTAATGCATGTCCAGGTCACCACTTACTCACCAGGTGTGAGTTGTGACAGTTGGCCAGCTTGGCCTGAGCCTGACAGTGACAGACTTGAGACCAACTCCAACATTGAACAAACAAAGCAACAACTTGGCACTAGTAGCAGGTAGCTAAGCTGCTGCTAAGTGCTAAGGTCACAGTAAGCCTGTAAGGTGTTTAAATAAAAATCTTGATATTCAAATAGTGAATTGTCATCCACTCATTCCAATAGAATAGGTTAGGAATTATGGAAATTGTCAAAGTTTCATTTCTCAGACTTCATGCTTATTGCTTTAGGCAACTTGATTTTTAAAGCCCAGACTAGGCTAAAAACCTGACTATTCATCAAGCAGAGATGAAAATTTTTTTAAGGCTTAACTGCAGAATGCAGATCATATCAATATCATGATGGATGCACAGTGCTAAGGTCACAGTAAGCCTGTAAGGTGTTTAAATAAAAATCTTGATATTCAAATAGTGAATTGTCATCCACTCATTCCAATAGAATAGGTTAGGAATTATGGAAATTGTCAAAGTTTCATTTCTCAGACTTCATGCTTATTGCTTTAGGCAACTTGATTTTTAAAGCCCAGACTAGGCTAAAAACCTGACTATTCATCAAGCAGAGATGAAAATTTTTTTAAGGCTTAACTGCAGAATGCAGATCATATCAATATCATCATGGATGCACAGCACATGCAATTGCAATCATGCATGACAATCTCATATTAGGGTAAACGCGGTATATTCCGTCATAGTAGGTAATTCCGTCACCTCTTTAGTTTTTCCTTTATATCAAGCTTTGTTTTAGTTCCATGCGTTCATTGATGGTTGAAATGGTGACATCAATCACGTCATAGTACGGTCATACAGTTGCGTGTCAAACTAATGCCAAAACACTAGGTCTTGGCCATCTAGTGGGAAAATATTGAGATCCAAAGAGAGACGATGCACGCTACCCAGTGAGATCATCGAAAAATGTGTCAAATTTGACAGTTGACCTTGCTCTACCAAATAGTAAAAGCGTAATTAAGTAGTGTTCAATATTCATTAGTGTTCTAATTCAAAGCCGTGTTGTATTCCAATACAGCTCACACAGCAAACAGAATTCGAACACGTGGATGACGGCATTACGTATCAGTAGAATTTGAAGCGCGGACATAATACGTCTCACCACGTGCTGAATATTGCCACACACAGTGACGGAATATAGGGATTTGCTGCCGATTGGTAGGTTTCCATTCTAAAGGCTTTTAAATAAATATGGCAACATTTTGTGACGTTTCGTTGTTGCTGGCGCGTAGTACGGTGGTTTGCAAGTCAAATAAAGCAAACGGAACTTGAGTAACGCATACGGTTATTTTTTTATAGTTTTTCATTTCTCGATGCGTCCTTAATGTGACGGAATATACCGGGTTTACCCTATCATGCATTCATTAATATGGAATGTTCAGCGGAATTTACAGAAACTGGGTAACTAATAACTTTTTTGATGGGCTTTTTTTATAAATTGTAGGCCGGCTGGGCTAGGGTACGTAAACACACCATATTCCAACATCGTGGCAGATAATTCCAACACTTCTCAACCTTTTCCTTTATATTAAGCTTTGTCTTAGTTCCACCCATGTGTAGATGGTTGAAATAGTGACGTCATACTATTGCGTGCCAAATTCCTGCAAAACAATAGGTCTGGCGGCCGGCGGAAAAATGTCAAGATCCTCAGAGCAAAAGTTCAAGTCAATTAGTCAACTAGGAGAACATTGAAACATTTGTAAAAGTTGATAGTTGACCTTGCTGCACATAGTGTGGCGTTATGAGAGTGACGTAAAGCAATCAGAACACCAGTAGCGCATACAGTGATCTTTTTATAGCCATTCATTTCTTGATTCATCTTTAATGTGTCAGAATATGGTGTGTTTACCCTACCTAGGCAAAAACTATACTGTTTAAAGGTTTTTCTTATTTATACAAATTAAGTCTTATTAAGTTAGGCATTGGCAATAAAACAAGTGAAATAGACCAAAAGCATGAGTGCTGGATTGGAATTTTGCTACTAATCAATAAAATTTTGCAGCTCTAGAAGTGGCAATTTTGCAATACTTGTGTAATCTTACAGCCCAATTATGCTCTTATTAACCATTGCTACTGAATTAGATAAGAGATATTTCATATAGCAGGAATCTTGTGTGGCTTTGCCTCTGAAGAATGGCTGAAAAGCATCTAGGGGGCATTCTAAATGCCGTTTAAATGACCACGTACCTACATAATTGAGGAGCGCACTGGCTAAAGATATGAGGGCAATTGCTCCAATAGGAGTGGGATGGATGCATGCTTCAATCCAAGTGGGCCAGCACCAAGCAGTAGTGGCAGCACGCTCTTCCTGCTTCAATAGGAGCAGGACAGACTGGACAAGTGCATTAGAGAGCTCCAGCAACCCAAATAACTGGCATCTCATTAACAAATAAGTGCCACATGCCTAATAAATAGTACTCTTTAGAGGGCTTTCAAATTGCACCCTCCCCTGCTGTGGAAGTGAGTAGCGCTGGACCTGTCTGGTAGTCCTGGTGGATCTAAATGACCAACCAGTTCCTACAATTCCATCATGATTATGGTAGATATATTCAATGACCATGGGTGGTATAACCTCTTTCATACATGATTTGTGACCAATTTTCTAGTATAAACTGCATGTAAACAATTTTTAGATGAATCTATTATCCATGCCATGGACAACAATTTTTGAACAGATTCATTATGCATATGCATGCAGTGTGAAATTCCATGATAGTACATAAAGCTTCTGTTATTTGGCAGATGCATGTTCATCTCCAGACTGTGATTGATTGTGATGTCATCCACTTCAGGCTGATGGCCTGTCCAATATGCTGTGTACACTGGTTAATTTAAATCCCCTCCAGGGTTCCACACTGTATGCATGTGAAAAGATTTTGCAGATCTAAAAAAAATGATCAATTTTATCTTGCACAAATAGTAAGCCTATAGTTCAACCAGTAATATTGAGCAGAAATTCCTAAAAATTGTCAGGAAATAATTATTCCACAGATGATTTTTAAAAAATTGCAAGTGTTAAAAGTGATGCTTCTCTTGGTTTTGCAAAATACCTTCCAGCAATAAAAAATTTTTTTTGAAAGCTCCTGATGACACATAGCTTTTAAATACTTTATAATATCCCTGACAGATCTTGATGGCTAAAGTAGTTCTGACAACAAAACCTCAATAATACCAGCAATGATTCAAGCCTAAAAACCTGATGTTAGCAAATCAAGGACTGAGCTCTGCAAATTGGGCAGTGGTTACCAATTCTTATGATGTTGATAGTTCAATTGATTTTAAACGGATCTGTAATTCCAGGAGTAGAATAAACAGGTTGATTCATTTCAATAAAGTTCAAGATGAAACTTCTTCAGGATGTTATATCGCCTTATAAATTCATCTAATCTTTCCCAATAAACTAGTATTACCCCACTACAGTGTATAGTAATAATAGGAATGGCCCACAGATGCTAATTTTACTGTCCATGATCAGGGAATCATAAATTAGTTCCAATCTTGATAAGCATATTTATACATATTTGGGAGTGGCTTAAGAAAATGTCAGTGTGAAAAAGTATTTGCTTTACAAATAGAGTTTCCTTGTGATTTAAAAAAATATTTTGCATCCTGTATAATTTAACTACCGTGAAATTTTCTCACTACCAGTACGGTATGTGATGCTCATCCTATTACAACAAAGTCAAGTATTATATGAAAGAAACTTTTATCATTCAGGATCAATTGTTCATTTTAAAAATTCTAAAGAAGGCCAGTTAAGAACTGTCAACTTTACTTCTTGTTTGTTTGTCTGCTAAAAATCTTATAATCAATATTTATGCTACCGGTACCTGTCCAATCAATCTGAAATTTTGTACACAGTTGCAAACAATGCAGAAATCAATTGATAGAATAAATAATAAAAAATAAATATTTTAAAAAATAATTTTTTAAAATAAAAAAAATGTAGAAAATATTTTTTTTAATACCTATATAAAAATAAAGTAAGAAATTCATTGTACATGTGTAACATCATAGACACTGGCTTCTTTGGAAGTGTTGTCTTTAAAAAGTAATTTTAAAACATATTATTGATGTGTTATTGTTAATTGAGAAATTGAAATCTTGTATTTTTTTCAGAAGGTTAAACAGCCTGTGCATTTACACTAGAGATGGCTTCCTATGCAGGAGTTTTGAGCAGTCACCACCGTGACTATGCTATGTCTGCCATGTCAGATGCTGAAAGCACTAAGAGAAGATCATCATCTCGCAACATCAAACGGCCTAAATTTGATGATGAACTTGTAGAGTCTAGTCTAGGTGGAGGTCAGGGGCTATCACCCCTTCCTAAATTCAGAATGCGGAATGCTCCAATCTCTGTGATTGAAGCCCCAGCTCCCCCTACTCCTGTGAGTTGAAAGCTGCATTCAAATATTTCATCACTAGCTCAAGACAATTAAACAGGGCTCAAAAGATTTAGCAAGTTGAGCTTGTAAGGAAATTGATTTTTTGTGGGCATTGCAATGATATTTAATTTGCAGCAAGTTTCTCTTTATTAATGTAATACCAATCTAAAATTTGCTGTTCATCAATGAAACATCATTGATTTCTGCAAACATAAAGTTTTTAGGAACTTTGCTCTTCATGTATTAACATCAAATTTTTATTTTTCAGACTCCGAGCGTGAGTTTAGAGTCGCGCAAGAGAGTTCTGCAAAAGCCTGCCACAAACGTCAGCAATAAGAAAGCCAAGAAAGGCAAGAATTCAACAAATGTTTTATCCAAAGACCTTGGGAGATGGAAGCCAACAGACGACCTTGCGTTAATACTAGGAGTACAGCAGACGTGCGATCTGACCGCGGTACATCGAGGTGTAAAGTTTTCTTGCAAGTTCAGTCTAGGAGAAATACAAGAGCGCTGGTATGCCTTGCTGTATGATCCTACCGTCTCAAAAGTGGCTCAGCAAGCCATGAAAAATTTACATCCTGAGCAAGTGGGTTATAAAATGTACTCGTCTTGTGTTAAGAGCATGGTCGTCATTAGATGATAAACTATATGCCATTACTTTTTTAGGAGTGTAGGTAACAGTTTGAAGTATATTGCCACTTAGCTCACTCTTAGACTGGTACTTTCTCTTAATTTGTAACATGCTCTTTAAGTTCTGGTATATCTGTCTACGCGATCGCGATAATCTCTTCATATAATGACAATGACAGTATTATAATGAATCCTACTCACTTGACTCCTTGTCTTTTATTGCAGATTAGCGCCATCGAGTCAAAAGCTTTGTTTAGTAAAGCAGAAGAGGATATCTTGTCAACCATAAAATCTACCTCGTTTCTTGAGCTTGAAAGATTCGAGTTACTGCTACAGAATTACCCTGATGTCTTCCATGCTGGTCGTACAGCAAAGTCCTTATTGTCTCACTGGCAGCAGCTCAAACAATATCATCTTCTACCGGACCAAAACCCTACTTCGCCGCTCAAACACGGAATTAATAAAGATTTCTGCGAAGCCGAGGAACAGGTCAGCTTTCAATTTCTACTCGGTCTACTATGTGAATCAGTTAATACCTCTGTTGTTTGATCATTTTGCAAGACAATCTGTTGATGAAACTTTTTTTAGACACTTTATATACGTATAACGTCAATACGGCCCTCTGAATTGCACGATAAAATATAGACACGAACTACTGTGTTCACTCTCTTTTCCCGCCAGTTGTTGAATAATTCAGGCGGAGATGATACCATCTAATGTATTTTCCCGTTGGCGAGTAGTATTCAATCCTACAACTTCTGAATACAATTAATTCAATGTGGCAATATAGTAACTGAGGTTTTCTATGTTTAAGATTGTGGACGCGGAGCTCCAGGATAAGACAGACCCTGCCTTGTCACACGAGCTGCTCGTCGCGTCGAGGGGCAACAAGAGACGCTTGCGGCAGCTCGAGGACAAAGTGTCGCATCTGAGCGTCCTTGTGGACTCCGTCACGGGAATAACACCTCCAGACTTCGACACTAACACTCTGGCAACTCTCAGGGGCCGACTCGTCAGGTAAAAATTTTGTGTCTTTGGTGTAAGGTGGAGTACCTTGCAGATTTAATCATTAACTGCAATCCCGAAACTAGTTTCATGTTAAAACTCTTAACTAAGGTTAGTTACATTCTCGCTGTTGTGCCTAGGAATTCCAAGTGTTGATAGAACTAAATGAAAATTCCAACCGACAAAAGTGGGTAACACAAGTGTACTTTAATATACTCAGTATGTCATACGGCCGCAACGATCAGTTTACAAACGTTTGGATTTGGTTTGTATGACGATGGTTATGTAACGGTCACTGGATAAATTGATGATACTCGAGCATCAGATCGATATACGCTCGAACGATACAAGCTCAAATAGATAGGTAAATCGATATAAGCGCGGAATTTTATTTCAAGCCGTGACTGCTTGCCGTAAATTAGCTAGATTTAAACTGGAAGGTCACGTCAAACTGTAATTGATGCTGTGATTATGCAGATACCTCATGCGCTCTGACAACATCACACTGGGGCGTAAGGCTGCTGATGTTCACGTCGACGTGGATCTCACTCTGGAAGGACCCGCTTGGAAAATATCCAGGCGACAGGTATGTATGAAAAGGTGATCGAATTTTGGTGACGTATTGTTTTTGTGTGCTGTGCAACTCAGTAGTGCAGTTCATTTTGAGAGAGTTATTTTGTAATTATTTGTAATTTCTACATGTGAATTGTGTATATTTAAACCGTTCCATCGAGCCGTACTCTCATCTAGTAGCGCCTGAAATCGTTTAATTATTCATTAAACACCACCAAAAGTCGAACTGCATAGATTCACTGGCCTTAAAACTCCAACGTTTGCTATGCTACATTCTATATTTATTGCACGGCTCAGATTATTAGTTGAATTTTAGTCTAATACAACTTATACGCAGGGCATAATCTCGCTGGCGGATGGCGGCGAGTTTATCCTACGCAATGAAGGCAAGCGCGCGATGTTCGTGGACGGCAAGCCTGTGGTGGCGGGCACCTGCTGTCGTCTGCTCAACAACTCTGTGCTCGAGATCGCATCCCTCAGATTCATTTTCCTAATTAACGCGGGGCTCGTTAACCAGAGGGCTCTCGAGAACATCAAAACAGAGGAGGAGCTTGCCGTTGTCACCTAATTATGTAATGTCGATAAATACGTTGAAACGGGACAAATTTCTAGCGGTTACACCGATTTTGAAACAGGATATTCTAGATATATCTCCTAATAAAGCAGAAGAGTGTGCGATGGTAATTGCGATATCGTTGGTAATGCTAAACTTGTGCAACAAATAATACTAGATAACGTCTAAAAACATCGATCTGTCCATCGTAAATTACCCTATGGCTAGTCTTAGCCTTTACACGATAGTAGATAATTGAGAAGGTGCGATACTCTTGATGAAGCTTTTGCACTGATATAAAATTAACTGTGGAATGCTAGACATAAACTGAAAGCTTTTACTGCTAGTAAGAAAAATGGACAAATAAAAAATTTTCCATCTGTTGCATTACTATGAGCTTTTCAAACGACGACGAGCAACCATGCACAAGATAACTTTTTATTTCAGTTATGAAGCTGAGTAGGACCAAAGAAAGATTAATAAAGCATAAGAAATTTGATTCTTAAACCCATGTTCTTGAAAATGCATCCAAGTGTACGGTGGTACTCTTCTTCAACGCAAGCACAAATCGTACGATTGGTAAGAAATGGTAATCTAATTTTCTTGAGTCAGCAGCGTGCCGTAGTTGTGCTGCATTTTATAGAATTTGTATTGAAACGCTCGAGTTATTTTCCTTTCGTTGCTCGAAATTGATTATTCTCAACAATGACATTAATGTTGACTAAGTACCCCTGTAAACGCCGTGAGTTATCTTCAAAGAAGGGTGTACAAATAAATCGATTAATTGCAAGTGGTGGTCAAGATAATAGATCGTTCTATGCAATTCATCATGTTTGAATTCGGAAGTTTGAAAGGAGTTATTTTAGTGCCTTGTTTCTGCAATGTACAAGATCACCGCGAGCGTTTATTCTCTTCTTTTTTTCAATATTGCTTCAACAATCTCAATTTTCGGTTTACAGTGACGTACACCTCTGTTAGATTTTACACATGCACTTGTGTGTGGCCACCGAAGGATCGATATCTTCTAAAGCTTATTGACAGATTCGAATTGATTGAGGCTTTTTATTTCGTTCAAATAACTCTTATGTTTCAGTTAACCATACGAGAGGTTGATATTCTTTGCTATCCGAATCGTATGTAATTTATGCTAAATTGTCGTCATACTGAAACGCTGTTACGTGGCACTAACCTCACCCTAGTCTCTCGAACAAAATATATTTATAACCTTTCGTTTTACAGTGCTTTTAATGCATCACAAGTATACAGCTTTTGGTATAAAAAATATCTATCGATTGCACCAGACCATTCATCTACCTCACTCCTTGCGCCAATGAATCGATTAATATCCTTTCCAGCGCCATCAAAAACTAAGCTCCTATGGACACCAATTTAGACAGACCAAGCACTAAGAGATATATTCAGTGAAATTTTTCTCGGTAATTCTTAACGCTACATAAAAACGCCCAAATCATCCGATCATAAACAGTATTTAGTACTCGAAGGCCAATCATTTTGATTGTAAACTGAACTCGTATGAAGACCCACCTTGACCATATCCAGCACAGGCGATAAACGCACGTCCCCAGCGTTCAGGTCGGAGACGCGCGTGTAGCGCAGCAGGTCTTCCGAGGCGAGACATGCACCGAACACGTCGATGCGTGCAGGGAACAAGTAACCGCCAGATGAAAGATGGCGACCACTGCACAAATATCAAGTGCACGAAATTGGTCGTGAATGTTAATAGTAGCGGATTAGCCTATAGTGATATTTAAGTATACACAAAAACGCGGACGGGAGCTTATCACGAATTGGCGCATCTTATGGTACCTATCTTTATTGTTGATGATGAGCTGAATACAGCTTCCTTCAATGAAAAATCGATGTACGAGCGTGATACTCCAACGGATATTATTAAGAGCCGACGTTGAGAAAAACTGTACAAAGTTATTTCACCATTATACCCATATAATTAAAAACTCGTGCATAGATTCATCAATCCTGTATGGATTTTATTTGTTAAATTTCGTCCTATTTATTTTGATAGCTAGCGATCTTTCATTCGCTGCCATTAGGCCTTATCCTTATATCATTTAGAATAATTCATTTGAACTAAATCTCTTTTTAGCTCAATTATTAGGAACTTACAAAACAAGCTCGGCTTGCACTTGAATCTCGCGATATTTTCGTCAGAAGTCAGATCTTGATGAGTGATTGCTTTTGAAAGTTCATTAAATATATCGAATATTAAAGGCGAATGGGTCTCAGTAATAGAAGATCGTCTAACATGGATGTATACCTGTTGTGGTAAAACATTTCCATTTTCAACAAAGAAAAAAAGGAGAAGCATGAAACTAGAATCCTTAAAATATAACGTTCAACCAACAACAAAAATTAAATGCTTCTTGGGTAAGCCCTATAAGTTTACGAGTCTTCAAATGGATTTTTATAGAATAAATTTATCTATGAACATTACACTTGTAAGCCAAAAAATCGAACCGTACGTACTTCTCAGATAATGTATAGTTTTTTACAAAAGGTGCAATTCAACATAAGTTTTTACTAAGGAAACTCCCCTCCCCCCACTAATGGCAAGATCGGAATAAAATAACTCACCAAAACTCGGTCTTGGAGACGAAGTCGTCACACAGAATCCCGACATCACTCAAGGGCCACATGAACATGACATCGAACTTGAAACATTCTGAAGGTTTGCAGTCCGTTTCAGTTTGTGGATCATTGCTGCTCCGGATGCGCGGATCATCTAAACCTGCAGTGGTGCTGTGGTGCGGAAGAACGAAGTTGGAATCGCCAGATCCATCAGCATAATTCAAGTCGTTTAGAAGCACGCATGAATAATTATTCGCTGTAAACAGATCACGCACAGCATCATCGTTCACGACGGTTGTAACTCTACTCAGCATGCGGTGCAATTCGAGAGCAGCAGTCGGGAATGGAGACTCGTCATAAACATAAATCTGTCTGTTAACATCCATCAACTTTGTCGCAATGACTCGAGCCGCACTGGTCATGGCGGCGGTGAAACTGGCGCTGTTGTAAGCTTTTAATGATATGGGTCTTAATACGGTGTATGTGTTCCCGTATTCTGGTTCCCGTTTGTAATCAGACTGGAAAACTTCTAAATTACCTTTCGTCGCACTCTCAGGCTCGTTACACTGCACGGTAGTAGGTGGTGAGGAAACGTTGGCGGGATGTTGCACACGAGTATCTCGTTCTTCAATAAGTTTAATGCGGATCAAGTCTGAAGCTGTCATCTCAAAGTTCAGAACATCGCCCACTTTTACTTTTATTTGAGATTTAGTTGGAAATACGGCAGTTTCCCAGCAACTTCCATTGCCCGGACGAGTGTCAATGACATTGTTTTCGTCGACGTAAAGCTTGAAGCCCAGCACGACGGAGTCAGCCATACCATCAGTGTCACACTTCAGTGACACAACTTTGTCGGCTTTACCAGAGATAAATTCATTCAAGTTTTGAATGGAATTAAAGTCGATTTCGAGAAGTTTGTGCCACTCACTCAGCAGCTTGTAGCCTCCTGGCACGTGTTCCAGTCGTTCTGTCTGGTATGGATCGTCATCGCGCACTGAAGTGATGGCAGCAAACGCTGCATGTGTTCGCCGCAGGGGCTTGGAGTATCGACAAATATAAGGACACTCCACGAGAGCAAAGAAAGCTTCGGCTCGACCAGGGATAACTTGACCAGGATCAGACATGGAAGGACCTTGGGTCTTCAATAAACGCTGCCAAGCGTCGAGCAAAGTAGGGACACATTGCTCGCCCAGCAACGCGGCATCCAGCGTCTCACTCACGACCAAGTCAGCTCTGCCAGACGATGAAAATGAATAATACGCATAGGTATTTTGAGTTAGGAAACAAGGGAAAATTTAAGCATGGATAACTGAAGTAGAATTACACGAGTAAATAGCAGGAGCCAAGTAAAATCAACAAACAATGAAGACATACACCCCTCTCCCGAGTTCGTATTTGTGCTGGAGCTTAAAAATGTTAAAAGTAAAAAATAATATGGAAGCATGAGTGAAATTGTAAGTCAACGATGAAGACGTACCTACCACTCAAGTTGGAATACAAAGTGTTGAATGGGAAAATTAAATAAATTAACAGAAAAAAAGAAAAATAAAGTTCAAAACCTAACGTTAATGAAGAAGTTCACTTCGAGGTGAAACATAAAGAGGAGGAAGCTTAGCAACGGAAAACGAATTCGAAGGCAAGGAATGAAAATAGAGGAAAAGAAATTCAAGACCGTGATTGGAGAAGAAATGCCTTAATCAAGATTTTAGCTAAAACATTTATGAATAACTTAAACCACAGGATCAGCTATTTTTCAGTAAGCATTAAAATTATGATTGTAAAATTAACAGACACGCGCTATTAACTGTCCAGGCTAATGTAATGATGCACAATTCAATGCAATGCATCAGGGCAAGCAGAAATTAAAGAACATCAATTTTATGCCGGCAGAACTCAAAATACAGTCTAGCCAATTACGAAATACGATCAGACATATGTAACAGCTGCGAGACAATTAATCCTAAGACTATAACAACCTTAAAACTCATTTGAATGTCAACCATACATACTAGCCTTTTTTTGATGTGCGTCTGCAACGGATGAATTGCAAGGAGCTTGGAAACACCCACCCTCAATTTATAACGAACTGCTATCATTTACTCGCACGATTTCCGTAAAAAATTAAAATTCAATTAATTCAATGGAAAACGACGGTGAATTATTGGATCTAAGTTATTGTTCCAACGTCACTGCAAGGATTTATGAATGGACAACATTGAATTTGAATGAAATATTCACTTTACTCTATTATGACTTCACCCACACAAGGTACGGTAGTATCGACAGCCATAATACGCACTTGGAGAAAACGTCAACCGGTCTGCAGCACATCGGGACAAACACGAGTCACAAGCTCTGTTCTCACATTCATCTTTTGACGTAGAATATTAAATATTGAAATCAAACTAGTTTTCAAGAAAGTGTGATCCAATTTAAACTTTGCTAAATCACGTTGCAAATTTTACACGGATTCGAAAATAATATGGTATATCGAAATTAAGACATAGGTAATGTGTACAGAGGGAGGGAGTTGAAAATTAGACAAGGCGTGTATGGCTAGGTCATACGGTCGCTACTAACCTCTCTTTTAATTTCAGAGATCCGCTGTGAGTGTTGATTATCTCGATCTGACTTTGTTTTCCCATATGTTTCTTGCTCGTGAACCGTTTCTTCTTTGCGCGAATTGAGTTTTCAGTGGTACCAATTTTCAATTGTTTCTCCGAGGAATATTTTTGTTTAGATTTGGTCTCGTTCACGAGTTTCGCGCCCTCAGAAGTTTCACAAGATGCTTTCGGATCGTCGTCAGCACACAGAACTTCAGCTGCATCACTGTGGCAACCGCTTAATTTCCGCCGATTTTTACGGACGCTACAGCGCTTGTTTTTCACTAAGGTGTTCTTGGCCTCGAGATTGAGACTCACCACCTCCCGTGCCATCTCGCACATGAAGGCGCTGCTATCGCACCCCACCACGACCACATCAGGGGCACACAACGCGGCGTACAAACTGCACAAACACAATATCTTCGGCTCCAATTTTTAACTACCATTCAGAGTTTGATTGCAAATTATTACACAGATAAGTAGCATGATAAAATGCTTGGGTTCTAGTAACTCATTCAAAACATTAAACGGTACTCAGATTTAATCTCAGATCATGTTACATCCAGTTTATATGGTGATCGTTTTTAAAAACAAAAAGTAGACTATAATACAATGGCTATTGTAAAATCGATCGATGCACTTCTTTAGGAAATCCAATTGAACTTCTACCTAAGCTCAACAAGTAAAACTTCAACTTAAAGAGCACAAGCCATAGATGGGCAAATTTGTTTACCCGATCTTTGCACGGAAGCAGCCAAAATACAGTAAAAGCATTCAAACAGTACGAGTACCAGGAATATTAGTGATAGAAAACGATATTGCTATTATACTTGAATGAGCCACATCCACCGCTGATGATTGTGTGGCTATGATCATTGAAGATGCCCCAGACTTCATACATTTTTCACAGCATTATTGATCATCAATAACATTAGGCTAGCAGAAAACTTACCTGAGCAAGCCAGATCCAGAGCCAATGTCGAGCACGTGCACAGAACGTGCAGCTCGTTGACAACTCCCTGCCTGATTTTTCTTACGTTCCATGTCAACAGTATTATTTAATTTCTTCAAACTGACGTCCTTCACGTCCATTGCTAGTGTTTTACTATCATTTTTACTTTCTGGGACATCTATGTTACCGCGCTTGCTCAAATTTTGTCTAATTTTTGCTTCAAGAGCTTTTTGGAAGGCAAGGTTTCTTTTCTTATCATTCAGCATCGGTATATGCCATCGATCAACAAGAGCACCTACAACTGAAGCATGTAAAGAACGATAACACGGATCCCTAATTTTAATTTTCCTGCTTTGCTCAGTTGATATCTCAGTGCTGCTGCATGGCTTACTTGAGAATTCTGAAGCAGTATTTTTCCCGCCCGTTGATGATACAGCGCATGCTCTTGAATTTAGTTCATTTGTGCATTCACTAAGAGTACCATCATTGTCAAGCTCCTTTCCTACTGCGTGAATATCAGTTACATTCCCCAAATTTCCCTCATCCTCTTCAGTTTTAATGCTGCTATCTTGAGACGCATCGAAAGTTTTTAAAGATTTTGACACAGGAAAGTTTTCACTACGACTATGAATGGTTTGCTCTCGAGTGTCAGGAAGCATTGCGTATCCCATATTTAGCATCTGCCAGGCCTCGCGATGTAGTTCACTTCTGCAAGAAATATATTGTAGGATAGAAAAAACATTCATAATAAATATCTTTACTTCAAAAATATTACAAAATGTACTAGCAATAACAAAAATTTCAGTACTTGCATTCTATATATCCCTTAAGCAAGTGACAACAAGATTGTAACTTTCTTACAGTATAACAACAAATAACAAGCTATGCAACATCAGTTAGGGTAAGATCGGCTCTCAAGTGCAACAAGGGCCCAAAGTTTAGAAAACCTTTTGTTGTGCAGTAGTACCTAGTCTGATCATAGGATGAGTTCACCAAGCCAGTGATCCATAAACTAGGTCAATAACTCATCACTTAATTACACTTAACACACAAATAATTTCACAATAAATAATTTTCTAACTTGGGACCAATGTTACACTTCAAGAGCCAATTTTACCACAGCTCATGGTACATAGGTAGTTACATAAAAAAAATATTTACAAACACATTAAACAATCAAAACCAACAAAGCAATATAAATAAGAACAGCAAATTTTTCAACACCACACAACAATAAATACATGGAAGAAATATCCAGGATAATTTGTTCTCATTGTTTGCACAGACTTTATTGCAAGCCTTTCATGAAAGGAAACCATATTTACTTCCAAATCCAACCTACAATTTGAAGCCCAAACTTTCCAGCCAGGAGATGTTCTACCACAGAATAATTAGCCACAATAGGCATTCATCTAGTATAATTGCTATATTTTAGTGTTATCTTTAAATGACTAACATATTTAATTTTGTAAAAAGAAACAATCAGTATCAGTGATTGCAAATTTTTTTTTAATCATGGCAGCTGAACTTTGAATTCAGCACATCATGTATCTATATTTAATGAAAATTGGTTTTCACATTAAAATGGTAAAGAGATCAAGAAGGGTCTCTAACAACAACATCTGAAGCTAAATTTTATTAATCCTGTTTATACATTTATTTATGAGTCACAATGAGAAAAGTTATTCTTGTAATTATAAGGCTGAAGCTCGTATGGTTCTATTATATACCTATAACAGCACTTAGACACATTTGTACTGCTCGCTGGTAAATATAGCTAAAATGATTAATAATTCAAGTTATGATAGTTCAGATTTTGACTTGCTAATTAATAAAATATATCCAAATAAAGTGAATATCTGCCTACCTGGAATGCAGAATAAAAATAATGGAGGTGAGGAGTGACAATAGCTAGTACCTGTGCAATACCACAGCAGTGAGATATGCCAGGTTGAGAGAACGAGGGTAGATCTTGTCAAGTAGCTCAAGGCAAGCCAACATCTTGGATGGTTCCTCTTCAAAAGCCAGCATTTCTGTCAAGTAAAACATAATATTAGCATCCAATGTGATTACTTTGACCATTTCATTTCCAAAGATTGCACAGAGTTGAAAAAATAGCTCACATACAGGTTAAGCATAAGCACTAGTTGATGACTGAAAAGTTTTATTAATTGAGGCAACTAATAAAAATAGGGAGGCCCTTGTAAAAAGTTAGGTACCACAAACTACAATTAGAAAGTAACTCACGAAAACAATTATATATACTATCAAAGTGTCAATAAAATTTTCTATCTTTATTTGAGATGAACACAAACTTCCCATTTATATTAGCTATTAAATGTGTCTACAGAAAAGTTTCCATTTGTTCTTGAGTTTTGCACATGTAAAGACAAAGCAAATGTTCCCATAAATAGTGGTAGGATGACTTAATAATTATGGAATGCTACACACAAAATGTTATATGAATAGGATTGTTAGGTCAGGTTGAGCATTTCTTGAAATTGAAATGATAATGGATATTGGATAACACCCTCATACTTCAGTCAGAAGGGCAAAAATTATTGAAATTTATTAGGATTTTCTACAATGAGAACATACGCATTCTAGAGATGAAATTTTCAACTGCCTTTCATACATTGAAATGAATAATTTGGCAGAGCCACAGCACCCACCACACCAATGACCCAATCACCCAAAATTGTTGCCGTTCATTTAACTTTTAACCATGCCCATGGTTCTAAATTAATTTTTGATAAAAATATTATAAAATGGTAGTTTTAATGTATTCCACAGATAATTTCTATCAATCACATAAACCACAAAGAACAGCTAATTGCTTTCAGTGTGAATATGTGACTTATGAAAAATTTTTTGCTACCATCAAACGGGGTAATAAGGGACAGTTTTGAGCATTTTCTGTTGAGAACTTCTTACCATGAAACATTTCATAACCATGTTTGGGCTCATTTTAAAGGTATTTGCAGGGGCTATTGTATGGCATCTTGAAAAAAAATTTAATATGCTATTCGTAAGGTGCCAGACGCAAAATAAAAGCCTCCAGAGCTAAACCTGGGAATGGGGTAATAAGGGACATTTGAAATAAAACTTAATTTTAAAACGTTTGAAGCATGCAGAGTGTACTCCTCTATTACTAAGAGTAGTCTGAAGTCTTCTTCTTCCTTTGTAGATTATGTAGATGTAGAATAAATGAAATTTTCTGTGATTTTTACTCGTTTTTCCTTTATTGATATGATATTTCCTTATCCATACATTACCATATTATTGTTGTGATATTACGGTACCTAATCCATGGACATGCCATTGAACATTGGCAACAACCTTGTCCACTGCAAGCTTCATATCAGCAGCCATGTAGCATTTCTTCTGTAGCTAGCCTTACAGGATGGCTTGTAATTTTGCACCATTTTAATTGAGTCAAGTGAATTCCCTATAACAAAAAAAGATTGTAAAAAACACCTGAAATAGAAAGGAATATTTTAGTGACAACCATCATATTTTTTTTAGAAAAAGATCATAGTTTAGGTTAATTACTTTTCATTCTATGTTGCCCAGCAAACAATTCTATCTATGATATTCTATGTACAATTTTGTGATGACCGATGATGCATTAATTTTTGTCAAGTGAAATTTTTTTTGCAGAGTGAGGTAAATGTAATCAAAATTCCTTGTTAATTGATTTTTTTTAACTGGAGCCTTTGCTAACCAAGGTTCTACTGTAAATGCATTTTTAGGGGTGTCCCTTATTACCCTGGGCCCACAAGGGTGTCCCTTATAGGCTTATTACCCTGTCGCACAGAAATGGCCACCATTTTTTTAATGAGCTATGCCAATTCTGTCAATCACAGTTTTAAGCCAACACCTGAGTGCAACTTTTATGTAAGTAAAATTTTCTAATACAGCAAATATTTTTTTTTACTACAGACCTTAGCTGAGGTAGGTACTTTTCCAAAATCTCACTTTTCACACTTTTTTTGTGCAGGCATTTTTTAGAGGTAGTAAATTTATGATTTCATAACTTGCTTTATGCTAAATAGATGGGAAAAATATTGAACTTTACGCTACTATTTTTAGTATTGCAATATTTTAATTAGTTTAGCTGCCACAACATTTCTATGAAGTATGAAATGTTGGAGGTCTGTCCGTATCCCTCATTACTTTGCCTGTCCCTCCCTTATTATAGTCAAATGGGGTAAGACAGGATCACAGCCTTCATGGGGTAAGAAAGGACCGGCCCATGGCGTGCATTCTAACTGCACTGAATTTAATTTGATGAAAGAATATGTTAGAGCAATCATTGCCAGTCATTTCAGTGTTTGTTTCAACCCTGTTCTGCAACCATCTTACCCCAGTGGGGTAAGATGGGACCAGCTCACTTTTTTTAATCTGTACAGAAAACTATGTTGTATGCAGAAAGTCTGAGTTGTAGCTTAGAAGCCCATTGCATAACTACACCTTGTGATAGGTTTAGGGTTTTTTATTTATTCATGATATAGATGCTACATGCTTGTTAGTGATTTCGGTCCTGTCTTACCCCATCTGACTATACCCCATTTGACGGTTGTCAAATGAATTGGCTATTTTATTAAACTGTAACTACTAAACAACTGCCAGCTAGAAAATGGACCCACCCAATTTCAGGCAGTCATTTTTGCACACCCAAAAAACTGAGCTGCAAGGTTTCAGAGTCAGTAAAAACAAGGCATGCCAGGGACGATGGGAGAAGCAAGATTCCAAAAGGATTTGCTATATCATTTTGTAGTCTAAACATTCTTATGAAATGAATAATTTTTCCAGCCCAGGTTCTGTGAATTATTTTGGAATATTGAGCAGATCTTTACCTACACTCATACAGTTTTAAATGTTTTATTAGAGAAAAGAAAGTGAGAAAATAATCAGTGCAAAGTTAGTTTTTGAAAATATTTGCCAAAATATGCCATTTTACTTAAAGTTTACTCAATGAACTAAATAAAATTTACCAAGTTTTTATGGAGTTTACTCAGTGAACTATATGTAGATACAATTTTTTCGAAGTTTATAAATTAAATTATTATACCCTCCTATTAAATTAGCTATATTTATATAATTTTCAACAGTAAAAATTAGTCAAAGAGGGAAAAAGCAATTAAATGGTGAACAGTACCTAATCACAAACTTCTTTACAAGACCAAATAAATGGACAAATAATCTAGGTAGGATTTAGAAATGTAAAAAATATAAAAAGTTTGATAGCCTAGTACCTAATCATCTTTATATTCTATTGTTCTATTTTTACTTACCAGTGACTTTACAAATGTTTTGGTAATGCCTTGTAGCTGTTTTTGGACACGTGATAACCTGGAAAACCAGCTGTTCTAAACTTTCCATAGCTGAAATTATGCTGAATTAGTGATAGTCGTTAGGTTAAAGTCAATTTCAGATTAGGCTAGTCTTAGTAAGAGACTTAGAGTTAGAGCCTCAGGCGGCCAGGCCCAAGGTCCAGGCAACTTCAATTTTTAGTATGACTGTCAGAAGCAAAAAATTATATTTTGACATTAATTCTTCTTTCTTGGAATCCGCTTCAAGAGGTCGACGACCTCGTTGATCACCATTCACAACCGGTACTCGCCAGTCTCGCCTCACGTCCACGGTCCTGGATGGATGGGCAGTAAATTAGACCGCATTCACCGAAGACGCGGAGGCGGAGCCCTGTAGAGTGTATACAAAAAGCAGAGTAAAATAAAGACTGACTGAATCGATAAGCGATTTTTTTTGTTATTCTAACCAAAGTACCAAACTACTTTAATACTAGATAAGTAAACACGAGATGATAATAATATCATAGTAGTACTATCACTATCTGACGTACTATCGGTTACTTTTCAGAATTCGAAAGATGCTTCACTTTCTGATTATATCAGGATGACATCCGGCTTTTCTAACTCCGCTTAAATCACCGACCGGTGAATGGTCATTGAATAATTAGTTTCAACCTCAGTTTTGGAAGGATCTAGTAAAAAAACGTTTAAGGATTCTCGAGGACAAATCAAGTCCATTGCTAGAATCGGTGTTTGGCGAAACATATGCCTACCTACTATTCTTCGACGCTGACACTACTTCACTAAACTAAGTAGCCCGGACGTTAGGTAACTACAGCATAGGTCAATAGCCCCTGCGTTTATTTTGATACACGTCAGTAGCCTAAACGTCATGTTGGTGCACGTCAGTAGTCCAGACGTTAACTAATCACGTAGTTATACGTCAGAGTCCAAACGTTAGGTGAGCAGTACGTCTTTGGCTACAGCTGCGCGAGGCTCGTTTTGTTGTTGGTCGCGCTCCCAGGATGTCGCACGAATTGCCTTTTAAATCACGAATGAGGTAAAAGTGAAAAAAACTCGCCAACGAAGGCAAAATCTAAAAAATTGTCACGAGCTAAACATCACCGTTGGGAGGTTAGGTTTCTATAATCAAAGTTTCGTTCAAATCTGTAAAGTAGTTTAGAAAAAATGTCATGCTCACTGCAAATTTCGGCACGTATCGTCATATAACTCACGAATTAAGGTGAAATTCCAAAAATGTTCACGAGCTAAACATCACCGTTAGGTCCTAATGAATACGTGTACCAAGTTTTATCGAGCTCCGTTCATTGGTTGGGCAGGGTGGCCCAGTGGTTAAGTGGGGCCATATTGAGAACCAAGATTAGTGCAGAGGCGCAAGTTCGATCCCAGCTCTGTGCGCCAGTTTCTGGTTTGAATCGGCGAGGAGGCCGAGCGGTTAAGCACAGCAGAATTGTAGCAATGAGTTGCGAGTTCGAGACCGCAAAATGCTGTGAATGTTCTGCAATGTTAAGAATCGGCGACAGGCCTACGGCCTAATAAACGCTGAAACCGGTGGAATATCCTTGGGAGATATTCCATGTTCACAGAATTGGGGAGATCGGCCGCAAGTCCGGCCGTAAATTTGTCCGAGACGCGTTCCCCGGTGGCAGGTGTCTAAAATATGCCAGAAATCCCGCGTCGCCGAGGAAGTCCACTACCCGAGCCGTTCGGACCATAGTTACACGACAAACATGGCGCCGAACAAGCCGAGGTGGGCAAAATAAAGGCGAGCCGAGCCATGACTCTCACCGCTTGCTGTGGGGCTCGGGCCCCGCTCGGGTGGCTCGGCCTCGCCGGCTCGAGAAATCGAGTTTAGTTGCTATGCAGACGCCAAGCTGGTAGGGCGTGTACAGTCATGGCCGACTCCAAGCTATTCATAGCCCTAACTTCCTAACCAAGTTTATTGAAGAGTACCGCAATTTGCCGTGCTTGTGGAAGGTTCGTAGCGCAGAATATTCGAACAAATTACAAGGAGATTAAGCATGGGAATATCTAATAACGCGAGAAACAATTCCCAATGCAGACCTTAACTTTGTTAAGAAAATAAATAATTCTTAAATAGTTTTGATTATCGTCGCGTATGAAATTTAGCAAATTCATATTGAATGAATCTTTGTCGATTGACTAGCCATTCTTTTGACCACATAGATCTTTTCCTCCGTTGCTTTTTCACTGTCCCGAGATCATTCAACACGACGGTATAGCCACGATGGCAGCAGCTACAACTTACCTCGACTGACTCATCTTCACGACTGAGCGTTGCGACTTGCAACCAAAGTACGTATAGGTGTATGGTGAAATATCGCCGCATCAGATTCGCTAGTCAGAATCAGCTAGCCAGCCCGCCCAGCCGGACTCATGAGTCAGATACGCTATTGTGTGGGGCACTTTAGTGCTTGTTAGCTGACTGTTTCGGGCACTCGAACAGATGCCTGACGGTGTGGAGGGAGTTCTTAAAATTGGCAGTGCAGACATTAGTCTCTGTGGGTGCTGTGTTTGTAACAGTTTAGTGACTGATGATGGCCACAATAAATTCTGGTGATGTGTACCCTATCTGCTCTGTTCAGCAGCTTTTCCGTATGACTGGTGTTTGGTGGTGTGTCATCTCTTACTATGTTTGTTGGTAAATTTTAGAGGATGCTCCTGTGTACGGGTGTATAGGTCCCCGAGGTGCTTAATTAATTGTCTTTCCAATGCACCGCCCTTCCTAAATCCAAAGCCCCAAGCTCGTGGCCCCCACCTGATCTTTTTTACTGGTGCTTATCGTTTAGTAGATAAATAGATCTGGAATAATTTGCATGTAGTGGCAAAAATTCAGCTGAGGACTCAGCTAAACAGAAACGTTAATAACAAAGTTGAATTAAAAACTAGGAGTAGCAAAAATCTGAGCTCGAATGACAAAAATTCTAAACTGATTTTCAAACAACATTGCGGTGATCATAAGTGAGTACAATGATGTTCGTCAAGGCAGGTTCCGAATTGGCGATCAGCTGTTTTTGTTTCAGTTTAGTCGAGTCTTGATGAATTTGAAATAACGTACTTGCCACAGAGAATCCGGCAGCCTATGAACTAGCACCCTTCTAGATACCTATATATATACTTACTTCAGTAACGTAGATACTGATTTTTTGCCCCCCTCTCACGTAACTCGTTTACCTATACAGCTCGTTCTCTACCTACAGCTACACCGTAACCTTCGGAAGATGGCACATTTATCTACACACCCTTCTCATGGGTGGCACGATAGATTATTGTGATGAGTAATGCCTATTTCTTGAAATACCAGTGGGGTTTTTTAGGGCGAGAGTTTGATATTCGTGCTGGAGGTAGGAGGTTGTTCAGCAGTGGCTACTTAGACAGAAGTCGTAGGCCGGGATTCGAACCCCTCGACCCATGCATTAGCCCCAACTGACGCCTGTCGCCACTACACCAAACTGTCCCAAGAGCAAGAAATTTGGGACTGTGATGTATTTGAATTGCGTGACGTCTTCTTTAAATTATGAATTAATTTCGCGTACAGTAAAGTTACTCGTCAGCCCGAAAAACGCCGTTGTTTTGAAAGCAGCATTCGAAAAAAACTGAAAGTAAAACAATAAATTGAATTGATCAATTTGAAAGTTGAAATATCATCATTTGTCTTTAATTTTAACGCTGGTATATTTTTCACGACCCATGACAGGCTGCCATCATGGATTTTCTGCCCTGGACGCCCTGACTCGCCTACTAAGCGAGCTGGAGATCAGGGGCCCAGAGGCAGACGCCCTCCAAACTCGTAACTTGTATCAAAATATAACGGAATAGTCTAGAGTATTTCCGATGAATGTAAGTGTTCTGACGGCCGCTGTTGTAAATTTGTTTTCAGGAGTTCTACACGCTTAAAATTTTGTGGCCGTAAGTACCCCTTTGGCAAGCGTTTCATGTGCTAGCTGAGCACATACTGGTAACCTGTATTAGGGCTGCATGGAAATAATTTTGGGGTTGGTGCCACTGGTCAACAAAGTTTCAAATGATTAATAAATACCTTCCAACACAGTTGACTTTGATTGAGTCATTACGAAAAATCTCGAACAAAGTCTAATAAATCAATGAACTCCTAGCGAATATTCACAATCTTTGCGTCAATAGACAAGATTTCTTTCTTTAGAAGCCAATAAATAATGAGCTTCTCTCGTAAACGGCCTCAGATTCAAGAGGCATAAAGTCTACGGAGTTTACTCTTTAAATTTAACTATAAATATCATCTCGGTGACGGCATCAGATAGTTCTGCCCCTTATATGCATCTGAATTGTATGATCACAAATCGTCTTCTACAGTTAGCTGCGATACTTTAATTCAATGTACGAACATCTGACTGCGCATTAATAACCTTATAGAGTGGGCAATGCAATGTTATAGAAAATTATAGTGATGTCAGCTTCGATTGAACATGTTGGTCTGTAACCAATTTTTACCACATGGCCATCTTACCATAAGCGACGAAATTTTTCACAACTAGTTACGAGTTTCAAAACCCCAAGACGCCGCCACAATCTTTGTCTCTTAACTACTTGGAAAATCTAACTTGAGATAATTTACAACGGCAGTGCAATCTTCATTCAATTCCTTAATGTGTAGAGGGCATTTTTCTAGCAAATTTCGTTATTTATTTCTCCAGCATATTGTAACAGTTAAGTGCATATGATGCACTTAACTTCTCTAACACATTGAGATTGTGACAAACTCGTCGTGAAGCTTCATAGAATTTAAAGCTCACCGAGCATTATGGCCTTCGGAGCAAACTATTTTGTTCAGTGTTCAGTCTTTCAGTTTTCTTCAGTCAACATTATAGTTGTTTCAGTATAGGATTTTTGTATTTAAAAATGTTCATTTATGTACATTGTCCCATAAAGGGAAAGCGGAAAATTTATAGGACAAAGAAAGACGATGTGATTAATCAAGAATAGATCCATTCTTGCTTAAAATGAATAGATATAAAACAAACATTTATACCTTTATACAAATTAAGGGGAATTACTCCTAAGCTTATTCTAATATCGCCCATATAAAGGAAAGAGAAAGTGTCTGAAAATCCAGACAGAAAACATTCAGCATTACTGTGACTCATCAATACGTTCATGCACACTCCAATCATCCACACATTATTCAGCTTTCTACACTTCTTAACAAACTGTGTACACTTTATACAGAGACTAATTACACAACAATTCAGTGTCGAAAATGACACGTACTCCGTAAAAGTTCCTGCTACAGAACTTTTGGGTATCATCGTTGAACTTGAAGAAATCTTGGAATGGCGCATCGAGCTTTCTGAGTTGGGAATAATTTTTATTGCCCATCTTAACACTACAAAGAAATTAAAAGCATCTATAAGGCATCTGAAAGTAGAATTTTGTCGATTACTCGAGAAAATCCGGTCGTCAACAAAGGGTTTAAATGAATGTTTGAAGAAGTCTTCAGCCAGGGGAGCTTTAGGATTATTTGTTCCCTCTGCAAGGCCAACTTTAGGATTATTTCTTTCCTCAGGAAGGTGAACTTTAGTATTATTTCTTCCATCAGCAAGCTGAACTTTAGGATTATTTGTTCCCCCTGCAATGAGAATATTATTTGAAGCACACTGGACCAGCTTTGAAGCCGAAAGCTTGGTTCGGTAAGCCGAAGTCTCGCGGCTGAAAGTCCACCAGAGGGAGAGTGGCAAGTTTGGTGGTGCGGATCTCGAAGATGGTGCTGCCTTTCCCAGGGAGACCAATTTTCGACTGGAACGAAGGAGCAAGATTGAATCGATGAAAGATTAAGATCGCAATTACTTGATTCGAGTTGAATATATAGAAGATAAAATACACTCAAAATATTTTCATAGTTCAATTGATTAGTATTTCCTAATCCTAAGAGCTCGTAATTGACATACAGTGAAACTTCCGCCATCATTCCAAAAATGAATGGGCATATTGTTCGTATATTGAAACGCCTTCGAACAAACAGCACGAGAAGAAACGAGCGTAAAATTTACAAGCTCTTTTGTTAGGATGGCACACATGGGGCAAAAATATGTCGCTATTTGGCCAAAGTCTCACTAATTTATTAAATTTATGTGCGTCAATAAATTGTTCTGAGTTCAATTTAAATGTGTTTAAACTACTCCTGCAAAAAATACTATTCCACCAATCAATACCATAATAAGCCTTGAGCATTAAATCGTAATTGCAGTTGGATTTTCTAAACATCTTGACTGAACTTTCCAAGAAAGTAAATCACGCAAACTCACCGCGCACCCACTAATCAATACCATAGTAAGCCCTGAACATTTAATCGTATTTTAATTGTCAAAATATCTTGACAAAGCTTCCCAAGAAAGGAAGCTCGCAGACTTACCGCACATCCATCAGAGAGCACGTCAGGTTTGTTGGCGTCAATGGAGAAGATGTGCTCGTCCTGCCCTATGAGTCTGATTGCTTTGTCGTGACTGAGACTGTCTTCGTCAAACCAGGCCCTGCTCTGCACGCACGTGTACGTGAAGTTCTGGTACGCGTACGACGAAAGCAACCGCAAGAAGTTCATCTGCACCACGCCAACCGTCTCGTATGTGATCTGCCGCAAAGTTTTAACATTAGTACGGCAGCTACTAATAGGAAATTCCAATTTATTTACCTAAAATCGTTATCGAATTTAACTAAATGCCTTCTCATATTTACCTAAAACCCTTCTTTTGCTAACCTGGAAGCCTCCTCGCAGGTCCGAGAACCTGGCATCAGAGTTGGCGGTCTTCCTCCATGGAATGTTGACGATGCTGGCCGAGTGTATGTCAGGGGACACGCAGGTCTCCCCGTCGACGGTCATGTTGCAGAACACGTAGATTGCGTCGTCCGGCATGCCCAGGTTAGGGTCGATCCAGTACCAGCCGTCTGCGTTGGAAACTCGTTTAATTCGGCAACAATGCACATAGCATGCGTTTCGAAGAGTTTAATTGTAAAAAATTTTGATTGATCAAATCATCTTCAGTGCACTGAAATCGTTGGATTTAAAATAGCGCTTAGATGTTGCAAAAAAATACTTGGTAGAAAGCGATTAGATGAAATAAATATAATTCATTTCGCTTGGCTATTGCAATATCTTTTTTCAACTTCAAAGTTCATCAACGAAACTCTGTTGCATCTAAACAGAAATACGTTACACTTTTGAGCAGAATGTATCTTCCACAAAAATAGTTTTACTGATTTTTGCGCGCATACCTTACAGTATGTTTCTGTATTACTTTTCTTGTACTCTTTATTACCGACCTTTAAATTTGGGATGTCCGTAGAAAAGATCCTTGCACGTTCTAGAAGGATTGTCTTTGGTCCCGATGGGTTTCTTGAGATGGTCGAGGTCTTGCCGCATGGTGTAGATATTTGTGTACATGTCCAAGAGCTTTCCATCAAGTTCATCAGTGTCGATCGAGTCTAGTTCTCCATTTGGCTCGTCCGATCTGGGCATACATCATTCAAGGTTAGAATATCTTTCAAAAAAATCTCGTTAGTCATATTTTTGTTAATATTGTAGGTTAAATTTCAATTGAGCATAGTCTTTTAATGTGACTGTTTGGGCATTATCTTCAACGCTGTCACCGTTATATTATATTATGACATTATGACGTTATATTATATTTGATTACTATTGTATGGAAAGATATGTAACGAAGTACGCACGGAGTATTCACGTCGTCATCGCCTCTGTTATTGGGCCTGGAATTACGGCCTCTTCTTCTGGTGGGCCTGTAAATCAATACGTTCAATGAATGTTTCGGAGCCCAGCACACTTGTAAGTACAATATTCTAATCTGGTCACGTGAAGTTAAATGAGAAAACATTTTAAATTCACGATAATAAATTCATTATTGTTTCTAAGGGTGATAAGTATTTATACAAATCTGTAAATATAATTGAGAACATTATCTTTTCAACATTCGCACCCGTTAAAAAAGAGATTCTCAAATAATTGAACAGCTTTCAAATTTTACTGTAATTTGAATAAAATACTTTCTTAGGAGTTGAATTGAAGATAAACTCAAAATCTAAATGGAATTTTTTCACGTGTTGCGTTTCTTTTTAGCTCATTTTCTCATTTATGGAAAAAATGCACTATTGTGCTCGCCATGTCCGTCCGTCCGTGACTTCACGTTTTCGTCGACGAGAAAATGCGCTCTCTGTTACTCACTGCTGTGAGTACTGAGTTATATATTTTTTTCTTACCGCTTGCCACAAGACGCGGTATGAATTCTATTAAATTTTATTCAAATTTAATCAAGAATCAGAGAGAAGGCAGCGTGTTAAGTACCTGGCAGCTTCTCTCTTGTAGCGCTGGTTCTGGCTCGGGTCGTATGGGGCGTCTCGCTGGAACAGAAGCTCAGGAGGCAGCAAGGGAAGCTCTCCAGCAGGTCCAGGCAAGCCTGGAGGGCCGCCTGGACCAGTTTCTCCTTTGGGTCCAGTTGCTCCTGGAACTCCTTTGGGTCCTGGAGGCCCACCCAGACCAGGCAGGCCTTGTGGCCCATCATTGCCTTTGTTACCTGGAAGTCCGACTGGCCCCTGCAATGAATTACGGGAAATTAGAATGTTTATGTTTTTCCTAGAATCTATTTATTCTTTTGCAAATGGAGAATCTCCATTAGCAATTAACTATCGTGTGAGAACGCTCCTATTCGTAAATTAGTTTGGAAAATTTACAGTTTGTACATGACAATACATATATTACAGCCAACATATGTAGCATAGCTAACGCACGAAGTTACCTTGATCCAAACTCGCTTAAAATTATGAAGCATAAGATGACTAATTGAATTTTTTAAAACTTTCTCTCAATCGACCAAATGAGTCAAATTTCCTCCCATGGCTCTTACCGGTTCACCCTTCACTCCACGGGGCCCTTGAGGCCCTTTCATGCCAGGCTCTCCCTTCTCGCCAAGATCTCCCTTCGCTCCTGCGACGCCTATCCTTCCTCGATGTCCTTTTTGTCCTCCTGGTCCTCGCGATCCCTTCATGCCTTTTTCCCCTCTGAGGCCTTGCTGGCCTTGCTGGCCCGCTGGCCCCTCCTTGCCGGGCACTCCAACGTCGCCCTGGCGTGAATGAATTTATGAATTCAGGGGTCATTAAAATGTACACTACACAGTTGGAGGGTCACTCAAATGTACACTGCACAATTCGCATTAAAGAGACTACACTCAGAATAATTAATGGGTCATAGTGTAAACACAAACTTTATTAGAAGTAGAATGAGAGGGGAGCAGGCGTAGAACTGATGCATTCTTTTTCCCGGCCAAATTGGGCAAGGATTATCCACATAAGTGCTAAAAAGGTACGCATTTTGTGAACAAAGTCACACTCATTTCTCTGAGTGAAGGTTTTGCTGCAATACGCCAGATCGTTTGACCTCTAAACTACCGCTTTATTGTTTATTTATATAATTAACTTTCTAGTCATGGAATGAACAATTTGATGTAACCAACTCTTTCGGGCATTACTGAAAATCCTCTTCAATGTCTGCTCTTTTTAATATAAACGTTTAGTTTATAAGATTAGTTTTGCCTTTACTTCCCTAGCCCTCGTTAGAAAGCAAAAAGTTACACATTTTATTTTCATCCATTTCTTACAAACATGGCTAAAGCATGAACGACACGACTCTATCCACTAAAGAAAAATTATTCTGATTTCTAGTGTCAGCATTTCAAGAACCTGACGTATTTGAGTATATTTTTTCATTAAATGTTCTTTTAAAAATAGTTTTCCTAACAGGATTGCAAAACTCACGGCGGGCCCAGGAGATCCACGTAGGCCTGGCAGGCCTTGAGGCCCCGGCAGTCCCTGTGGCCCGGTTAGGCCAGCGGGGCCAGCTGGGCCCGACACGCCGCGGTCCCCTTTGTCGCCTGGCAGACCAGGTGCCCCTTGAGGCCCACCAGGTCCTTCTGGTCCCTGAGTTGTGAATGAGAACGATTATGAAGACCGAAGTAGGGAAATAAAAATAAATATTTTTTATCAAATTAAAATTTTTTTAAAACTATCATAAACGAAACCATTATGACCCACCGTGCTGATATAATTTCTTTCTAAAATACCCATATATGAGCTCCAAAATTACAGTAAGAGGTGTCAGCAATGAATTTCTTAATGTTTTGAATTATAAATAGAGGAAAACAGATTTTATATTAATAAATCTTTTGTTAGTAAGCAATTTATAATGTAATCAGTATTACGTTTCGCTTTCCGAATAATTTATCGTTCATAACTATTAGTAATTTTGTGTTCTCAATATAATTACTACGCTAGCTGAGAAAGTTCTACCAAAATTTCACATTCACTCACAGGCTTTCCAGGGCTTCCATGCAACCCCATCTGTCCCGGCGGTCCTGGAGCTCCTATAGGTCCTGGGTCACCAAGTTTTCCATCCTCGCCATCTTTTCCAGGTTCGCCCTTGATACCTTGTTTGCCAGGTTCACCAGTGGGGCCCGGGAAGCCTGGCGGTCCTGCGTTGCCTTTAGGACCAGGAGGTCCTATTACTCCTCGGATGCCTGGTGATCCTTGCAGTCCCGGCTTTCCTTCTTCTCCTTTGGGTCCATGTGGTCCTGGTCCTCCCTTTTATGCAGATTAATAATCATTTTACTTATTTCATTCTCCTGATCTTTGTATGCTCCGCTGAACGAAAACATTAGTTCATGAAATATTTAATCAAGATTTCCTTTTTGTTTCATGAATAATTATTTCTCATAAGATGTTTCAATATTTTAACAGATAATATCCTGCACTGCGTTCACGAGTGACTCACGTGTTCTCCATCTTTTCCTGGATCCCCGGGCAAACCCGGAGGCCCTGGCTCTCCCTTCAGGCCTTGCAGCCCATCGGGTCCTGCGGGACCAGGAAGTCCGGGACCTCCTTTGGTGCCAGGTAATCCAGCCTCTCCTGTCGGTCCTATCGGTCCTGGAAGTCCGCGACGTCCTCTGTCACCCTTTTCGCCGAGTTCTCCAGGGGGTCCTGGCAATCCTTGTTGTCCAGGGGAGCCTGGAGTACCGGGTACTCCTACCGGCCCGTCCTCGCCCTTCCTCCCTGCGTGGCCCATCACTCCTGGAGGACCTCGCTCTCCGGGTGCTCCAGCGGCTCCGGGTGCTCCCCTTAGACCAGCTGTTCCTGGTATACCAACTGTGCCCTGCAAAAAATCGTAAATTAATTTTCATTTCCCAGAATTATTTTTAGCTCTCTTAAAGCTATCATATCAAGGACGCCCACGTGTGAGCTAATAAGCCTTCTGACCAGCCAAAATTCTTAACATTTTGTTAAAAAAATAAACTATGAATCCTAAGCAGAGGCGAGCTGTTCAACCAACCTGTGCTCCTTTGTCTCCTTTGTAGCCCTTCTCCCCTGGAGGCCCTGGCTCTCCGTTGTCACCATCCTCCCCAGGTTCTCCGACGGGACCAGGTGAACCGGGTAACCCTGACGAATAGTGCAATATTTTAACTGGTTGATGTACCAATAAACATTTTAATGCATTATTGATAAAACTCTGTCTATCAATCGATTTGCGGTCGATTTGCTCAAGAAATTGTTTATAATTTCTTTATATTATGACAAGTTACAAAATTAATGAAGTTAAACAGTGAATTTAACAAAGCTAAAATAACTAAAAACTGAAAGTTAAGTAATACTTATAGTTTAATATAACTAGTTCATTTGATCCCCTGACTCACCTCGGACTCCAGGCAGGCCATCTCTTCCAGTGGGTCCAGCTGGTCCAGGATCTCCCTGAGGATATAACGAGTAATTGATCGCACAATATATATTCATTCAATATCACTCTGGAATACATCTACAAAAATGGTTTAAGATCAATAAGTTGAATGCGCTCTATTGCGTTGTTTGAAAAGCCAACTTAAAAATTCATGTTACTTGGTCTTAAACGTGTGTAATTTCTAAGAAGATGATTGTGAATGGTAGAAAAACATTCACAAAAATTATTGAAAATATTTTATTTAATAAAATTGAATGGAAACTATAACAGTTAAATTAGTTTGTTAACAGGGAAGTATTTTTTACGGGCTTGGAAAATTAATTTGTGAGGCCCTACAAGACATGACAATAACTCATGAATTACCGCTTCTCCTTTGGCTCCAGATGGACCCTGAGATCCTGGTGGACCAGTTTTACCCTGGAGCCCCTGAGGGCCCGCTGCACCTGGAATTCCTATTGATCCTTTGTCGCCAGGTGACCCAAGCGGGCCAGGGGGCCCTTGTTCGCCTTTTAGCCCGTTTGCACCCTGGTTAAGGAAAATATTATTTGTAAATGATCAGTATTGTGATTCTGACACGTCTTATTCATGAACCTACTGGAAAGCAAGAAACTGGTTGATTGTTTCGTACATATATTATTTGAATCTATCATTCAATTACTGGTAATTTGCCAGATAGTATACGCAGAGCCGATGGATCTGATGAGACACTAGTTTATGGATGGTAGAGTTGAAGCTGCACGTGTTCTCATGCAGGTGTAAGGTTGGCAATGAAATACTGTAGAATGAGTTGATGAATAGGCCGCTTATAGTGCGAGTAAATTATCTGCATTTGAATACAAAATATAAACTAACCGGAATTCCGGGCAGTCCTCGTTCCCCGGGGAACCCAGGCAGACCTGGAGGCCCAACGGGACCAATTTTTCCAGGCGGGCCCATGGGTCCAGGTGGTCCTTCCTTTCCAGCCTCTCCTGGACGTCCTTCGCCTCCTGGAGACCCAGGAGGTCCAGGAGGACCAGGTTCCCCAGCAGCGCCCACTTCACCAGTCACGCCAATGGGGCCGATGACTCCAGGGGGGCCAATTGCACCTTGCGAACCTGGCTCTCCCTGCGTCCCGGTTACATTCAGTTATTTTAATGCAATAATTATTTCAAATACTAATTTTTTGAGAAAAATCTTCCGTTCATTTTCAGAAAGAATGCCTGATCCGTTAATATTTCCGCCTGAATAAGAAATATTTGTGTGTTAATCAAAATTACTTTAGCATTTCGAACGTTGAAATGCAAATATTTGTAATGAAAAATAAAGCGATATCCTCTGCACTCACGGGAGGTCCTCGCTCTCCGGGAGAGCCTTGGATGCCGTTCTTGCCGTCAACTCCGGGGTTGCCGGTGGGGCCTTCGAAGCCTCTGGGTCCTTCTGGGCCCTGAGGCCCCGTTCCTCCGGGGGGACCTTCAGACCCAGGCTGTCCAGTGTCACCTTTGGGCCCGGTTTCTCCTTGCTTTCCGCGACGACCTCGAGCTCCTCTGAAGCCCTGTACGCAACATTACGTCAAAAGCGAATTATTAATAACTAGGTTAAAAGTTTTCTCTCGCCATTGAGACGCTACGTTTGAACACAATTCCATTTTTAAAACTTATTAAATTATAAATGTAATGCAATTTCAACTGTATCCGAACAGGGTATTGTGCGTAGAACATTGCATAAGCAGCTGATCAGGAGTTTTGTCTTCATGTGAGTGTAATGACGTGACCTCGGTATCATATGAGTTCTCAGCGTACTAAAATTACTGAGATGACAAAATAACAAATTTAGAATTGGAGCATTTTTACGTATAAATTAAATTAATGTCTAAACTTTTCTCACCCTTGGTCCCTGTTCGCCACGTTCCCCTTGCAAGCCGAGGTTCCCACGCTCTCCTTTATCGCCAGGCCTTCCCACTAGTCCAGGAGAACCTTTATCTCCCTTCGATCCAGGAGGACCAGGATATCCAGGGAATCCAGGGACACCAAGTTTTCCTTTCTCGCCTGGAGGACCGCTAGGACCGGCCTCTCCACGAGGTCCTTCCAGCCCCTGCAACATTCAGATCGGTCTTAAATAAAATCGTTGCGATGTTCAAATCGGAGAAAAATCTGGGGAAAAATTTTAAGAACTGTAATTCAGTAACTAGTGAAATCAACGCAGAATTGAAATCGGTATCTATTGAAATCAATGGAGCGTTAAATTCTGTAACTGATGAAACCCGTGCAGATTTGATATCGTCCAAATTTCTCTTGTTTATGACTATATATATCGCTTCAACAAAGCTTAAAAATGTCTTCTCTCTGGACCGCCTTTTTTTATGTACGAGATCTCGCCAACCAAACGTATTTATATATTTAGTAAGCAATAATATCTCGTTTGACCAAATTTTTTCGGTTAATTTTTCTTGGGGAGGATGGGAAAAAAATCCTTAGCTCAATAAAGTAAAGAAAACAGTTCGCCTTGCGCACCTTAGGTCCCTCGGGTCCCTCCAGTCCAGCAACCCCAGCAGGGCCGAGCTCCCCTCGCTCCCCCTTGTAGCCGATGTCCCCTTTCTCCCCGTAGGGACCCTGCTCCCCTTTGTCCCCTTTCTCCCCTTGAAGGCCTCGGTTTCCTTGGTCGCCTTTGACCCCCCTGGGGCCAGGGAATCCAGCGGGGCCCTGTAACGTAAAAGCGTATTTATCATAATAGAGATAAGATTTATTGATGATAGAAAATCATCAAAAACTATTCTCGTAATGATCTGAAAAATTAAATTACTGATTTGGAAAGGAAATAAATCTGGTAAACATAAGAAAAAATCCATCGGCATAATTTACGTTAAATGCAGGGCTTAATGATCCAATCGATACAAAATAGGAATAACGTATAGTGATAATTTTATAATTTATAAAAATAGGAAAAATATTTTGCCATCTGCCAAATGAGAAACATTTCGAGTAGCATGAAGCTCAAATTCTAATAATTCCTGTTTCATCAGGTAAAATTTTAAATTTATTGAATATATTTTCTCCGGCCCCATAATCATAAAACGATTTTATTTTGCCCTTTCGGAGGTATTTGAAGGCATTTGTAGTTATTTGTTAATAATATATTGACATTAGTAATAATAACAAAAGCATCCGTACCGAGCTGCCTAGCGGTCCTTTGTCTCCTTTAGGTCCAGGCATGCCTTGGTTTCCTGTAAGACCTGGCAAGCCGTCTTCTCCAGGCAGTCCAGGCACTCCATTTTTGCCTTGAGGTCCCTGCAACGACACCCGACTTAATGTGCATTGTATGAGAATTAATAAATCATGAGGAAATTTAACGCGAGGCTATTTGATTTTATTGTTAAAATTCTTGTTCAGTTCGCATAGGAATGAGGCTATTTATTCGATATAATATTATTAATAACCAGTGAACAGTTATTTATCAAAATGTAAAAATTGAAACAATTTCGGGAAATATATTGTAAAATTCAAAGATTTTCTATAATAAAAACAAATAAATATAGAAATTGATATCATTTGTTAGCAAAGCGCTGCATCTCAGCAATCTCACAGCGGGTCCCGGTGGGCCAACGAGGCCTTGTGGCCCGGCAGGTCCTACAGGTCCAGTGGGCCCCGACTGTCCAGGAGGTCCGGGCTGACCAGGGGCCCCGTCGCTGCCTTTACGGCCCGGGCCTCCTTCGCTCCCTGGGATCCCCGGTGGCCCTGGCAGTCCAGGAAAACCTCGGGGCCCAAGGAAGCCTCTGGGGCCCTGAAATTTTTGGTAATAACAAATATAGATTTTAGAACAGGCTAATGCAGGGAATCATGAATTGAATTCTATACTCGTCCTGGGAATTCAGTTCAAAAGGAATATTCGTTTCACATGAATTACGATCAAGCAACCGAGAATATATTCAATTTTGCTCGTATTCTGCAATAGATGCAAATTTTTGAAATAAAAATTAGAAACTGTACGAGTACATTCATAAAAAATATAATAGGGGCCTTATTTCATCGACTTATGTCATCTAAATAATATTAGGGTAACGTGGGGCAGCGCGCCCCCCACTTTTTTTAAACTAAATTTTTGATGAAGTTTTAATTGATACGAGGTGGTTCTTTGTTTTGTTTAAAGGTGCAATTAATGAGGAATGTATGATGTGAATTAGACGCCATAAATATTACTTTGAAAAAATAATTCAAAGTAATTTCAAAATCTTCATCTATAGTAATGGAAAAAAACTTTATTTAGCGGCAAAAAATTTTTTAGCTGGACTAAAACAGTTATTCGCAAAGAACTTAATAACGCAAACATTTAGCAAAACGTAAATCCGTACACTTCATCCCAGTGAAACTGTCGACCGGCGGTAGAGAACACGGACCAATATCTGCCATACTTAGCGAGAAATCCGCTATGGGCCCGTGACCCGCAGTGGGCTCGCTGCCCCATGTTACCCTACTTTTGAGGTCAGTGATGAAAACCGTTTAAATTGACAGCCCAGCAAAGGCAATATTGTTTATTGAGTTCTAATTTCATTTGCAATTAACGCACTATTGAACTTTTTGAGAAGAAAATAGACGTCGTACCATTTCACCAGGCAGTCCAGGTAATCCAGGGGCGCCTGTTTCCCCAGGCATGCCTTCGTGTCCAGGCAGTCCAGGAGTGCCTGAAGTGCCTTTAGAGCCTCTGTCTCCTTTCTCCCCAGGCAGTCCTGCTCGACATGAAAATGTTGTTTCCTTTCAATTGTATTTTTCAAATTATTCGTAGATAGTCATGCTCGATTTAAAAATATTATTGTTACATTTTAATTGCCGTTCTCGGATTTTTCAGCGACAGTCCTGCTTGGCATGGAAATTTATAACATTAGTTTGATAAAAGCAAGAGTTCACCAAGTATTTATAAGCAAAAAAATGACAAGTAAATGCAATATAACTTATTTGGATGTGTATTTATTACAGAATGTCTGTATCCATTTATTGCGTTTCGAGTCATGCATTGCGGGTATTTATTTATATCTTTACACACCTAGATTCGAGTCATAAGATGCGTGTACTCATTAAAAATCGTCAGTAAATGCTAGCTGAATTCATATTGATTCATATGATACATGTATTTATTTCTAATTGTTTAAATATACTCGCACCTAATCATTTTAAATTAAATAATTAATTAATTATTAGTTATATAAAAAATTAATTAAACTATTTTCAATTAAATAATTTTAATTAAAATTAATATTTCATTATTTCATTTTTTAATTAAATATTTCAAACGCACCAGGTAGACCGGGTTGGCCGATGAGGCCTTTTTCCCCAGGCGGGCCCGACAGCCCGCGCTCGCCGTCCCGACCCGGCCGACCCCGTCGCCCGTTCTTGCCCGGCGGACCTGACATCCCGCGCATCCCACGGGGTCCCTAAATTATCAAATTTTAAGTTTAAATAAATTTTGAATATGATTCACTTTTATAAACCCCTAAATTGTGATAACTTTCACGCATGCTTTAAATTCAGTCTTGAAAAGAGCATAAAATTGAAATAATTACTACAGTGCCATTCTTCATTTTCATATTGTCAACATTTATTGATTCAACTATATAATTGAAATTGCATTTATTCATGCCGCAATTAATTATCATTGGATGTATAACAGGACAAAAAATGGTATGCAATAATATCCCTCCAATTTTTTAGGGTGAACGCCGCCATGAGTTCACGTAAAAAAATAATAATTGGAAAAGTAATCTTGGTCTTCTTAAAATATAAGTATATGAACATATATCTTATGTTGATGATTTGAAAAAATGCGCTAGCCAACATATAATATTCTTCAGAAGAAAGTGACCACGTCACTCACCGGTAGGCCAACGTCGCCAGGCTCTCCCTTGATACCAGGTTCCCCTTGAGGGCCCTCGGGGCCAGGGAGGCCCGTGAGGCCCATGGGCCCCGCCACGCCCCTCATGGCCATCATGTGCTGGGACAACATCTGCTGGAACTGCTCCAGCATGCCGTCTGGACCCTTCTGGTTCCCTTGTAGGTTTAGCTGTCGATTTATTGCGTAATTAATTATTCATATTTACTAAAAATGAACTGAAATTAAAGTTTATTATACTACGTTGCTTTAACAAATAAGAAACTTTAGGGACATGATATGTTCATGATATTTTTAATTAAAACTTATTTCCTTTCAAAACAGTGAAATGCCGTATATTTAATTTAAAAAAATGCTCATGCCAGTAATTAACATTCAATACCATACTCGTATTTTACTCACCGGTATCATGAATACGTGACCGGGAGCTCCTTCCCCTCCGTCTGTCCCGTCCAGACCGTCCCGACCCCGTTCCCCTTTGGGCCCCACAGGTCCGGGTGGGCCGGTTGGGCCCGGGTAGCCCCGGATGACGCGCTCAACGCCGGTTGGTAAGTCCACGTCGTATGAGCTCGAGTCGAAACCTCCCGAGTTCTTTGTACGGATAAGTTCAGGGATATTGTATTAACTCTTCACAAATTAGAATTTTCTGCGACTAATTAAACCCTTCGTGAGTATTTTTGCTGTATTTAGTTAATTAAAATGATTTCAATACCTAAAGTCTTTTCACTATATGTATTTAAATCGTAGAAGCAATTTTCTATTTGAATATCGCGTTATGAGAACATTTTATCAACAAACATGACACTGTACAGCTTCCTGTTAGAATGATTAATACTGTCTATAGGACATTCGTTACGAACTACTAACAAATGTCCCGTTAGGACATTCGTTAGGTTAGGACTCCCAGCATTCATCATGTACGTCGAATATCAGGCATACTTGAATCATGCGTATAACTTAAAGCTTTACATTAGTTTTGAAATGGAGGGTTTGTAATATGCTGGTCATTGTGAATGCAATGCATTCTATTTCTATAGTAAAATTACAGTTCTAAATGAGGAAATAAATGCTTGACTATCCATCTATTGCTGAATGAATTAAAAACAGTTAAACCGAAATCCCTAGATATAATAATCCATGCATTTTATGTAAGAGGTGAATTGCATGAATAAGTCAAGTAATAAGAGTAGCAATTGCACGAATGTCTCACGTATGAAGAGTTGTCGTAGGGTTCATAGCCGCTGTACTGAGGGTCATCGTCTCCTCCCTCGATGGTGATGATCTCGTCAGCATTCTTGGTAGCATAGCTACTGGTGACACTAGCAGCGGTCTCCACCTCGCTCTCACCCCACGACGCCGGCGCTAGGGTCGACCTCGGGATCGGGGTGTCACAATTGGGCATGTAGAGACGGCAGTGTTCGTACGCCGCCTCAGGACCGGCTATCAAATCCATTTGTTGAATATCTCCCTACACAAAGAAAAAGGCTTCATTAGTTTAGTTAGTTAGAAAAAAAGTTAGTTTAGTTCAGTTCGTATTCCCTTATCTTTATCTCTTTTAAATGCTACGTATATCATTCTTTCATTCCCATTATTCATTACAGGATGCCCTAGATATAATGTATGTTTCTCACGGCAAAGAGCTCTTATTCGAGCAGCTGTTGTCCGCTCCAATTATTCATCCATCATTTCCTATTCCCTTCATCTCTTTCGAATGCCACGTATATCATTCTTTCATTCTATATACCATTAACCATTACAGGAAGCCCTATATTTAATGTATGTTTCTCACGGCAAAGAATTCGTCTTCAAGCAGCTGTTGTCCGATCCAATTATTCATTCATCGCTTCGTATTCTCTTCATCTGTTTCAAATACTACGTATATCATGCTTTAATTCTATATACCATTAATCATTACAGGAAGCCCTATATTTAATGTATGTTTCTCACGGCAAAGAATTCGTCTTCAAGCAGCTGTTGTCCGCTCCAATTATTCATTCATCGCTTCGTATTCTCTTCATCCGTTTCAAATACTACGTGTATCATTCTTTCATTCTATATGTCATTATTCATTACAGGAAGCCCTATATTTAATGTATGTTTCTCACGGCAAAGAATTCGTCTTCGAGCAGCTGTTGACCGAGCAGCCCTATGCCGGCCTGGGATATATGCGAGGGAGAACTGCGAGGCAGCGGCACCGTCTGAATGGTGAGGCAGTCCACCAGCAGCGTAGCGCTGTCACCCTTCACGCTGATGCTCACGCGATGCCATCTGAGAAATAAATTGTGTTCAGTTCAATAATTCCTGGTCGTGTCTCGTGAGGAGATACGATCAGACATCCAGTTATTTCCAGGAGAACCTAGGGGAATCTATTTCATTGCACGTATTTCTACTGGGAGACTTTTTTTCTGGCAACTAATTCTACGGTTCCCCTTGGAAATGGGTTCCCCTAGGTTCCCCCTGGAAATAATTCCTACGCAATTGTGAATGCGCGTCTTGGATTTCCTCGAGAGACGAATATTTGATGGTGTGTCTTTCTAGCTACGAGAGAGCGGCTCTCTCTAGTTACGAATTTTCTCGAGTAGTGAAAATTTAGCGGTGAATTTTTCTATTACGGAATTTTCATTAGTGATGAATAATTGAAGGTGTCTCTCTCTAGTTGCGAATTTTAACTAACGACAAATATTCAAGGTTGGCTCTTTCATGTTAATTGAAAATTCACTAGCAACGAATATTTGGAGTGGCTTTCTCATGTTACGAATTCAACTAGTTTTGTATTCAGCTATTGGGTAATTTAGCCGCCTTCCGAACAACGTTGTAGTTGTGCTGTTTTCATTCTTAAACTTTTCAGAACACAAATTACTAAATTGAAAAAAATAGTTCGTTGGAAGAGTTAGCATATACTCACTTGCCGTCGTTGATGCTGACGTTAAACATCATCGAGTTTCCCTCGTAAGGCCTTCCGTCCTGGTCCATGTAGAAAAGAGTGATCGAGTCTCCCACCTCCATACAAATTATTAAATAACAAAAAAATCGTTGTAAAAGTCAGCGTGTACTTACTTGCCGTCGTTGATGCTGACGTTAAACATCATCGAGTTTCCCTCGTAAGGCCTGCCGTCCTGGTCCATGTAGAAAAGAGTGATCGAGTCTCCCACCTCCATACAAATTATTAAATAACAAAAAAATCATTTATCTGTGTTCTAGATTTATCGAACTGACGATGGAGCTGGTCTCCGAAACGTTTTCAAAAGAGATATGCTAAATTTTTGTGGTGTTTTCTTCGCTTTTAAATTTCTAACGTTAATTATCTCTAGAAATATATAATTGATATCGGAATGTTAACAAAAATTATAATTTTTCTCCTATGTGAATAAAATTTCAGGGTCGGATATTGGACAGTGAGTATGCGAAGATCTGAATAAACAGTGATTAAATTAAATTTTAATTTCTCAACAAATTAAGCAAATCTAGTGCACTTTCGTTTGGTGATTAGATCTCTGACATTCGCATTGGTGATGGTTGTACAAATAAATAAGTTACTTGTAAATAACTTAACACTCATCAATTACCAATCAGGAACAAGATGATCAGTTTGGAAGGCATTATTGAATTATTATTATTATTATTATTATTATTATTACTATTATTATTATTATTTACAAGTCATTATCAAGAACCCACCAGGGAAGAGTTGGGCTGTAGGGAAGGTGAGCACAGCTTGCTTGGTTATCCTGTAGGCGACGTCCGGGGCGGTGAGGGCGGTGGGGGTGGTCGGGTCCCCCACAGGGCGTTCATCACACATGCCCCTGGTGACCACCACCCCCGCCGGTACCTCCTCCAGACGAACCGCCTGCAGCAGCTGCCCACCTGCTCCTGCCGCCCCTCCTCCTTCTGCTGCACGTAGGGGTTAAGTAGGGGTTATGTTGCGCGTAGGGGTTATAAAGGGGTTCTGCTGCACGTAGGGGGTTATATAGGGGTTCTGCTGCACGTAGGGGGTTATATAGGGGTTCTGCTGCACGTAGGGGACGAGTTTCCCTCGTAAGGCCTGCCGTCCTGGTCCATGTAGAAAAGAGTGATCGAGTCTCCCACCTCCATACAAATTATTAAATAACAAAAAAATCTTTGTAAAAGTCAGCGTGTACTCACTTGCCGTCGTTGATGCTGACGTTAAACATCATCGAGTTTCCCTCGTAAGGTCTTCCGTCCTGGTCCATGTAGAAAAGAGTGATCGAGTCTCCCACCTCCAGGAGCAGCTGGTCGTCGCCCTCGCTGGAGTAAATGCCGAACAACACCGACGAGGAACCTTGCTCAGGTCTCAGGGTGGTCAGGATACTGAAGTCTTCAGGAAATTTGTCTGGTAATGAGCGGGAAAATTTGTAAGTAAACGTTGGCTTGCTCCTCTGTCTAAAAAATTTCTAACTCAAGTTGGTCAGGATACTAAAGTCTTCAGGAAATTTGTGTGGCAATGAGCGGGAAAATTGGTATGTAAGAGTTGGTGAGGTCCACTATCTGAAAAATTTAAATCTTATAATCCAGGTCACTAGATGCCATTAGGTATATTTTTTGTACGTGGTTGGTTATTTGTTTTCTTATGATTTATTTTACTTAATTTATCAATTAATTAGATTATAGTGGGAAAATGAACCGCTAAAATATTTGCCAACATATGCTTGATCAATACAAAAAGAAACATTCACGAGCTAAGCATAAAGTTTGCGTAAAGCTGTTAGTACGTAAGATAACGTTAATTATAAGTAAAAAAGTCACTAGATTGCTTTAATCGCAGATTCACTAGAAATTTAAAAGCGAAGAAAACACCACAAAAATTTAGCATATCTCTTTTGAAAACGTTTCGGAGACCAGCTCCATCGTCAGTTCGATAAATCTAGAACACAGATAAATGNGGGTTATATAGGGGTTCTGCTGCACGTAGGGGTTATATAGGGGTTCTGCTGCACGTAGGGGTTATATAGGGGTTCTGCTGCACGTAGGGGTTATATAGGGGTTCTGCTGCACGTAGGGGTTATATAGGGGTTCTGCTGCACGTAGGGGTTATATAGGGGTTCTGCTGCACGTAGGGGTTATATAGGGGTTCTGCTGCACGTAGGGGTTATATAGGGGTTCTGCTGCACGTAGGGGTTATATAGGGGTTCTGCTGCACGTAGGGGTTATATAGGGGTTCTGCTGCACGTAGGGGTTATATAGGGGTTCTGCTGCACGTAGGGGTTATATAGGGGTTCTGCTGCACGTAGGGGTTATATAGGGGTTCTGCTGCACGTAGGGGTTATATAGGGGTTCTGCTGCACGTAGGGGTTATATAGGGGTTCTGCTGCACGTAGGGGTTATATAGGGGTTCTGCTGCACGTAGGGGTTATATAGGGGTTCTGCTGCACGTAGGGGTTATATAGGGGTTCTGCTGCACGTAGGGGTTATATAGGGGTTCTGCTGCACGTAGGGGTTATATAGGGGTTCTGCTGCACGTAGGGGTTATATAGGGGTTCTGCTGCACGTAGGGATTAAGTAGGGGTTATATAGGGGTTCTGCTGCACGTGTGGGTTAAGTAGGGGTTATATAGGGTTCTGCTGCACGTAGATGTTAAGTAGGGGTTATATAGGGTTTCTGCTGCACGTAGGGGTTAAGTAGGGGTTATATAGGGGTTCCGCTGCACGTAGGGGTTAAGTAATGTTATATTTAACCCGGTGGAAGTCTAGTAGCTATTTCAAACTATCGTCAGTCATGAAAAGAACCGGTCAAATGACACGATTTTAGATCTTCTGTGAACAAGGCACGAAAAGGAAAAGAATCGGCGACAAGCCACATCAGGCCTACACTTCAGCGCCGAGGTCACTATTTTATGTTATGTTAATATATATTTTAAGTTGTTCAGGGACCGTAACATTCAAAACAAAACGGAGTTCATAATAAGGTCCGCTAATCACTCATGGCTTTTAATTGTTTACTTTTTATACACGGCGATATAAATATTATACAATATTTGTTATCTTATTTTATTTTTATGTGATACTTATATTGAGTTGTTAAAGGAATGTAATATCAAGAATAGTTGCGAGTTCATTATAGCGTCATGCAATCACTAACGAATTTTCCAGCTGAATGCAGCAACCATAGACGACTAACTAGCTTCGAAGTGCACTTAGGCTGCTATGTGTACTAATATGTTAAAAATGTTCAATGTTTTTCACTGTCGTCATTATTCTAGTGTTGATTTCTCTTAACATACGAGTATTATGATGACGGAACTGTGCAAATATTAAACCGTTTTTGGAGCTCTTCTTAAACAAATATATAGGAACCTATCATATCATCTTATCTATCAATCATCTTATTTATCATATCATCTTTATTGCGTCTATGGTTTATATTTTTGCGAAAGATTAGGAAAGTTATCAAAATCGCATTCTGTGAAGCAAACAGATGCGACGGGCTAGCGGTATATACAGCACTAAATTAACAGGGGTAAAGCATATATTACTATATGATTTACTATTACTATATGAATTAAGTGAGAATGGATTGAAAGTTATGTTATTAATGAATACACTATTTATGAATGTACTACTTTAATAGTTATCAAGTTTCTTACTTCCTTGTCAAGATGCCACTAGAGAGCGCGTTGTTTTATCTTGTAATGGTTTCTCTTCATTCAAACATATCAGACTGACAACAAAAAATTCTTATGAACTGCTTTCAGGTACTAAGCCCGAAAAGTAAGTGTAATGAATGATAAGCTATAGTGCATGAAATGATACATTATATCAACCTTATTTTGGCTATTTAAGGAGGCACGATCGTTGATAAACGCTTATTACTGACTGGTGGCACATTTCGCTGCTTTCCAATGGCGTATTTGATGCGAACTAGCATCACGACCAGACATGAGCATCACGACCAGACATGAGCATCACGACCAGACATGAGCATCACGACCAGACATGAGCATCACGACCAGACATGAGCATCACGACAAGACATGAGCATCACGACCAGACATGAGCATCACGACCAGACATGAGCATCACGAACGACCAGACATGAGCATCGCGACCAGACATGAGCATCGCGACCAGACATGAGCATCACGACCAGACATGAGCATCACGACCAGACATGAGCATCTCTAGGAGCATCATGTCTCGATATGAACATCACGTTTCTGCTTAAACTTCACAAGCGACAAAATATCTCAGCTTGAGCATCACAAGGTTCGGTAATATCGGAGCTGCAAATATTGTTTGTTTGCTCACATTGCGTGTTCATTAATTTATGTAAATAGACAATTTGATATGATGACAACTTGACTTGATGTAACTGACAATTTTACCAAGAAATCTACGCTCTGGAGAACTCCGATGATGGAGTATTGAAAAATTATTTATTTTTGGTCGGAAATAATTATGTTTTTCTCTTTTTTGTCTTCAGAAATATTTTAACTAATTCTGTAAAAAAATTAATTCAGCTTTCTTCTCTGCCTCCTTCCTAATTATCTTTTCCATTGAATATCAGGCCATGGTTTTCGAAAAATTTGCATTTAGAGTAACTAAGTTGTCATCGGGATATTTAATAAATATGCCGATTTCTTGCGTAATTTCAATCGTAAATTATAAAAAATTACTCGCATTATGCGTCACAAACTCCCGCTTTTGGTAATTAGCTCAAAAAGTATTAATAACGTAGGCAAATAATAATCTGAATTCTTTTCAACTATTTTTCATCCACCACAGAGAAAAAATCCTCACTATTTAATAAATAACTTACAATAAGAGATGGTTACTTCTATTCCCATTGTTTACCACAAGCAAGAAAAACACAATTTTCTGGTCTCTATGAATTACCTTATTTCACTGCTCGTTTTCGTGTCACACTTTTAATCGTCTAATATTCCTATGTTCACTAAACAATGATTACTGTCAAATTCTATTTACTGTATGCCCCTTATAAAAAATATATACTTTCATATTATGTAAAATTTAAGTTATATATTAAACACACTTGGCACAAATTCGGCCTAATACACATGTGGTATACACTGCATGCTAACTAATTAATATAGTCTTGTCCCAGCAATCTCGTGTCAGTCCCTTAATTATAATTAAACATGCTATCAAAGTTCATAAACGAGGCCAAGAAGAATTCAATGCCTTCCTTAGTTCGGAACGCAGTCTCTTAAATTGATTACCATCTCGAATACATTTGACCCTGTAATCTAGATATAATTTACAGTCTCGTCTGATTCAGATAAACTATTCGAATAAAATTCACCATTTATATTTACTACACCAACACAAGTTGCCGCCTTGTTTAATGCAGTAAACAGCTAAGATGCGTAAGACTCAGAGAGTAGCAGTGGTGTTCTTTTTTATACCCACTGCAAAAGTTCTCATGCACCGCATATATACGTAGAACTGACATCGCACAAGCATCCTTCTCTCCCTCTGGCCGATGCCGAGAACAGAGCAACAGTTGTTGGCTTTCGAGCAACGAGGTCATGCTGCCCGATACTCTGAGATCAACACGCTGGTCATCTAGTTACGACTTAGTTACATGCTGCCTTTCATATCTCTTATTTGTGTAACGGTCGGATGAAAAGTGACTCACCCATATTTGGGATATTATTATTTGGGATACTATTATTATATCCATTAAGGGATTTTTTATCCCTTATCCCATCTCCCTTAACGGTCTTATTTGTGTAATCAGGTGAATGAGAAATGACTCATTCACCGGATTCACAAGCTTAGTCATTTGTAACAAAAAAAAAAAAATTTGTTACAACCACGCGTATATATGAGCAGTATAAATAAACGTATTTTTGAAACAATAACAAAACACTTTTATTCGCATCCAATTTTGTTTACCTCAAATGGTACTATTCAGGTCCCTTTATATTATAACTTCGTGAAATTCACATTCATGTAAATTTCCTTGTTTCACGATTGCCGCTGGCTTCTCTGCATCAAATAAGTAAATAATATGGGATCCTTACGACCTCTCTCTCAAATCACTGATATTTTCACTGCGTTTTTCCTTGCCTTTAATATATCAGTAATATTTGAATATTGTTGAGATATTCTACGTGGAATTCTTGCTACATCGCAAAACGTCCCAGCAATCTCAGTGCTCAAGTTGCAGGAATGCCTCCAGCTCGCTGCCTGATACGTCGAATGTTGTTCTCTACATTAGGGGTTTATCACCATGTAATTTTAATAATTTGATTCACGTTTATAAGGTGATTGTATGAATGTGTTAAATCGCTGGCTGAGAATTAATATATTTACGTTTATCATTCATTATCTAAATTTTAGCTATTATTCACGCTCGACAATCATTTTCAGCCTTTCTTTGATTATATTTGACGATGGTTTAAAATTTAATAATAGGAAAAAAATTCAAATGCATAATATCAACAACATTTGAAGAAAACAAGCTGCTCTATATGACTTTTTCACTGTAAGATCCAAGTATTTGTCATGTCTTATCCAGATTTCATGTTACCTTGGGCGTGACCTCTCATAAGCGTCAAGGTATTTTTGAATTTTGATATGTGGGATCAACCGCAGCGATACCAACTTATGAAACCTTTTTTAAATTAGTATTAAGACTGTCCATATCAATTCAGCGGTGCTTTTAGCGACCGCACAAATCGATAAATGCTTTTCATTTATATGAAGTACAGTATTACGAGTTATATCCTGGTTTGTTGGTTTTTCGTTAAAAAACTTTTGTGAAAGTGGGTTATTAGTGTTTTTCAGGAAGTATACGAAAATAAAAATTTAATAGAACAATCTGAAAAGAGGATTTATGCTACAAAGAAATAAAAATCCAATGGACATTGTAAGAGTTGATTCAAATAATAATTTTGTATATTTTGCACCTGAAGTTTGTTTTATTTTACAGTATAGTTGCAATTATTTATTTAAGTCTAATAATAATTAACTCATTGTAATTTTATATAGGTTTGCCAAACGATCACTGCATGGTCAGATGTGTCTAAGGCGTCGGAGGCTTGGTTTTCATCAATGTGCTTATTCATAACAAAAAATGATATCCTCGATGACCGGCTGATTATATTTATTACGTATCTATCTCGGAATTTCTATTGATAAGTTCTGCGTAATTCCTTTCCATTTATAAATCAAACATAATTGCAAAAATGCGAAAAAGTTTAAATTTTCTGCTGTTCATGACTCACACTCATGATACAAGAGCCGCACTATTGAGAGCCAATCCGAAATACGGCGGGCATTACCTACGTATAAGCCTCGGGACGTTGCTTAATTTTTAATTAAGCTCTCCACTAATTACGGTACGCATAGATAATTTCCAAACGATTGTGAATTAATAAAAAATTAAAATTACAAAAACTGGTACATCGAATGCCCACGAAAGTGGGAGCATTGCAACCGACAATAGTGCGGTGTTCGTGAACTTCTAAAAATTAGAGCAATAAATTTAGCTTACGAACAGAGAAATTTCATCATGAAATTGCAAACGTTTCTATGAACACATGAATGAATGAAATAGATCTCAAATTTATAAACCTTTGACAATTCCCAATAGCAACGATACTACATCCATTTCACCAAAAATGTATCGTTTGTTAACCTGCTTGGTCATCGAATACCAATCTTTACATAACAGCATTGCTTTCCTCTGGAAATTTGCTACATAACAATGGCTGCTAGGCTGGACGGTAGGAAAGACTGAAGATTATTAGAAACTAAATTGTTATACAGGTTATGCTACCAAAATTCGTTTAAATACACGTAGCTTATGGGTACACGTAGCTGCGATAGGTACACGTAGCTGCCTAGGTACACGTATACTGCCTAGGTACACCGTTACACGTAGCTGCCTAGGTACACGTAGCTGCCTAGGTACACGTAGCTGCCTAGGTACGCGAAGCTGCCTAGGTACACGTATACTGCCTATAGGTACACGTAGCTGCCTAGGTACACGAAGCTGCCTAGAAGTTAGTATCAGAAGGCAGAATAAGCTTGTTTCAACACGGGTGGTTAATGGCCAGAGAATTCGTCAATTTAAATTTTCAGGGTCGAACAATATTCTTCAGATGACATTAGTTGATCAAAATGCAGGTTCAAGGGAGTAAAATCACTTTATTAACGACGTTTCGAATGCAACAACATTCATTTTCAAGTTACAGGAAGCATTGAATACAGAAATTTTGATGGAAATAAGTACATGATACAAGTAAATAGGATACAACACGAAAATTTTGAACCACGAAAATAATTCCAAAACAATCTCAAAGCTTAAAAAATCAGGTAGTTATGAGATGGATAGATGGAGTCCAATCCGCAGAAAAGGGCTTCAGCTATCGTCGGTCGGATTATGTCGCAGTAACCAAAAGTGAATTCAAGAAAATGAAATTTGAAAACAGGGAAATCTATTTCGAACTGTCTCAAGGCATTTCAATCGAGCAAATTCATCTCAAGATTCACGATGAATTCATCTGGCTCCGTGACACCAAGGGCAACAATGGCCCGACATAATCCGACCGACGATAGCTGAAGCCCTTTTCTGCGGATTGGACTCCATCTATCCATCTCATAACTACCTGATTTTTTAAGCTTTGAGATTGTTTTGGAATTATTTTCGTGGTTCCAAATTTTCGTGTTGTATCCTATTTACTTGTATCATGTACTTATTTCCATCAAAATTTCTGTATTCAATGCTTCCTGTAACTTGAAAATGAATGTTGTTGCATTCGAAACGTCGTTAATAAAGTGATTTTACTCCCTTGAACCTGCATTTTGATCAACTAATGTCATCTGAAGAATATTGTTCGACCCTGAAAATTTAAATTGACGAATTCTCTGGCCATTAACCACCCGTAGCTGCCTAGGTACACCTATCGGCAGATTTAACGTCTGTGGTTGGTGGGTTTAGCTTGGATAGTCGTCAATGATTGGCTGACGGAGCTACGAGCTCGTATATATTTTTCGGATATTCGAGCTCCTAATTTTCATTTTCCAAGCTCCTACGAAGAGTACTGAATGTTTCGTAGTTACTTCCGTAATATTTATGCATGACAACTAAAATGTCTGCTCTGAGTTTCTCCAGCAAGCCTTTTAACGATCTTTGTATATCCGTGCATGCAACATTTCCGTCCGTCTGTCTGTCCGTGACCACGTTTTCGTCGACGAGAAAATGCGCTTTCTGTCACTCACTGCAATGAGTTCTGAGTTATATTTTTCGTTCAGCGTACGATAAATTATAAAGTTATATACAAATGATTTTTTAAAATATTTTGTGTGTCATTATGTGTATTTCAACAAACGTATGTGTGTTTGTATTTAATGATCAGTAATCTCGGACATGAATTGCACCATTATTCGGCTTCCAGTCTTCAATCACACCGAAAATATACTGCTCATTGCAAGTGTTGCGCAAGTATAACCATAGAAGAAAGTTGATTTTATAATGAAAAAGGCTGAGAAATTATCCCACCTTTTCATGTACGAATAATATTCTATGTCATTCAATACTTTTCAATCTCATACTTAATTCCGCGAGTCATTGTTAACCATATTAGTCCACAAAGTTTGATTTATTATTTTTTATGCATCAAACTATTTCGATATTCTTTTCGATTTTTATCATTATGCTTTGCAGTCGATAAAAGTTATCCTCTTCTTTTATTTGAACTGTCCACTTCTTGAGAAGTCATCTGAGTCAGAAGCAGTCGCCGAAATTGAATGGAATTAGGCAATATTCTTCTAACTCATTCAAATTTTTTAATGAAAATAGTCACTGCAAGAGTTTTGTATTAGAGGTAACTATTTATCGAGTAAGTTCCAAAAATCAAGCATCAGCTTAATTCAATTTGTTTACCTAACTAGCTTTGCACCCGTAAATTAATTATTGAGAACTGGTAAACCAAGACAAAAAGTTTAATTAAATTGAATTGAGTTGCAAACTTGAACCTCCGGAACAAGATGAGCCAGACCAAAAATGTTTATATAGCAACATGAAATCATTAACCATATTCTATTTAAGCCCCTTTTCGAATTTCTCACCTGCGTGTGCGATCCGATAAATCCAAGTCCAAATAAGTCCGTGTAGTATTAACCTGAGCCGCAGGGCGCGGCAGCGCAACATGGCAGCGCTCGTGTCCCCTAGGCTGCACTAGCCTGGCTCCTGCCTCATAGTGAGACTCTGCCGCTGCTTCTGCTGCCACCGCCGCGTGCTGTCCTAACCATAATAGAACACCGAGTGGCCGGTCACCTCACCGCGCACTCGCCGCTCCCTACACTGGCCGTCTGCCGCCCCGAGCTGCCCTTGCGGTTGCTCACGACACAACGCCCCACGCCCACCGCGCCCACGCTTCATTGTCTGCCGACACCCAACCCACTCCTCAAGTCGATGGCTACTAAAGCCACCCAGACCCCAATTTTATAACAACATTACCCACAGAACCCAATCCGATTGCTACAAAAGCCGCCCAGACCAGACCTCAAATTGTCAATAACATTACCCACATAACCACAGAACCCAATCCGATTACTACTAAAGCCACCCAGTCCAGACCCCAATTCGATGGTATCTATAACAGATAACCACAGACCCCGACTCCATGGTAAATAAAGGTATTTACCCAAAACCAAAGAAGGTTGGTAACTAAAGGTTACCAACCACAGACCACCAATGCGATGATAACTTTACGTTAATGGAAAGCGCTCGTCATATTTAAGCTTCCCTCTACGTTACAATAATACCAACCAATCGACACTAAATTCCGAGATATGGGCACTCAATATAGCCGAATATCGCACTTTTTCCTACCAGTGATGATCCATTGTACACGCGCAACTGTGCCACTATTATCGTCGAGCAGCGCACGTGAATGATATTGAATGCCTTCGCGTCAGGTTAGGATGCATTGCATGCGCTAATCTTAAATATGGCTACGCAGCGAGTGTGTTCGGTGAGTAAAGTGCAGGCTCGAGTTCTGCACTAATTAATGTGGAGGTAGGGGAAAATCTTCGATTAATTATAATTGCGGTCTTAAAATAATGCTGATTGTAATGTAGACTAAAATTAATACCTGAATTCCGCAACCAATATCATTGTACGAATTTTCATCAATGATTTAACGTTGTAATAAAAAATTTACCACTAAGTCCAACAATAATTAGTTACTTTTGGTAATTAATGTACTGTTAATTTACATTTGGTAATTAATTTACGGAGAGCTATTGTAGTTCACAGTATCAGATTATATGCTAGATGATCAATAAAATCTGAAGACTATATCTATATAATTACGAAAAATGTAGCAGAAAACAATTTGAAATGAGTTTCATGACATTTCCTACAAATTCCTTAACTCCATTATCCATCTAACCTAAATCAACCACATTGAAATACAAATATTGTTTATTTATAATACAAATCTTTGGATGCACATTTTTTTCAACTCTGCATGCACATAATATTTCACCTTTTGCATGAGTTGTTGTCGAGACCTTATGTTATGTCACCTTTAAGAGTTTATGTCGACAAAGAGCTAAAATTTTCTAAGCATGTTGAAACGCAAGCTAATAAATCCAACAAACTTCTTGTGCTGATCAGACGCCCTTTCGAGTTACTAGATGCTGAAGCGATGAAGCAGTTGTTTGTTGCTGTCGTGCGCCCGAACCTAGTGTTTGGAAACGTTGTGTGGTCACCGAGACTTGAAAAGAACAAAAATTTAGTAGAGAGTGTTCAAAGGGTTCAAAGACGTGCAACAATGATAATTCCAGGCTTGAAGGGCAAGTCTTATGAAGAAAGATTAAAGAGCATGAAGCTTCCAAGCCTCAGTTATTGACGTCTGCGTGGGGAACTCATTGAAGCATACAAGTATACTCATGGCTTATACAAGGTCCCAGAAGGATTACTAGAATTTGAAACAAGAACCAACACCAGGGGCCACAGCTATAAACTAAAAAAACTGCGCTGCAACTTCTCCACGCGACAACATTTCTTCTCGCTTCGAGTCACCGACATGTGGAACAGCCTCCCCGATGACATCGTTGACGCTCCGAGTATGAACGCCTTCAAGAACAGACTAGATAAAGCTATGGAAAAATATATGTTCAGACATGAAATGCCTAGCACCAAATCGAACCCGGTGGAAGTCTAGTAGCTATTTCTATTTCATAACATCGTCTGTCATGAAAAAAATCCGGTCTAAGGACATGCTTTTGGATCTTCTGTGCATAATTCTGTGCATGGATCTTCTGTGCAGTCACGAAATGTACAAGAATCGGCGACAGGCACATCAGGCCTACTCCTCCTCGCCGACATCGCTATGTTAAGTTATGTTATGAAATTCGTATTGTAAATCCCGAATTATTTCTCCCGCTTTACAGTCACAATAACTTTATTGTGTGACAGCAATGTTCCCATCTTGTCTTAACATCTCTGCCATTATGAAGCCCTGATCGAAGGCAGACCTGGTGAGCTGATAAGACAAGCATGTCGACGAAGCCTTCATTGAAAGACGGCCCTGTGCCGCCAGACGTGGCTACGGTATAAAACATTTATGAGTCTCAGGAAGTCTGCTACTTGGCAAAGACCTCAACTTGTTCTTCGCTTGTATCATGTCTCAATAAAATATGGTTCCCCTAGGTTCCCCTGGAAATAACTGTTAGAAATAAGGTTCCCCTTATAATATTTTCACCGGGAACCTTATTTCTAACAGTTATTTCCATGGGAAGAAATATGCACCTATGTACATTTTTTGCAATCAGGTATAGCTATTTTCAAATATATAATCACGTAATTCCATTCATCTTCGTCAGAAGATGAATGGAATTCACCTATATTTAACAAAAACCTATATGTAACAAAATATATTCACCTATATTTAACAAAAAGACGTCTGCACTATATTCCTAATCGAATGAAATTATATCGGATTAATCACTTGTAAAATAACGTGTCGATAATCATGCTGACTCCTATGCTAAACGACGCGCCCCGACAGTTCCTATATATTTGTGACGATAGGCTCCAATCACACAAACAAACTTTCACGAATGCATTTGAGGATTGGATCGACATTTCAGGAAACGCACATGTTCGGGCTGGATCCGCTGCATCCAGCATCCACGATATCGATCGATAGCATCGGGATATTGCGTGAACATTTTATTTCTAAATGGTAAATCTTGTGATTTTTAAAAGTAATATGCGTTTAAAAATTACTTTTTTTGAACGCATATTGCACAGCTCTAGTGTTGTCTAAAAAAATTACTTTTTAAAGAAAACACTTCTAAAGAGGTCAGTGTCTCCGATGTTGCTGATGTACAATGAATTTATTTTTTATTTTTATATGTGTAAGGAAATTATTTCAATTTTTTTAAATATATTTATACAAAATTTACTTATCAAAATTATTTGTTCTGTCAATTGATTCAAGCATTGTCTCCGACTTTACGCAATGTGCAAAATTTCAGAACGATTGGAGAGGCAGAAGTGTGTTAAGTATCGATTAGAAGATTTGAAGCAGACAAACAACCAAACTAACAAACAAACAACAAGAAGCAAAGTTAAAGAGAAATGTAATTTACAAGAGAATCGAGATTAAAATTGGAGTGTATATTCATGAATCAAAATTTCGAGTTGCTCTTGAGTTTCAGAACAGTGTACGTTGGATGTGCAATTGAACAGGTCTCTTTAAATAAATTGCGATACTATGGTTTCAAAATTATTATTAACTAGATTCGGGATAGTGGGGTTCGGGATGACCGGATTTCGTACAAGGAAAAAAATTAAAGGAAAATTTTATTAAAAATTGAGTTTGTTATTTTAATGTAAATTTCGATTGAATTCTTGACAGCATCCAATGCCTCAAATTTGAAGATGCTGTTCAATTGCATGGCCTCCGGTAATTTCATGAGGATTTAGGAGGGTGAGGGCTAAGCAAGATCAAATTAACAAATAGCAGTTTTGAATTATTCGTAAATCTGTTATTGTGTATAACTATTTAAATAGAGGTTTTCATAAAATTATTGTTAAATATTGTCTAGGATTTGGTATTAGACGGTTAAACCGACGTTCTTTATACCTCCGTTAAGCTATGCTCTTAACTATGATATTTATTAATATACGAGTATGTAATACAAAAACGATTTATAATATTAAAATGTATTATTTATCTATTTAATATATAATGATGTTCATTTTATACTATTTATAATCGATGTTACTTGTCGGTGGAAATGCAAAATAAAGTTTTAAATTAGAAAACTGCTCTGTTTCATTATTCATAATGTATTTGAATGATGATTAATAATTCGATATTTTCAAAATGCTTCTAATAATGGCTTACTTCCGTCTGAACATTAGCGAGCTTATTCATGCCTAACTGGAGGTATCTTTACGGAATATTTATCTTATAGTAAAGCCAAATTGCATGCCTTAAAATATTGAACAATGTGATACAAATAAATTTTTCTTGTCAATTTATTTCATACAAAGTGGAGCAGCATATTAATTAACGACTAGCTTGCCAATTAAAATTTACAGAATAATATTTACTTTCAGAAACAACACAACCACAACACACACAGTGAAACTGAAGCATAGCCTAAGGACATAACTATATTACTTAGCCAAGAACAAATATTTTTAATGCGCTGAGATTGAGGACATACACCCTGCACAAGCCGGGCCCTTGTGAGCGATCTAGCAGACGTGAAGAGCTTGACACGACATACCCAGCGCCGGTTTAGTGGAGGCGACAGAGTTGATGGCAGCAGAGATTGTGGGCTACCGCTGCGGCTACCCCAGACACACTTGATGAGATCTCCTGATCACGCTTACCCCACCACTTCGCTGCCGCCTCTAAAGTCAGGAATGCGGATCATCTTTTCAGCGATCATTAATATGAAATATTACGTGCTATAATGTTTAATCGAGTTCTCGCGTGTAGATTGAGATTAATGAAAGTGTAATATTCAGGATGATGAATGAAATCCTACAATTTGAATGCTGACAGCTATTTCAATCTCTGATTCACTTATTTTTATTTTTTTATAATTGGTTTCCTGTTCGTCTTGAAGTTAATTATTGGATCTATGTGTGCGTGGTATATGAAAAGCAATTAATGTTATTTAATAAAAAAACTAAAGGGGAAAATATGTTAGATATTTCCTCGCTTACTAATAATATTCCGAACAATAGAAATATTGTTAATGAGAGTCCACGAGTTACCGTGTTACTCATTGCATGGCAGGAAAGCTTTGAACTAAGAGAGAGAGAGATATAAGCATGCATTAATA